TGAAGAAAATCCGGTCTATTCAATTATTAGTATGTAAATCGTGTGGATAGCAAAAGTAAATGAATTATAAAGTCGTTTTAAAAATGGCGTGATTATAAACTTCCAGAGGGGTAAAAAAAAACACGGGTAAAAATTTTGCCTCGTATTAGAACGATAAGCATCAGTATTATAAATGTGTTGGAGCTTGAATTTGTATTATCAAACTCAAATCTGTTCGAAGCTGTGGAATCGGAGAGTTTGGTATGTTTTCTAGGAGGAGTCGTATTTTAAAAATATTCTGTAATTCTAAATTCTCCGAAGTATGAATTTTAGTAAAAATTTGAAACAAACAAAGAACTGGAACTTTACGAAGTGTTTTAAACAGTGTAAAGTTTCCTATATATGCGTCAAAGTATATTCGATTTTTGCGGACTTCAAAGTTAGATTCCAAGTTAAAATTTTGCCTAACCCAGGGATTGAAGTCGGAGTCGAAGATTTTTTCTAACCGGATTTTATTGTGGACTGCCCTGATTCCACAGCCATGTTTTTTATTAATCTATTTTTTTGTAAAAGATAATCGATTTGTTGCGTATGGTGCGCAATATGATGAGGCCATATAATCAGTTCGATTAATTTAGCCTCAGATGATAAATTTGGTTGTATGTACTATGTATAATAATAACAATATCAAATCAAATTACCATTTAATATCAGAATTAATTTTAACAATATTACTATAAATTATACTGAAGTTAAGGCTGAGTAATGCGCTTAAAATTATGAAATGGCAATGCAATAACTCGACCAAACGGAAGAATTTGATCTTTTCCATTCGCAAAATATAGGCAGCTCGTAGTTAGAAACTGATTTAAACATAGGTTCCCGCACTCCAACATTTTTTTTTTCTTTTGAATATATTGAGTCTTGCGTCCATTTTTATTCATAACGAATTGACTGGAATGGACGTCTACGTCGATGGATACGTTAAAAGAATCATATTTTATTCTCGCCGAGAGTAACTTCTTCTCTGCTTGTCCGTGTTTGACTTACAGAAAAATTTCCCGATTTGAACGATCCACACTCTATCTGGCGGTTCAAGAAAAGCCGTGTAAAACGAAACATGTTTTTTCCCGATCCGTTATTATACTTTCAATCTGAGTTCAACCTCAATTGCCAGCAAGTTCAAATCGACGGTTCAAACTACTAGGATAAGATGCCAAAACTTAGGGGCAGGTGTAGCAGTCCACCACCATATTCTTAAATGGATTAAGGCGCATATTATTCAAGCTATATGGATTGTGAAGCAGAACGTCCTCTCAAGTCAGAGGAGTCCGTTAAATTTATCGCTATATAACCTAATTCTGCGATTTTTAAAGAGTACGCCGCGACAAGTAACAAAATTGTGTTATACATAACTAAAATATGATTGAAAACTTTTCATATTGTATTTAGTATAAAGGTTTCATTGTTTCTCGATTTAAATGCCGTGTATTTGAATCAATAAATTCATTTTACCTCTCTATGTCGGTTACTTTCTGTTGTGTAGTGTCTGCCACTATTGTTGCGTAACAATATAGGTAGACATTACGTGCTGCAATTTCGTGAACTGCAGTTTATTTATCTGCTAAACCGAGTTTAGCGAACATGAGTGTTTTGCAGCATTTCAAAAGAAAATCAGGCAGAGATGGGGAACAAAAGTTGATTTTTTGCCTTTATTACTTAGGCTTATTACTTTGGCTTGAGTGTCCTTATTTTGTCTTATTTGGACTTCATAAAGGAAGCTTTTTGTTGTTTGTTTTATCGCCAAAGCTTCATAAGAGCAACACAATCCTATTTGGAACACAAAGAAGCGAGGCACAGATAGGCATGAAGCATTGTTAGTGTGCGAGATTTCAGGTTTTGTCGTGGTGGTGGTCATTTTAGCCTAAATTTAAAAATGAGCAAATGTAAGAACGTTTTTTGTGATGAGTACGGGAATAAATTCAAAGTTAAACGAAGCTCAAAGGGTGAGTGCTTCGCACACTGTGACGTCTGTAATTGTGACATTAACCTGGAGGCCATAGTAAAGCCAGCTATTTCTGCTCACAATGCAGACATTTTTCCAGTCGTCCTTATTTTGGGTTCCAGATCGATGGAATCCCTGGTTATATTAGTAGTTCCACTGCTTCTGCTGCAGGGAATTCCGCAAGTAATCAAAATCGTTATGCTACGTCATGTAAGGCACCAATTTCCTTGTTGTGCGCGTGCTCACTGGAGCATGACGTCGAGTTGATCTAGTTCGTCAACACTCTATTTCAGGGTGGTCCAAGGTTGTCGACCTCGCGGGCCACACTATTATTTTTGTATTATTCGCGGGCCACAATAATGTCAAGAATATGTGAACAGTGCAATACAAAACAAACACTTTTATTGTCAAATACATTGATCATTATTTGACATTTTTTAAGCTTAAGCGTGCAAAAACCACAAAATAAAACAAACTAAAACGTGCAAAAATCTTACTATATCTACATTTAGTGTAAGATTTTAAACTTTTCATAACAGAGGAAGTGTCATAAGGGGAAACTGGCGTATTAGATTGTCACCGACACACCTTGCGGACATGTCAAGCAAGCATTGTGGTATTTTCCCTCCCACACCCAGTCAAAAATATGTTTGAATTGGTCATCTTTATTTTCAAACTCATGTTCACAAAAAAACTTACAAGTACAGAAGTAACTGCAGTTTGATTGATTACCGAATTTCACAAATTTGAGATACAGGAGGGTAATTACTGAATTTTCTGACATATTAGCAGCACCACCCGGCGGGAATTGTATTGTTCGGCCCTAACAATAATATTTAGATATCAGGCATAGCCAACCTAGGCTAATAGATTCCTCATTCGATTTTTAGTTTTCTATGAAGCCTATTTTGTTAGCATATATTCCCGACCAAAAATATGAAAAGCCAGATAAAAATTTATACTGCCAAGCACATCATTCAACTTTTCTAGTTGCCTCAGCTAGCCAAAACACTAGTCAATTCAGTAAAAGTAATGATGTAACGATATGTCAAAAGATTTTTCTGGTTATTTTTATGACGAAACAACACCAAATGCGATTTTTTTTTTACCAGTTTCCGCAATATAGTCGGAGATGTAAAATAAATTGCTTCCATGCCGTACTCGATGACTGGTTTTATTATTGCCCTATGGCCTATATACTGTGAGCAAGGTATTATTATTTGCACCCCACTTCGTACCCGATAGTGCACGTAACAAATTCACTCTTTTACTGCATCTTTTTTCTATGTATTCAATGTATTTTCTGTATGTCAATCGTGAATCGAATATGACTCGCAGATATTTGCAGTCCCACTCAATTTTAGGACTAGATCTTTCTATTTTCAATATTGTATGTTGCAGTTTTCTTCGTCTCGTAACAAGAATGGCTTTTGATTTTGTTTTCGAGAGGCGAGACCCCCAATCATTGCATCAGTAATTAATAGTGTCTAGATTAGTTTGGACCTTTGTAAAAAGATGATCAATACGTAACTCAATTTCCCAAATACTGCAGTCGTCCGCAAAGAGCGCTATGTTTGAAGAACCACGCTGGGGCAAATTGTTCGTCATAACATCAAAAAGAAGTGGAGATAAAACGCTACCGTGAGGAATTCCGTTATCGAGCTTGAATATATCGAACATTGTGCTGCCGATACGGACTTGAGAGGTACGGATCGATAAAAACGATTTAATCCACATAAAAGATCTACCACAATAATAAACAATATTATACAGTGTTATTAAACAATATTATACAGTGTAAAAATGCTTAATATCTTATTTTCCTATAGCCGACGTCAATTATTAACATTTATACGATAAAATATAGATTCATATCAAAATCGATACACATAATCAGAGAGATTACCCTGACGCATTAAGACCACAGTATTTTTCATTGTTTGTGAACATGTTTGGCTGAAATTCCCTTTCGTTCGGATTATGCAAAAGATTTCGAGATGCGTTGCGAAATTTGGTGGTTAACAACACTGCAGGCCTGCATATTCTCTATACACGTACTGTTCAGTTTTGATGAGATAAGATCTGGACTAAGTCCTGTCCATTTCAGTTTATTGTGTAAATGTTATTTGTAAACGCGTCATATTATATTGTCAATCTTTATTCCAATATATAAAATCTGCATATTATTTTTCATGGCTCTTTTTTTCTTTTTTGCAATTACGTAAATGTAAGCATACCTATGGTAATTACATAATATACTTAATCTCTTTAAAAAGAAGGTTAAACCAGTTCAGCAAGCACGGTGGTGTTATTGATGTCAAAGGAAAAAAGAAAAATTACGAAAAGCGTACAAAGCTAATGTAAAAGAGTTGGGACCATCCATCCGATTGATATTCTGCAAATCCTTGTTCTATCCTCCAGGTATAGATAATCGGAGCTTTGGAATTGGATTTTTGGACACGTAGTGGACATAACGATCGTTTCAATATTATGTTGTTCTTGTTATTCGACACAGAATAACACACCTAATGGTAATATTAAAAAACCGCTTTTCTCTTCGAATACTGGACCAATTGCTTTGAAATTTTCAGTGGTTGAAGATAAAATTTTTCCCCAGCAGGCTATTACTTTTATTTATTTTAAATATTTCTGTTAGCTCTGTGAGATTTGTTTTTGTTTGCTATGACGTCATTAAACGTTCTGCGGACATCGGACGCCATTTTGTGTCATACTGTACTGCTTCGCTTGGTGTGAATATATTTGTAGACTGTGATCTGACGGTACGGTAAACCGTACTGTACTGCGAACAGACGTGTCCATATATTTGGGCGTAGCTCTCTTGTATATGTTAAACATTATGATGGAATGTTCGAAACAGATTTTAAAAGTTGGATAAATATGAGAAGTTTGAGTTCAAAATGAGCTGAATATTGAGGGCAATATTGCAAGCTCATCAGACACCAATACAACAAAAATTCATTTTCCATCTATGTTTTTAGAATCGGAACGTTTTGGATATCTTGTATTTCTAGTCTACTTTTACTAGACAATATACGAAATCAAAATGGGGAATTTGCCTAAAGACATGCTCCAAAAATACAGAAAATCATCTTACAGAGATATTGCTGTGCACGTTATCATTCCGCTTCTTGCTGAATTTTTTACGATGGTTCTTCACACCTTCTGGGGATCAATGTATACGTCAACGACGAAAACCATAACAGTAGCTTCTTTAAACAGGTAAATGTTGTAGAGAGTTTAGCGAAGCAGAAAATAGTTTACTGATGACTAAGCTTTAATCCTACTTTGTTCATCTGCTTCGGATTTTATCTGACCATCTATTCACCAGACCGAGACCATGTCAGATATTATTTGCCTTATTCAAATATATTTAAGAAAATTTCCTTTGCACAATTCAAATATTGTGAACTCCATATTAAATAAAATATTGAACCTGTGGACTTTTACAAAGTGTGTAATATCACTGCAAAGAAAACAAAACGTAACAATTCAGTAAGTCAAATGACACGACCAACAAATACACATTGGCGCCCCTGTGAAAAGCAGACTTTAAAGTTTAAACTATAGATACCAAATCTCGTCATGGTTGAACTGAATTTATTCATATTTTCATTGAGTAATTGTAAGTCAAATTTATCGAAAGACTAACTGTGTGAACAAATATTAAATTTGGAATGTAATTGTATTGTATGATATTAAACTTTTATTATTTTAGGACAATTCATCCCGACGAATGGAAGGTGGAATATCTGACGTCAACTCTTGTCCCCGCTTTTCAAGCAGGCTTTGCAGTGTGGATGTTTATAGTGCTATTTTGGAAAATCTGGTGGGTGTTAACTTTTTTTATAGGTCTGCCTCAAGTGGTATAGTTTTATGATCATTTATTCATTCGCTAAACATCCTCATTATTGATATAAATATTTGCTGACAATATTGTTGCATTTCGGTTGAATGGAAATAATATATATTATTTGAAACAATTTTAACTTTAACATGTATTTTTAGCGTAAATTGACCAGCATTAATTACAACATTTAAAATATCGTATTTTGATGTTTAGATTACCAAATGAATTGAATCTTTTCGAAAATATTTTCAGGTAAAAGTACACATCATTGGCCAATAGTACCTATACTTTGGGGCAGGATGTGATTTTGCTCTGTAGATAAAATTGTATGTTTTTTTGTAAGTAATGCAAATTTTAGTTTCTATTGCAACCACAGAATCTGTATTCTATCCACGTCCATTACGAGGCAATAATATCATTGTCTAATAATTTCAGCGTCATCAACTTCAACCCAGCTATTTCAACATGTCTCCTTATATCAGGGGACTTGAATCCGTGGCTCTACTTTCCGTACATTATTATGCAAATACTCGGATCAGCTCTTGGGGCAGTAATCGCTCAGGTTTAAAGCATTTGATATTTACTGTTGCAAATTTGTTTCATAAATCAAATGTATAACTTGAGATATATATATATGAATGACATTCATAATTATACGTTCAACTGAGTTCGATGACTCATCAGGTTTTTATAAAAGAAGGATTCCGTTTTTATTTATTTATTTAATAATACTGTTTGCTTCCCTACGTATCGCTGTGTCCAGATTTCTTCGTAGCCATAAAAGTTTTGAAAAATATAACAGAAAAGCATGTATACTTTTAATACCCGATCTAATACGTCGCGTATGTGTCAAATTCGGTTCAATATACCGAAAATATTTTATCTAATTTCAGGCGATAAAGAATGACGATCCCGGTCCATTTTTGATTTCTGACGATGCGAATATATCAGCGATTATTGCATATGAAATCATGGCTACCGGTATTATGTGCTTTTTCACCAACGTTATGGTAGGGGACAAATCATACGATCAAGCGACCGGAGCTTTTGCGATTGGAATGACTGTTTTTCAAGGCATAATAGGAGGGTTAGTACATTTCTTTTTGCCTTCAAGTATTTGCAAAATGTGTTAAATACTCCGCATTGAAGTTTTGGAATAGCTATTTCATTTTGTTTCGATCTTGATTTCAAACCCCATAAACAGCTACCTCAACCCGGTTGTATTGTTACTCGATATAGGCAATGCAAACATGAAATCTTTACAAAACAGAAACTGCATGCATGATGTTTTTCTCTACCAAGGTAATATGTTGTTTTAACACTGCCTAAAATATTTCATGCGCTTCCGGTTTAATGTTGAAATAAATTTATTATATATTTTTTAAATTTTAGCTTGAACTCGTTATGCGTGAATGAATAAAAATAATCTATCAATTAACTTTTTCAAGGACCTGACCCTTTTTAGAATTGCATTCCTATGAGCTAGCTAATCGTGTGTGGTGTTTCAAGCTTTACATCAAAATATTTATACCGCAATCTTACGTTGAAAGATGGCGTTTGGTCAGGAAACTTCGCATATTTTGCGCTAATTCAAGGTAGCATTTTTCTGCGATATATTTTGCATCGTTCACGCTGTTTCTATCGCATTTCCTGACAATCAAATAAATGAAGCATAGTCGACGCCTAATATTTTGTGATGAGAGTAAAGTGTAAATGCACACTTATTAAAAAACAAATGGGATGAGTGATTTCAACGCATGTACTTTCTTTTGAGACATTAATAAAACGCAAAGGGTCACATTATACACTTATAATTTGAATATATATCTATATATTTTGCTTTCGTTGGCAGTTGTAGTTTAGTAGAGTTTTATGCAGTTTGGTGTAACCGGATTTTAGCGAGAATATCCACGAACGCTTCAAATACTGCGAATAATGCCTCCAACAATATCCTTTTTACCAACTGAAATTCTTGAACCAAAGAATTTTTTAAATGAAAAATGTTCACGAAATACGATCAGGAATTATAGTGTGCATGTGTGGATAATGCGATTTCGAATTTAAAGAAAAGGGGCTTGTCAAATTATAAAAAGTGATGATAGGCTACATTTTCACTGTTTTTAAGCGTTTTAGCAAGGTTTCTAGTGTTTTTAGACAGTTTTTACTGTTTTTAAGCGTTTTAGCAAGGTTTCTACACAATAGGCTACGCAGCATTTTATGCAATACATTTGTCAAATATTGTATATTTTTAAGCCAAAATGTTTTTTCTACTTTGATTGCATTTATTTGAATCAATTGTTGTTTTTCCATGATTGTGTATTTTTGAGATAATTTTTCATCGGATTGCTTCGTCGCTAAATTAGCTGCTGTAATTCAGCATCAAAGTGTCGCTGACTAGATGACTCAGTGAGTCTCTTGCGACCTCATATCAACTGCAATACGTCAATATTTTCAGTTTTACTATATATTGTTTTTTTGCTTCATATTGATTCATGTATGACGCAAATAAATATATGAATTTGAAGGTTATAATCTGTTGTTGGAATCTACTGAACTATGTTATGAAGAGTCACTCTCTCATTTTTTTTCTAATTATTGTTGTTTTTTTACAAGGCGATGGATTGGCGCTGGTTGTCTCAATGCAGCGAGAGCAATCGGACCTGCAATTGTAATGGGTGGATATGTTTGGAAACATCATTGGGTTTGGTGGGTTGGTGATATCCTCGGAGGCGTCGTATTTGCGCTCATATACAGGTAAGTAATGTATCATCGCCTAGATGAATTTTTCTGCGATCGTTAGATAATAACGACGCAAGATTTGTTGATTGTGGGTTGATGCATTAGGCGTTTGACGGTAAACCAAACCGATTAGTGCCACGGTTTTTTTTGTTCGTGCGGCGCAAAATCACGAGAAAAAAATTCAGGTCGCACTTAAACGAAAAAATGCTGCTTTTAAATAAAACTCTGTTTTGTGATCGTTTATCTGTACTTTAGTTCGTACAAAGATTAGTCTAAGTAATGAAGGCAAAAGGTCAACTCTTTGAGGTTGAACCCAGGTTGAAAGTATAATACCGGATCACGAAAAACATGTTTCATTTTCCAGGGCTTTCTTTGCTCCGCCAGATAAAGTGTGGATCGTTCAAATCGGAAAATTTTTCTGTAAGTCAAACAAAGCAGGCGGTCGTAGACGGACAAGCAGGGAAGAAGTTACTCTCGGCGAGAATAAAATGTGACTCTTTTAACGTATCCACTGAAGTAGCCGTCCATTCCAGTCAATTTCTTATAAATTAATTGAGAAAGATGGACGCAAGACTCAATATATTCATAAGAAAAAAAATGTTGGAGTGCGGGAACCTATGTTTAAATCAGTTTCTAACTACGAGCTGCCTATATTTTGCGAATGGAAAAGATCAAATTTTTCCGTTTGGTCGAGTTATTGCATTGCCATTTCGTAATTTTAATCGCATTATTCAGCCCTAACATCAGTATAATTAATTTATAGTAATAATGTTAAAATTAATTCTGATATTGAATGGTACTTTGATTTGATATTGTTAATATTATACATACAACCAAATTTATCATCTGAGGCTAAATTAATCGAACTGATTATATGGCCTCATCATATTGCGCACCATACGCAACAAATCGATTATCTTTTACAAAAATATCGATTATTAAAAAACATGGCTATGGAATCGGGGCAGTTTACAATAAATCCGGTTAGAAAAAATCTTCGACTCCGTCTCTAATATATACATGAGTTAGGCAAAATTTTAACTTGGAATCTAACTTTGAAGTCCGCACAAATCGGATATACTTTGACGCATATATATGAACTTTACACTGTTCAGAACACTTCGTAAACTTCCAGTTCTTTGTTTGTTTCAAATTTTTACTAAAATCCAGACTTCGGTGGAATTTAGAATTACCGGATAATTTGAAAATACGACTCCAACTCCAAGAAAACATGCCAAACTATGCGATTCCACAGCTTCGAACAGATTTGAGTTTGATAATACAAATTCAAGCTCTAACACACTAATAGTACTGATGCTTAGCGTTCTAGTACGAAGCAAAATTTTTACCCGTGTTTTTTTAACTCTCTGAAAGTTTATAATTACGCCATTTTTAAAACGACTTTATAATCAATTCACTTCTGTTATACTCACGATTTACATACTAATAACTGAATAGACCGGATTTTCTTTATATATACTCGACCTATTGCTATAGTATTTTCCGTATCCCAGCGCTTGACCGCTGTGCAGCATGGTGAGTAGCTTAGCTATGAAACTAACACAGCTTAACAATAAAAGCCTAAAATATTATATACAATTATTCTTTAATGAATGACTGCTCGGTGCTCCCAGGATTGAATGACCAGAGTTTGATAAACTCGTGGACCGACTCTGACTCGTAAGCCGGCCTCTCAACGCCAACGTTAGTGAAGAGACATTGAAAAATCTCTATTTGTGCGCCGATTTGATTAGTAAAATAAATAGGACGTTACTTCCCGTAGATAAAATACCATAGTTACGAGATTATAGCACATTTAGGTTCATTCACTTTCAAACGTTAACAAACTGTGCCACGGGGCCGCGGTTATGCCCCCAGCGAAGGTATAATCTTTGATTTGAAAACAATTCTATTTGTCTATTCCACATCGGATATATGTCGATATCATTTATGAATGTTCATACAAAACATATGCACAGTTGGAAATTTATTATTGTCGGGATGATTAAATCAAGATATTATAATAGATATGCAAATTTCGTACAAATATACATTCTGTCGCTGCTTTAACTATTCATCTAATTATAATGCCTTTAAAATTACTTACCCCCACTAGATAAAGCATTTCGAAGCAAGAATTCCAATTGCTAGGAAGTAGATGACCGCCGACGGATAACATCTCATCTAGATGTGCGAGAGCTTTAAATTGAGTCGAAATGAGCAATTTGCTTTTGAAACATATCAAAACTAACCAACACAATTCGGGTGTCTCTTGATGAAGTTAGGAACGCGTCATTTAGAAAATTATCAACATCGAATTCTTTTTTGAATATTTACTTTCATCTTTTTCAGAATAGATGCATTCACAAAAAATGATCAGGGGCACCAAAAAATTTAATATGTTGCCTTGCAGGCCAATGTTCAAACGTTTGTATAAGAACCTGAGGTTAATCATTGCTGGACTTGTCGCCGTTGCAAGGTGTACTGTTAAAGCAGGGGTTTCAAATTGGGGCACACGCAGTGGTGGGATTCAAATTTTTTGACAGCCGGTTCCATCACAAAAGTCCTATTTTTCAGCCGGTTCTGTTACAAAAATCACACTTTTTTAGCGAATAAAATGATTATTTTTACTATTATTGACATTTCAAAATAATGGTTAAGTAAGCATCATTATGTCCAAATTAGCATCGAGTTTTTTGATAATGTTGAGAATTGTCTATATTGCTGTATATATTATAGATTCAGATATTCGTTTTTATTCGTGCAAAAACATTGTACACTCAAACAAATAGTAAAAATTAAATAAATTCATTGAACAAAAAAAGTACAATATATGTTTGATTTGCAATAGACGAGGGGTCGCGAAGAGACTATCAAAAGTAATCATGTCAGCGACACCATTATATAAGCGGCTTAAGTCAAACAATACAGAAGAAAATCAGCAAAACTAATTAAATCAATTTACAAACTAAAATGTACGTGAGAGCGGAAAATTCAATAAATAGAGTATTGACGAACTAGATCAACTCGACGTCATGCTCCAGCGAGCACGCCCACAAAAAAGGGGATATTGTAAGTTCGAAAATTGGCATTATCTACTATCATTGGAGATTTCCCTGAAGTGAAACTACAAATGGGAAATTCCAGATGTCCTCACATGTTGCAATCGACTCTCGCTGGACAAGTCTAATCTAGCCTCGCTCTCATGTGACTCGCTGCCGTGTTTTGAAGACCAAAGTTACCCTAGCAGACATCTCTCAGCAGACATCTTTCTCGTTTTCGGAACAATAAAATAGGGTTGCCAGAAAACGATTTAACATTGCGTATAAAGCGGGCGACGGAAAATATGAATGGTGTGCGAAATGTGGTTGCCAGATTTATGAGAAAAGTTCGGCGAATTCGGTATTCTAGTAAAAATTTTGTACTTCCCAACAACTGTCCCCGGTTTTAAATAAAATATTTAGAAAGATTATATTGTGAAGTGATCTCAAGATAAGATTTAAGAAGTTTGTGTATCGGGAACATAATAATAACTTGTCAAACATGGCCAAAACAAGAAATTTACTTTAAATTCATAGATATCGGTATTCTACCCAAAAATTATGTACTTTCCGATTGCCGGCCCCACTTTTGAGTAAGATACCCCAAAACAACATATTGTGGAGTCATCTCAAACAAAGTTTTATAAAATTTATATGTCGGGAACATTTAATAATATCTCGTCAAACACGGCCAAAACAAGAAATTTACATCAAAATTCATAAATATTGGTATTCCACCCAAAATTTAGGTACTTTTCGATTGCCGGCCCCACTTTTCAGTAAGATATCCCAAAACAACATGTTGTAAAGTCATCTCAAACAAATTTTTATTAAATTTTTTGTCGGGAACATATAATAATATCTCGTCAAACACCACCAAAACAAGAAATTTACATCAAAATTCATAAATATTGGTATTCCACCCAAAAATTATGTACTTTCCGATTGCCGGCCCCACTTTTCAGTAGGATATCCCAAAACAACATGTTGTGAAGTCATCTCAAACAAATTTTTATAAAATTTTATGTCGGGAACATATAATAATATCTTATCAAACATGGCCAAAACAAGAAATTTACATTAAAATTCATAATTATCGGTATTCTACCGAAAAATTATGTACTTTCCGATTGCCGGCCCTACTTTTGAGTAAAATATACCAAAACAACCTATTATGAAGTCATCTCAAACAAAGTTTTATAAAATTTTATGTCGGGAACTGTAATAATATCCTATCAAACATGGCCAAAACAAGAAATTCACATTAAAATTCATAATTATCGGTATTCTACCGAAAAATTATGTACTTTCCGATTGCCGGCCCTACTTTTGAGTAAAATATACCAAAACAACCTACTATGAAGTCATCTCAAACAAAGTTTTATAAAATTTTATGTCGGGAACTGTAATAATATCCTATCAAACATGGCCAAAACAAGAAATTCACATTGAAATTCATAATTATCGGTATTCTACCGAAAAATTATGTACGTTCCGATTGCCGGCCCACTTTATACAAGAAATCTAATTATATTCTGATATCGTTCTTACAATGGTTGGTCTTAGTATATAGCCACTCCAACACGTCAAGGTGCCAACCGTCGTAGTGGTTTTCATCTCAATATTATAAACCAGATCAAGAGAGAAAAACCTGGCCAATGGCATATCAAAACCAAATAGGTAAAACAGACTGATTCTTTGTCTGACGACGTACCTGAAACAGAAAGAAAATGTAAATAATCCTGTTTAATCAAATTTTCATTTGAATCAATAGGATCGAATGCACTTTTCACAATTCCAATCTTGTTCGCTGTTTTTCATAGCTTCAACAGGCACTTTAATACTACAATATTTCGGATGGTATCATTTCAAACATGAAGTGCATTCGATCATGGCCTGATTTTCAATGTAAGACAGTTGGCAGTTGCAAAAAATCTGAATTTCTAATTTTTTTGCGGGTACAACATGTTTAATGCTGACGTTAAATAATGACGAAAATTTTTTAGACACTATACCATCGCATATTTTCTTTCTGATATTTTTTTCGTCGAATAGTATATGCTCTGGTCTTGTTTGGTTACATAGGGCTATGCAAAAACTAATTGAAAATGGACCACATGATGCACCCAAAGTTTGTTGCTGAACAGCGGGTAATTCAATATTTACTTATATGAAAAAAGAAAAATTGAAGATGAAAATCAAATATTGGAAGCAAAATTTGATTTGCAAGAAGCAGAGGCTGCTGTTTGGGAGAATTTATCTGTGATTGATGATGCTGGAAGTTCTCGGTCTTCATTAGATATATTCAGAGGGTCTGGTGTTCAAAAGGAGGCTACTGTTGGAGTAACTTCGCAGACTGTAGAACACGAACAACAACCTAAGAAAGGTTCCTAATCAACAGGTCATCATCTCCTATTGCTACTACTAAATCTGCTGTCTCACCTAAACAAGACGTGGTGTCACCAAACAAGGATGACAGCATGAATTCAGGGTTTTCCCAACAATCGGCTGATTTTGCACCGAATACAGATTCAAATATTGAACATATATCTAAACCTTTGGTCACTGACACTGATAAATTTGCTCACAGTATAGCCAGAGCTTTTGGTGAAGCCATGCATGCTTCCAAGTTGGAATATTTGACATTTTCTGGCAATCCTATTGACTACTATATTTTTAGGAAAAGTTTTGAAACTAATATTGATGCTAAAGCACCTACAGATGCCTTGAAATTAGATTTCTTACTACATCAATGTAGAGGGAAGGCAAAATCACTCATACAACACTGTTCTATATTTGAACCGGAAGTGGGTTATGCCGAGGCTAAAGCTATTCTTCACAAAAAATTTGGTGATTCAGATGTTGTAACAGCTTTCAAGGAACAGTTGAATCATTGTTCGAATATAAAACCAGATGATCATGCAGCACTGCAGGACTACGCTCTTTTAATAAGGACATGTGTTCTTGTACTCGGTAAGCTTGATAGCCTTGGAGAAATGAATACATCTGATTGTATTATCGATTTTTGTCAGTAAGCTACCTTACAGCTCACAAAAGGCATGGGAAAGGAAAGCTGTGAGGATCAAGAATGATACTGGTAAAAAGGCTCAGATATGGGACTTGGCTGATTTCATAGAAAAAGAAGCTGATATTGCAGGTTCAAATACTGCGAAATCGTTGAACATCAGAAGACGTGAAAATAAGCCACAACTAAAACGGCAGTCAACACGAAAGTCTACAACTTATACTGTTAAAACTGAGGATGTCAAAGCAACTTCTCATGTCCAGAGTCCTACTATTTTGAAATGTAAGTGTTGTTCCTTTTCCCATCTTTTGTCAAAATGTGAAAAGTTTAATGCGAAGTCGATTGAAGAACGAGTGAAGTTCCCTAAAGAATTTGGTTTCTGCTTCAATTGTCTACATGGAGGTCACTTGGTAAAGGACTACAAGTCACAATATACATGCACCTTTAAAGGGTGTGGCCGAAGACATCATACTTTGTTGCATTTGAATACTAAGAAATCTGAAAATGAAGAAAATGCAAACTTCGAAGGGAAGGATGATAAACAAAGCCCAATTCAGAAGAATGTGACTTCTGCAGTTCAAGCTAATTCAAATGCATGTAAGAGCTCCATGTATACCTACAGGAATATTTTGCCTGTCAGGATTCGAGCAAACAATGTGGAAGTGGAAACATATGCTCTGGTCGATATTGGGTCTGATACAACATTTTGTGAAACAAGCCTAATTGAAGAACTCGGTTTGACTGGAAAACAAAGGACTGTTGAAATCAACACATTAGGACAACGACCAGTCATGCATGATGGTGTTGTAGTAAATCTCACTGTTGCATCAATAGACGATACAGAAGAAATATTCATCGAAAATGTGATGTCTATTGACAAGGTTCCAGTTCAACCAAATCCTATTCCATCTGAAGAAGAACTCAAGCTACTTCCTCATCTGCAAGAAATTTATCTACCTAAGACCTTTCTGCAAATACCCAAGATAACTAGGATTGAATGCTTTCACAGCCTGCAAACACACACACAATTCACACACAATTCGGGTGTCTCTTGATGAACTTATAAACGCGTCATTTAGAAAATTAGCAATCGATTAATTTTTACTGTCACCTTTTTCAGAATAGGGTTGCAGGCTGTAAAAGCATTCAATCCGAGTTATCTTGAGTATTTGCAGAAAGGTGCCTACGAAGCTGCTTTGACTGATGAAGTAATAGCATCAAGCTTGCCCAAGTTAGTTTTGATATGTTTCAAAAGCAAATTGCTCATTTCGACTCAAGTTAAAGCTCCCGCAAATCTAAATGTGATGTTATCCGTCAACGGTCATCTACTTCCTAGCAATTGAAATTCTTGCTTTGAAATGCTTTCTCTTGTAGGGGGAAAGTAATTATAAAAGCATTAGAATTAGATTTGCATATCTGTTATAATATCTTGATTTTATCATCCCGACAATAATAAATTTCCAACTGTGCATATGTTTTGTGCGAACATTCATTAATGATATCGGCATATATCCGATGTGGAATAGACAAATAGAATTGTTTTCAAATCAAAGATTATACCTTCGTCGGGGGCATAACCGCGGCCCCGAGGCACAGTTTATTAACGTTTGAAAGTGAACGAACCTAAATAAGCTATAATCTCGTAACTATAGAATTTTATCTGCGGGAAGTAAAGTCATATTTATTTTACCAATCAAATCGGCGCACAAATAGAGATTTTTTAATGTCTCTTCATCAACGTTGGCGTTGAGAGGCCGGATTACGAGTCAGAGTCGGTTAACGAGTTTATCAAACTCCGGTCATGCAATCCTTGGTGCACTGAGCAGTCATTCATTAAAGAATAATTTTATATAATATTTTAGGCTTTTATTGTTAAGCTGTGTTAGTTTCATAGCTAAGCTACTTACCATGCTGCACAGCGGTCAAGCGCTGGGATACGGAAAATACTATAGCAATAAGTCGAGTATATATAAAGAAAATCCGGTCTATTCAATTATTAGTATGTAAATCGTGTGGATAGCAAAAGTAAATGAAATATAAAGTCGTTTTAAAAATGGCGTGATTATAAACTTTCAGAGAGGTAAAAAACACGGGTAAAAATTTTGCCTCGTACTAGAACGCTAAGCATCAGTATTAATGTGTTAGAGCTTGAATTTGTATTATCAAACTCAAATCTATTCAAAGCTGTGGAATCGGAGAGTTTGGCATGTTTACTTGGAGTTGGAGTCGTATTTTCAAATTATCCGGTAATTCTAAATTCTCCGAAGTCTGAATTTTAGACTTTCAGTGATAATTACAGAAGTAAAAATTTGAAACAAATGAAGAACTGGAGGTGTACGAAGTGTTCTGAACAGTGTAAAGTCCATATATATGCGTCAAAGTAAATCTGATTTTTGCGGACTCCAAAGTTAGATTTCAAGTTAAAATTTTGCCTAACCCAGGGATCGGAGTCGGTATCGAAGGTTTTTTCTAACCGAATTTAATTGTAAACTGCCCCGATTCCACAGCCATGTTTTTTAATAATCGATTTTGTTGTTAAAAGATAATCGATTTGTTGTATGGTGCGTAATATGATGAGACCATATAATCAGTTCGATTAATTTAGCCTCAGATGATAAATTTGGTTGTATGTATAATATTAACAATATCAAATCAAATTACCATTCAATGTCAGAATCAATTTTAACATTATTGCTATAAATTATACTGATGTTAGGGCTGAGTAATGCGATTAAAATTACGAAATGACAATGCAATAACTCGACCAAACGGAAAAATTTGATCTTTTCAATTCGCTAAATATAGGCGGCTCGTAGTTAGAAACTGATTTAAACATAGATTCCCGCATTCCAACATTTTTTTTCTTATGAATATATTGAGTCTTGCGTCCTATTTTCGCAATTTATTTATAAAGAATTGACTGGAATGGACGGCAACTTCGGTGGATACGTTAAAAGAGTCATATTTTATCCTCGCCGATAGTAACTTCTTCTCTGCTTGTCCGTCTATGACCGCCTGCTTTGTTTGACTTACAGAAAAATTTTCCGATTTGAACGATCCACACTTTATCTGGCGGTGCAAAGAAAGCCCTGGAAAATGAAACATGTATTATACTTTCAACCTGAGTTCAACCTCAAGAGTTGACCTTTTGTCTTTATTACTTAGACTTATCTTTTTACGAACTAAAGTACAGATCAACGATCACAAAATAGAGTTTTATTTAAAAGCAGCATTTTTTCGTTTAAGTGCGACTCGAATTTTTTTTCGTGATTTGGCGTCGCACGAACAAAAAACCATGGCCCTAATCGGTTTGGTTTACCGTCAAACCCCTGATGCATCAACCCACAATCAACAAATCTTGCGTCGTTATTACTTAACGATCGCAGAAAAATTAATCTAGGTTTTAGGCGATACATTACTTACCTGTATATGAGCGCAAATACGACGCCTCCGAGGATATCACCAACCCACCAAACCCAATGATGTTTCCAAACATATCCACCCATTACAATTGCAGGTCCGACTGCTCTCGCTGCATTGAGACAACCAGCGCCAATCCATCGCCTTGTAAAAAAACAACAATAATTAGAAAAAAAATTAGAGAGTGACTCTTCATAACATAGTTCAGTAGATTCCAACAACAGATTATAACCGTCAAATTCATATATTTATTTGCGTCATACATGAATCAATATGAAGCAAAAAAACAACATATAGTAAAACTGAAATCATTGACGTATTGCAGTTGGTATGAGGTCGCAAGAGACTCACTGAGTCATCCAGTCAGCGACACTTTGATGCTGAATTACAGCAGCAAATTTAGCGACGAAGTAATCCGATGAAAAATTATTTCAAAAATACACAATCATGGGAAAACAACAATAGATTCAAATAAATGCAATCAAAGAGTAGAAAAAACATTTTGGCTTAAATATAAAATATTTGATAAATGTATTGCATAAAATGCTGCGTATTGCTGCGTAGCCCAATGTGTAGAAACCTTGCTAAAACGCTTAAAAACAGTGAAAATGTAGCCTATCATCACTTTTTTTTATTTGACAAGCCCCTTTTATTAAAATTCGAAATCGCATTATCCACACATGCAGTTGTGAAAAAGGAAGTTGTTGGAGGCATTTTTCGCAGTATTTGAAGCGTTCGTGGATATTCTCGCTAAAATCCGGTTACACCAAACTGCATAAAACTATACTAAACTACAACTGCCAACAAATGCGAAATATATAGATATATTTTCAAATTATATGTGTATAATGTGACCCTTTGCGTTTTATTAATGTCTCAAAAGAAAGTACATGCGTTGAAAGCACTTATCTCTCTCTCATCACAAAATAGTAGGCGTCGACTATGCTCCATTTATTTGATTGGCAGGAAATGCGATAGAAAGAGCGTGAACGATGCAAAATATATCGCAGAAAAATGCAACCTTGGATTAGCGCCAAATATGCGAAGTTCCCTGACTAAACGCCCTCTTTCAACGTAAGATTGCGGTTCAAATATTTTAGTGTAAAGCTTGAAACAACACACACGATTAACTCATAGAAATGTGATTTTAAAAATGGTCAGGTCCTTGAAAAAGTTAATTGATATATTATTTTTATTCATTTACGCGTAACGAGTTCCAGCAAAAATTAAAAAATATATAATAAATTTATTCCACCATTAAACCGGAAGGGCATGAAATATTTTAGGCTGTGGTAAAACAACATATTACCTTGGTAGTGAAAAACATCATGTATGCAGTTTCTGTTTTGTAAAGATTTCATGTTTGTATTGCCTATATCGAGTAACATTACAACCGGGTTGAGGTAGCTGTTTATGGGGTTTGAAATCAAGATCGACACAAAATAAAATAGCTATTCCAAAACTTCAATGTGGAGTATTTAACACATTTCGCAAATATTCAAAGGCGAAAAGAAATGTACTAACCCTCCTATTATGCCTTGAAAAACAGTCATTCCAATCGCAAAAGCTCCGGTCGCTTGATCGTATGATTTGTCCCCTACCATAACGTTGGTGAAAAAGCACATAATACCGGTAGCCATGATTTCATATGCAATAATCGCTGATATATTCGCATCGTCAGAAATCAAAAATGGACCGGGATCGTCATTCTTTATCGCCTGAAATTAGATAAAATATTTTCGGTATATTGAACCGAATTTGACACATACGCGACGTATTAGATTGGGTATTAAAAGTGTACATGCGTTTCTGTTATATTTTTTAAAACTTTTATGGCTATACGAATAAATCTGGACACAACGATACGTAGGAAAACAAACAGTATTGTAAAAAAAAAACAGAATCTTTTTCTTATAAAAACCTGATGAGTCATCGAACTCAGTTGAACGTATAATTATGAATGTCATTCATATATATATATCTCAAGTTATACATTTGATTTATGAAAAAAATTTGCAACAGTAAATATCGAATGCTTTAAACCTGAGCGATTACTGCCCCAAGAGCTGATCCGATTATTTGCATGATAATGTACGGAAGGTAGAGCCACGGATTTAAGTCCCCGGATATAAGGAGACATGTTGAAATAGCTGGGTTGAAGTTGATGACGCTGAAATTATTAGACAATGATATTATTGCATCGTAATGAATGTGGATAGCATGCAGATTCTGTGGTTGCAATAGATACTAAAAGTCGCATTACTTACAAATAAACATACTATTTTATCTACAGAGCAAAAGCACATCCTGCCCCAAAGTATAGGTACTATCGGCCAATGGTGTGTACTTTTATTAACTGGAAAGATTTAAAAAAAGATTCAATTCATTTGGTAACTTTAACATCAAAATACGATATTTTAAATGTTGTAATTAATGCTGGTCAATCTACGCTAGATCTACATGTTAAGGTTAAAATTGTATCAAATAATATATATATATATTATTTCCATTTAACCGAAATGCAACAATATTGTCAGCAAATATTGCGGATTTTTAGCGAATGAATAAATGATCATAAAACTATACTACTTGAGACAGACCTCTAAAAAAGTTAACACCCACCAGATTTTCCAAAATAGCACTATAAACATCCACACTGCAAAGCCTGCTTGAAAAGCGGGGACAAGAGTTGACGTCAGATATTCCACCTTCCATTCGTCGGGATGAATTGTCCTAAAATGATAAAAGTTTAAATGTTATATAATACAATTACATTCCAAATTTAATACTTGTTGACACAGTTAGTCGTTAAATAAATTTGACTTACAATTACTTAAACAAAGCAAAATATGAATAAATTCAGTTTAACCATGACGAGAGTTGGTATCTAGAGTTAATTAAAAGTCTGCTTTTCACAGGGACGCCAATGTTTATTCGTTGGGTATGTCATTTGACTTACTGAATTGTTACGTTTTGTTTGCTTTGCAATCATATTACACACTTTGTAAATGTCCACAGGTTCAATATTTTATTTAATAAGGAGTTACCAATATCTGAATTTTGCAAAGCAAAATTTCTCAAATATATTTGAATAAGGCAAATAATATCTGACATGTTCTCGGTCTGGTGAATTGATGGTCAGATAAAATCCGAAGCAGATGAACAAAGTATGATTAAAGCCTAGTCATCAGTAAAATATTTTCTGCTTCGCTAAACTCTCTACAAAATTTACCTGTTTAAAGAAGCTACTGTTATGGTTTTCGTCGTTGACGTATACATTGATCCCCAGAAGGTGTGGAGAACCATCGCAAAAAATTCAGCAAGAAGCGGAATGATAACGTGCACAGCAATATCTCTGTAAGATGATTTTCTGTATTTTTGGAGCATGTCTTTAGGCGAATTCCCCATTTTGATTTCGTATATTGTTTAGTAGAGGTAGACTAGAAATACAAGAAAATTTCGAAGTTTAAGCAAGATATCCAAAACGTTCCGATTCTAAAAATATAGATGGAAAATGAATTTTTGTTGTATTGGTGCCTGATGAGCTTGAAATATTGCCCTCAATATTCAGCTCATTTTGAACTCAAACTTCTCATATTTATCCAACTTTTAAAATCTGTTTTGAACATTCCATCATAATGGTTAGGATATAAAATCCAATTACAAAGCTCCGATTATCTATACCCGAAGGATAGAACAAGGATTTGCAGAATATCAATCGGGTGGATGGTACCAACTCTTTTACATTAGCTTTATACGCTTTTCGTAATTTTTCTTTTTTCCTTTGACATCAATAAAACCACTGTGCGTGCTTCAACCTTCTTTTTAAAGAGATTAAGTATGTAATTATAAGATTGACAATAAATATGACGCGTTTACGAATAACATTTACACAATAAACTGAAATAAACAGGACTTAGTCCCGATCTTATCTCATCAAAACTGAACAGTACGTGTATCGTGAATATGCAGGCATTCAGTGTTGTTAACCATCCAAATTTTGCAACTCATCTCGAAATCTCTTGCATAATCCGAAAGAAAGGGAATTTCAGCCAAACATTTTCACAAACAATGATAAATACTGTGGTCTTAATGCGTCAGGGTAATCTCTCTGATTACGTGTAGTCGATTATGATATGAACTTATATATTTTATAATGTAGATGTTATCAATCGGCGTTGGATATAGGAAAATAAGATATTAAGCATTTTTACACTGTATGATATTGTTTAATATTGTGGTAGATCTTTTATGTGAATTAAATTGTTTTTATCGATCCGTACCATTCAAGTCCGTATCGGCAGCACAATGTCCGATATATTCAGACTCGATAACGGAATTCCTCAAGGTAGCGTTTTATCTCCACATCTTTTTAATGTTATGACAAACGATTTGCCCCAGTGTGTTTCTTCAAACATAGCGCTCTTTGCGGACGACTGCAGTATTTGGGAAGTTGAGTTACGTATTGATCATCTTTTTACAAAGGTCCAAACTAATCTAGAGTCTAGACAATATTCATTGCTGGTGCAATGATTGGGGGTTTCGCCTCTCGAAAACAAAATCAAAAGCCATACTTTTCACGAGACGAAGAAAAGAAAAACCTACAATATTGAAAATAGAAAGATCTAGTCTTAAAATTGAGAAAGACTGCAAATACCTGGGAGTCATATTCGATTCACGATTGACATACAGAAAATACATTGAATACATAGAAAAAAGATGCAGTAAAAGAGTGAATTTGTTACGTGCATTATCGGGTACGAAGTGTGGTGCAAATAAGAATACCTTGCTCACAGTATATAGGGCAATATTAAAACCAGTCATCGAGTACGGCATGGAAGCAATTTATTTTACATCTCCGACTATATTGCGGAAACTGGCTTTAATCCAATCACAATGTTTACGCGTTTGCTTGAGTGCATTAAAAAGTACTCGTATTATAGCTTTACAATCCCAATGTAACGGAATGTCTTTACATATTATACATTATAGAAAATGTCTACATTACAAATGCAGAATGATTCCTCATGACAGCGAAATTACAGCACAATTATTCAAACAGTCGTGGGAAGAATATTTTCCGGACAAACCATCATTTGCAACGTTTAATATGAAAATAACCAACGGCTTTTTTACCGACTTCTTTGTTGTAAAAGATGTCAATTTTGAGATTCTTCCCTGAATAATGAAGCCACCGCAAATTGATACATCGTTAACGATTTATGGTACAACATGTTCAACAACAATACTTCAAACGTCATTTCTTGATCATATACACGAAAACTATCGAGGCTGTGTACAAATATTTACTGACGGTTCGAAAAATCCATTTTGGCGTAGGTGCTGCATATGATGTGCCTCAAGCGAAAGTGGAGAAAAACTGAAATTACATCGTTTTGTCACTTAACATACATCGAAGCTATATGCAATACTGGGTTGTCTCAAATGGATCGCAACAACAAGACCGGAACGTGTATTGACAATAACGGATTATCCCAATGCCCTTTCAGCTCTCCTTAATTATTCAGCAATCAAAAGCATATTAATTGCGAAAATAGATACAATAAACTCGATGTTAATAAAACAAGGAATACAAATTACATTCCTATGGTCACTAGCTCACGTAGGAATTATCGGAAACGAAATAGTGGATAACCTGGCAAAAGGAGCAATCAACAAGCTTTTCCTTGATGCAACCCTGCCACTTTCCGTCTCAGAAGCAAAATCATATTTTGATACATTGTCTCGAGGAAAATGGCATACGGAATATGTTAATAGCGAATCAGCAAGCCATTATAAAATATTTCATCTTACCACGATGTAACGACTAGAAAACGAAACTTTATCACGTAACTTTATCAAGTTATTTTATTCCGACTGCAAACTGGTCATTAAGCCCTGAATGCACATTTACATAAAATTGGCTGTCATTCTGACGGATTTTGCGAACAGTGTTTCGTACCCGAGACCGTAGCCCACTACCTATTGCATTGTCAACGATATAACCATCAAAGAAGACCAGTCATTAACAAAGCCAGAAAACTTAAATTGGAAATGACTTTGGAAGAAGTGCTTGGTGATATGGACATCATTGACACTGTTATCGAATTTGTCTTGTCTACGGGCAGAAATGTTTAGAAATAATTACTTATTGTAATTGATTCCATTGTATAATTATATATTTGTAAATATTGTATTATATGCGAGTATAGTATTTTTAAATTTGAATTGATCAAAGGCGCAAAAGACCACTGAAGTAATAAGCACCATAAAACATATAACAACAACAACTGTATAATATCATTTTATCTGCCAGCTAATATGAAAAACAATATTTTCTGAAAACAGATTTTACATTTCGAGTGGAGTAGTCAAAGCTAACCTTGTACCCGAGGTTATTAAACAATAACCATTTCGAACAGAAAAATAAAGGCATTAGTGTAAACCCAAAGCTTGTTACTTGCTATCTGGGTAAATCTAGCCTCACTTTGTTAAATTCGAATTGATTTATTGGCGCAAAAGACCACTGATATTATACACCCCTCAAAACATCTTAACATATAACATATGTGGCACTTGCCGCAACTATCCCGCGGAACAACTAAGACATACCGTAGACTCTGATCAAGTCGAGTTCCATGGTTGCACAGGGACAGGTGAAGTATGTGAACACCATACAAAAGGGTGCTAATTGATTGACCACGGAGTTATTGTTTTTACGATACTCATTTTTTTAATTATTATATGCCTTTGGCATTATTATAATTACACCACCAGGTGCTATAGTTTGTAAAACTTGTCAGAGTGGTAAACTTGTCACTTGGTAGAACTTTGTTTGTTGTGATCGTCTGTATTGCTGGATAACCATCTTTTTATTCCTTGACAAATTTGTTGAAAAAAACTGTGGAGGCAGAAATATTTGTATATAAGCTTGTGAAAAGAATCCATTATGAAGGCATATATCGTGTATTATTTATTGGACACTTTAGTGGACATAACGATCGTTTCAATATTATGTTGTTGTTGTTATTATTCTTCTCATTCGTCATGATAAAAATCGCTTTTCTCTTCGAATACTGGACCAGTTGCTTCGAAATTTTCAGTGGTTGAAGTTTGATTATTTCTCCAGAAGGCTATTACTTTTATTTATTCTTAAATTTCCTATGAATCCTATGAGATCTGATATTTCATTCAAAATTTCGCTGTTCTAAAATTTACTCATGGGAACAGTGTTTTGAAACTTATTTCAAGCGGTTGCGTGATCGAGCCTGCAGGTACGGTACTGCTCAGTTACCGTACCACAGTGAAATTCCTTTCGCGATCTTACTATTGCAGTAATACCTTAGGCTTACCATAAATCTGAAACAAAAAACCGGGACGGTGCGATTTGGAAAACATGAGATGAGTTTTTATATGCCAGAGAAGAACCGTTCCACGATCGAATAGCAGGCCTACAGTACAGCAACAGGTAGGCCTACTGGTAAGGTACCGTACGGTACCTCTGTGAATTACGATCTCATCTTTTCGTTACAGTTCTGATGTAAACAACATAAATTTTGCACTCTATCTTTTTTTTTTCATTTGATATGAGAAAATGAATTGAGTTCTTATATGACAAGGAAGAACCGTTCCGCGAACGAATATCAGATACTGGTAAGTGACCGTGCCGCATATGGTTATCGGGGAATCGATATTTTCTTCTTATTTTGGCCTGGTACCGTAATGGAAAAGTGACTCGGATCACTTGGTATTTCAATTCACGTTGAAATTGAATGGAGAAGAATAGATCATTACCACAGGACATGGAAGAGCTATGACAGTCCCTGTACCGTTATTTGTACCCATGTACTAGTAAGTCAGTTACCATAGCCATGTAGCTGTTTTACTGTTCAGATTCGTGCAGGATACCGTACCGAAGGCGTAGGGTACCCTATGGTTTTCGACGAAGTGATGATAATATATTTCGTATTATTCTAAGTGTCCATATATTCGAGCATAGCTCTCTTGTTTATAGAACTGAGGCTAATGAAGAAATTTATTCATAATTGAAATATTAGGTTGTCCCGGTCCAACGTCATTTGATATTTTCGCGTGCCCAAGAAATAGCGAGAAATAATTATTCTACTATGTTCATACTGTTTGTTTGCTGTCAAATTTCAAATTTGGTAAGTCGCTTTACATTAATCCATCATCAGCTACGAATTGGACTGTTTTTCTGATCTGGTATGGAATGCAACGGTGACTTAAGATTACCGACATTTGATAAAACAACAAGTTACATAAATCTTGGACACGCGGAGTGCACGTCACTACTTTGACGTTGTATTGGTCTCACAATATGTTTGCGGCGACAATGCATCAAAAACAACAACTTTCGGCACCTGTTTACGATCTTGCCTTTTTATAAGCCTGAACAGCAAGTTCAATTGGAATTTGCCATATTTTATATAAATATTTACCACGAACGCAAAAAGATGGCAAATGTATCTGATCGAATTGTTACAGCTGAATATTGTTGTATCATGATTTACAGACTTGTTTACGTTGACATCCATTAAAGTGATTATGACGCAATAATTGAGAAGTGACGTCAAGACTGAATATGTGGGTCACTGGCTTCTTTGTCTAGGGCTGCTATCTATTTAGCTGTGTAATTATATCGTACTGAATCTTACTGTATACTGTTTAATAAAGGCCGTTCGTCCGGCTGATGAATATTTGGATCGAGTTTATTGTGTGCATAGAACCTCGGTCTAATCCTGACAACAATAAATCTTGACAGATATCTTAAAACAAATTTATATTGCTCTTTGCATCAAAGATTCCTCGTGACTTTCTTGTCAGTGATCTATTAGCAATACCAATAATACACTCTATGAATAGAATATTATTTCCATTTGTTCAACAATAATCCAATTTTTTGTGTTCAATTTTTCAGTAACTTTTGATATTTTAATCCAGTATTTTCGACATGAATCGGTCCGAAAATTATAAATGACTAAATATGGGAAACTACTACTCGTTAAATGTCTTTTGTTTCTGAATTTACAAAAATGTTAAAATCTGTTGGCTGTTTCCGCGCATTACGCTTATTAGGAAAATAAAACGATATCACAGTAACTGGAGGTAAAACTCAATGCACATACAAGTAGATATGTCGACTGATCGACGTCGAAGTGTTTGGCTTTTCGCGAGAGCCATGTGCAAATTCTTGCAGGTTTATCCGATGTCGATGAGAATCATGTCTTCGATTCCGCACTCGCGATTGCCGTGTTCAAGTCCAATGACAATATTCTTTACCGCTTAATCGACATGGAGCAATGCTCACAATCTTTAATGTTTATGATACAAGTAATCTTTTATTTTATTACCAAATAAAAGACAGAAGTACTGCTTCGAATTTCCGTAACATCGATGCGCCATCCCCCCCGCTTCCCTTATCAGAACAACATTCTGGGCCATTGAGATCTATACAAGTTGATGATGTCACAAAGATTTAAAAAAATAGGCGATTAGGTCAACTACGCCACAAGTAATTGCCGAAATTCTATATGATTTTTCAGTTACTTATACAATGTATTCTTGCCTTGCGGTGAATTTACAGCCAAAACACACACCAGCACGGCCGCAGATTTAATCTTCGACGACTGCAGGTTGTACGCCGTATACAATTTTGGTAAATGTGTAATCCTCGCCGAGCTGTTTTCTGTTAACTATCTTTTATATTTTTTTTAGAAAAAAGGGAAAGACCATCTACAAGCTTCTCCTGCAACAGGTAAGTATAAAAAGGTAAGTATCGGTGGGTTGAGGCCTACTATTTGAAAATAAAAAATAAACAATTTTCGCCGACATGTACAAATATATACTTTTAAGTACAAGTTTCTAACAATGTATGTTGTGTACAACGTTAAAACTTATTCTGAGCCTGCGTACCACGTGAACTTGATGAGTACGTTTTGACCATAAAATCCTTAAAATAACTCACTATAAAAATTTAACCACAATAACAAAGACATGTAATATAAGCAAATTCGCGAAATAACATGCAAAAGTAATTTTAACTGATTTGCACTTATTCATAAATAATACAGGAATAACTTTAACGTATTGACCAATAATTACTCACGATCCAATGTGTTGTATGTGCTTGCTTTCCTTCGACTAGTTTCTTTCCGCGTGTATAACTTCCCGGCGAGACTAAAGCCCCTGTGAGGTCATTCCTGCATAAGCTTCTGAACGTAACACGATAGCTTGAATAGTCGATCGCGTCCAGCTTGCTGTTGACGTATATGTTACAGAAAAAGGGCGCGAAGATAACTATCTAGACAGATAACAATCTGCTATATTACACATATATTCACATGCATTGCAGTTTAAAAGCAAAAGAAGATAACTTGAAGTCAACTTTACATTACTAAATTTCTTCATGTGGCAATTTCTGTGAAAACAAGTAGTAGTATTGGTATATCAGTTATGGTATGTGGTCTTTTTATAAAAAGTAATACTGGTAAACGTCAGAAATTGGCTACGTGTTACCTGAAGTTGTCATTTCACGATTGGGGCACTTAAAACACTATTAGCACCTCCTACTCTTCTGCAGTTTGGTTCTTAAGACGTTCATGATCAGATGAAATATATTTGTGCCTGGAACCGTGGCGAGCCACCATTACTAGGGCTGGGAATTTCAAGGAAAACACTTTAACCGTTGACCGGATGAAATTAACCGATTTACCGCAGCGTTACGTTTAACGTAATAAATTATAATTTTGGCTTGTTACGTCACAATGGTTACAAAGCGTGATCTTATGACGGTGTAGCTCTATATTATTCACGAATCGAGATAGTTTTATGATCGCTCTGCTGCAAGAGATATGCAGCGTGCTTCGGACATATGGAAGTATTTTTAGTAAAACCCGATTCCGTTATTAAATGTTCGACGTGCAAATTCTACTCTGAGATATCATAATGAAAAAAAGAATCAACTGCTGCGCACATGTTGGATGACATTGAATACACGATTTTCCAATAAAATGGTGAATAATATGTTTTGACCGAAACTGATCTTGGATTTATCATTGTCAAATTTTATAATCAGCAATGTTTTTACTTCAATTATTTTTCTTATTCATTGGGTCCTTACCGATACAGTGGGTGATATTCTTCTGCATCAATCGCCACAAGAGAAAAACATTTTTGAAAAAAAATTATACAATATAAAGATATTTGTACCTGAGATGTCAGTTAACGATTAAAATAAATTGTAACCGTCAACCATCTAAAATCGATTAACCGGTTAATTTTTCCCAGCCATAACCATTACTTATACCTGCTGTGTAAATCACTTGCCAATCGTTATGTCTAGACTTGTCCCTTGTTGCCATATTGCCATAGGCAATACTTCCTACGCTTAGTGTAATATATGTTATAAGGAAATGATGACCCTAAGCCAAACGGAATTCGTATAATCCGCTGCTCATATTACACTCAATTACGATTGCACATTGCAGATTCAAATCTCATGCCCTCCGCCTTACCCAGCGTGTAAAAAAATGAGGAAGGCAAACTCTTCCGGAAAGATTCAGTCTTTTTTGGTATCTTCTGACATACCGTTAGATACCAGTGGTTTCAGGTACAGTCTTTTCTAGAGCGGAAGGCGCGATTAAGTGATTTATAAAAACAACAACAACAAGGAGAACGAGAAGTTAGCGGAACGATCAACCCGAACATTTCGTGCCCAATAATACTGACCAACTTCAGAAATAGTTTAAACATAGTTTAAACATAACCAAAAGTTTGCTTGAATGACTGTGGGACATAATAGCAAGTTCCGCTGCAATGACATATAGATTTTCCAAAATTTGGGAAATTCTTCTAAAAAGCTGCTAAATTAACACTGTCACGATCCTCCATTACGTAATTCTGTATCAATCATTTGTGAAACATTCTGACTTAACTATTCCCGAGTCACTCCATGTTATTATCTATGAGCCATGTTACCAAAGAAATGCAAAGCTACATTTGATGTAGGAAGATGCCATAACATATTTCAAAAGGGAAATGATAACCCTAAGCCGAACGAAAGTCGTACAGTGCGCGCTCAGATTACATTTATTGAGATAATAAGTCGTTGAAAACAGTCATTATTATTGAAAACTATCATTACTCTCTCAGAAGAAGTCATTCGAGCAATACAAATTTTAAATCAGAAATGAAAAACTTTCCAAACTTTAGTGGCTGACGTAAGTATGATTGCCGACGCTAAAGTTTAATAATCGTATAATAGCAAGCAAGAATTGTTTGTGCTTGATTGGGAGTTGTGTTGCCACATTTTTCTTCTAATACCTTTGTACTAAGTATCAAATCCTGTGTTCTCACGTTTTCATCAACTTGTAAAAATGGTGTTTTAGCATGATGCTTAAATACCTGTATTTTGTGTTTGTTACTATTTTTATCTATTGATAATAATAAATTAGTGATCGTTCATTACCATGCCAATTTTTTCTTGTCGTAATCACTGTATAAATAAGATAACTCAATGATTATTTTAATTTCTGGAGAGTTTTAATTTTGTTACAGTAATCGAAAATAGTTTCGAAATATCCGCCGATCATCTCAACCAGCTACTGCACCTTGCATCCTCCACGATTAAGACCCGCTTAAACATATATACTTATATATTAGAAATCAAGGCCAAATTGACTGGCTGTTAGTCTAGAGGTGGGCAAAATCAAATACTTCTCGAATCGAATAATGAATATTTTTCATCATAATCGCTGTCGTCTTTGGTCATACTTTTCACCGCTTGTAAATTTACAGTGCTTGTTTAAAGTGAAATGTAACCGAGATGCAGAAATGTATAAACGATACTTGAGTTTCTCGTGCTTTTCTATGGTGTTCGCAGTATTTTAGTATTAGATAGATAAACCTCGCAAATCCGCGATAGCGTGAATCCCGAATGTTGATTTAAATAGCGATTAAATAAATTGGCATTTCTAGGCCTTTGGGCCTAATAGATGGTCAGACGCTAATTATAATTAATTCCTTCAAGTTTTAACGTTATTTTTTAACGAAACAACACCCCGACGGTTATTATAGCTAAAATACGTACTGAGTAATGCTCAATTTTATTTACGGAATCACGCAAATTCAGCACTACACTTGATGATTTTGATAATGTCATGCCTTAATTGTTACTGCCCAAATGCTTCAAAATTTAACAATTGTTATCATTTGCTATGATAACAATTATTGAACGAGTCAGTGTGCATTGTTACAACGAAATTTACGATTGATTTTACGTTCTACTCTTGACTGAATGGCCATGCATGGTCGAGTGAAATGTTTACATATATATTCGAAAAATAACATGGCCAAGGATGGAAGTGGTCACTAAAGAGCTCATAGAAAGTGCTTTGAAGGGTGTAGGACATGACATTTCTCATATGGTTACAACTAGAGATGTACCGATGTATCGGTATCGGTATCGGCAATATCGGTCATTTTTTCGGTATCGGCCATGTATCGGTATCGGTTAGATTAAGGCGATATTACGATATATTTACCTTTTTGATATGGTCCAGAATGTTTAAAAATAAGTTGGAATACTAACTTTTTAATTTATTTTTGTCTGGAGAGATCGTGAGCATGAGCCATACATGTCCCCACCCCTGCGAGAGAACGGGATTCACGTGTTTTTAGCTATTTATCAGCTAAACTAGCTCAACTAATTGGCTATTTTGCTGTCAAATTTTTATATTGACATTTTTAATATTACATAGTTTTTATGAAGAAATATATCAACACAGCACATAACAAAAAGCAACTAGGCGCCCAGTTTTAAATCATACAGTGGAATTGGGGTCCTTCCTTATTAACGGCACATGGACTTTTGGCGCGAGTATAAATTCCTACTGTTTGTCGTCAAGTACGAGTGTCATTTAGTCCGTCGACATCGATAAACTAAATTCCGACACAATTATCCCACTACACAGGTATTAATTTTAATTCTGCTTAACTAGACGATTTCTTTATAGATATATTGACTTGACCGCCTAGCCCTAGACTGTCTCAAAATATATGATAGCAATTGTAAAATATTATAAAATAGTGAAGTGAAAAAATATCCTCAACGGTTATCGGTGGGCCTTCTTTTTGTCGGTGCTGATTGATATTCTTTCATGTTGGCTTTGACTTATTGCTTCGACGATTACGATTAGCCACTAAATTAAATATTTGTAAAATGCTTTTAATTTGAACGTAGGACGGCGGCGCTAGAATGTGTGGGTGATATTCGATATTCTTATAAACACGAATAGCGATATTCGAAGCTCGCGATATTAACATTAAATTCAAATTGGACATCGCGGCTTATGAGTTTTCTAATTGAACACCGAGATTACTATCGTTACTGTACAATGTATCTTAATCAGTTACAGTATATGGATACCAAACATTAATTTCATATTATGTGATATATCTTTTTTTTCGATCTAAAATAATGTGTACTATGAACAACGCTTAAAGACCATTGTTTAACCCGTCTGCCCTACACAGCATACCTAATTAAGTAATAATTACATAGTATCGGTATCGGAATATCGGTAATATCGGCCTTTTTGTAGTATCGGCGTATCGGTATCGGTATCGGCGTTTTTAGCTGGTATCGGATCGGTATCGGTATCGGCGACAAAAGTGGTATCGGTACATCTCTAGTTACAACTTATTGAGTGTTTAATGCAAGTAACTCATACCAGCTTTTGGAAAATCTTTGACTGGTCATTTTTAAATTCATGCTATTTATATAACTCGAATTTTCTGACGACTTAAATTCGCCTTTTTCACAATGAAACGCCGAAAAGTCATTTTAACATTCGATTTTAATCAATTTTATGTTCGGGTCATGCAAGAAATGGCTAATGACATAGAGTTTGAAATCTGGACAATTTAATTTATATAGCTTATCTGGTTTGACGTTCCTTAATTTACGGAATGGTCGGTATGTTTTTTTGCAAAATATAGAATTGAAACAATACGTTACAAAAAAAAGCATATAACACCATAACGTAAAGACAACGACTTTTCAAATTTGTCGCTTTTTTCTGGTAGCTAGCGCCGTGGGGAAATCTCAAACAATTCACGATTGAGTTGGAGACACTCGAATTCAGTGTCCAAGCAAAGCGACGCAGGTCCCGTGGTACCGGATAATCGAATAGTAAAATGCCATTCGAATATTTTATTATTCGATTGGTTATTCGAATATTTTGCCCAGCCCTAGTTGTTACGTGTGTTGTTGTTACGAAGACTTGGTATTTTAGAATACGTGCTTAAGTTTTGTTGCTATTTTAACTTGCGTTGTTTGTGTGCGGCTCTTCATAACATTGAAGGTTCTGAAATTTGGCTCTGGGACTAAAAAAGTTCGAGAACCACTGCCTTAGAGACTCTGTGATTTGGTTTCGTCTTCCAACAGTATCGTTTTACTATACCTTGTGCCTTTTTTTTGACAAATTCAGACACGTTGCAACTTCAATGTCACCCAATTTGTGAGCGTTTCATTTTCAAATTGGGTGACATTGAAGTTGCAACGTGTCTGAATGTGTCAAAAAAAGCACAAGGTATAGTAAAACAATACTGTTGGAAGACGAAACCAAACCAGTACCAATCGTGGCTCCGGTAAATAAATTTGAATCCGGGAGCCAACTGAAAAAGTGGTCACTGTGGGCTGTGGCGATTATAAAGATTCTGTTTCTTCCCATACCCGCAGTGTTCGAAATTATCAAGGCCACATAGATAACAATGGACTAAGCATACTACGTCTGGAGATTTTTCATGTCTGATCCAGTATAAAGTAAACTGGAAAGTGAGTCAGTTGGAAGATTGCCATTAGACATCAAACGACCCTATGATTGTTCAAATATGTGGATAAATTTATAACAATGACCAAACCAGAAAAATAAGAATATATTCAGTTTAACAAAACAATGCATATGTCAATTCCGTGTCCAATAACAGTACATATATATTACTTGTAAGTGATTCGTTAAAAATGTATTCTTATCACTCATTGAATTGATGAATTTGCCGTAGGCTTATCGCTAACATCCTCAAACAGGCAGCAGAGAGCCGTGGACAGACTCTTGTAAAGACAGTTGGCACCGCGAAAGGTCTGTGGGATAATTTACAAGCGACTCCCGAAACCGAGTTGAAAAAGGTCATAATCTGATTACGGTTTAATTGAGGAGGATTTGGGATTTCAGCTCCGAATTCCAAGAAAATAAAATTTTGATAACAAAAACTTTGGCATAATCAAGCTTTTGTTTACAGACTGTTAAGGATTAGTAAACTTGGTGCTTTTTGAGTCTATGTGAAAAATTCTGACTTCTTTTATCATTAGGTGTCAAACTTAGAAAGACCAGGGAGTTTGAAAATACAATTCTGAATCCGATGAAAATATGCCACAGTTCGACTCGAACAAAACATCCCTGCAACATATATATTTCCGAATTTCCAAGGTTTCTCACAACATCTATACTACGAACAACATTATGTCGTTACAACAGACTTTTTGGATTCTAGATATTAAATTATATTAGTTCTGGAAGCCGATCTTTTCATTATTTTGGATTTTGTTCTCGCAATGAGCATATATTTGCTCATTTAATTGGTTCCTGCAACTTCCCTTCTAAGAAAATTGTGTAAACACCTTTTTCCTTGAAATTTGTATTTGATTGATTTTTACTTGTTTGAAAAATTAAACTTGACTTTATCACAAGTTGATTTTGTGATATAAGTTCAGCCACGTGCACCACTGGTATGTTATGATTTCTATGTTTTTCGTTATTGATAATACTGTACTGAGAGTCTGAGATATAATAATTTTTCAAGGATATGCAGTGGAAAAGTGGTTAGTTTGAAACAGAATATTATTTCTAATAAAATAAATATCAAAATCCAATATCAATCAATCAATCAATCAAAATAAACACCTGAAATTTCGTAGTCTGAAAATGAAGGAGAAATATTTCCGAGGTCAAAGGTTATATGAACAGCTATTGATCTAAAAGTCGTGAGTCTTCAGCGCCCATTTATCTTCGGTCGGTAATCAGTCCACGATTTTGAAGCAAAACGTAAGTCAATATCAAATTGGATCATTGATTCCAGAATAAAATCTAGCATAAGTTACAGGCTACACTCCTCAATTATATTTGTTGGTTATGGTCTGTAAGTTCATTTAAAATATCCTTTTCGTTTATTAGAATGTTTATAAGTCATTTCAGACTATTCGTTATTATATCAATTAGACATGTTATATTAGACATTCTACTAGCGTGTTGCTGTTAATAAGGGAAGTCTGAATAACGAACCTATAGTCTGTTATGTGCGGAACACATGTGCAGTGACATCCTCACTTTCAGCACTCGATTTGTATTTATTGACGTGGGCCAAACTCGGCGGTATGTTGATCTTCAACGCGTCATATTTTCACACGAAATAATCGACGCGAATTACAATAACATAATGACTTTATTATCGTCATAATATAAGTCAGGTCTGCTACCAAACGATAAAGATAAGCCGCGTTTAGCCTGAGGCAAACAACACAATGATGAGCTTGGCAGAGATGGAACTGAAGGTTTTCGTAACTTTCAAGACTTATTACCCTGCGGGTGTTTGATGTTTCAAGCTTGAGTGAAAAGCACTAGGTATATGAAAGGGATTAAAACTAAATTCCTTCAAGCAATGACTGATGGGCAGGTCGAGTCGGTACATACAGTGGCGAGGTTCTAGGCATAATGTAATTGTGCAGTTTGGTGTGAAGTGCTAGCTTAAGTCAAAATACCTATTATGAGTACAGGATAATTTCTGAAACTGTTCGGAATATAGAAAATCACCAAGAGAACATCTTTATATACTTCAAACTTATCGCGTGAAACGGACCGTAGTCTACTGAGCTAGAGTACAGGTAACGTTAAATTAATTCGAAACATGATTTGCCATATACAAATTTTGTGTACACGAAAATCTATATAATTAGAATAACAGCGTCATCGTGTAAAACTGAGAAGATATACTGAGCAAAATAAATTAAGCTATTTATATATATATCAGCTTTAAGCTTAAATGTGATCAATTATATAACTTTTGACGCAGTGAGAGCAGAGGTTGAATAACCATGACGCACCGTGACAGTTACTGCACATTGCTTTACCTTGTCATTGCATGTTCGCTATTTGCTCGGTATGAATCGGCAATTGAACGGGTTCCGAACAGCTCAGATCCTGGGGAAGCTATAGGTAGCTGCATCGGCGATACCGGGAATTGTAATGAGGGGAATTTGGAGATCAAAGAGAATGGTGGAGGCTGGCAACCCTTCCGTGTATCGACACAAGGCAAATGGATATCTTTTGAAAAGTAAGTGTATTTCAAGATACTGTAATTGTTGGTAAAAAACAAAGACAAAGCCAAAACTGCTCATATCTAGATTGCAGGGACCAAGGTACATAGGTTTGACACTACTTTGATATTGTTTTGGTTCGAAATAGCGTTTCTACGTCAATTTGTGGTGTCTGGTGACTCACCTAATGACAGAATTGATAGATATGTCATGGGTGGTCTGAGTTACCTGCGCTAGAACTGATGTGTTTATTCCCAAATCATGCTCGCTAAACACACAAATTCATACCAAATGCCACCGATAATACAACAATACTTTTATTAAACCGTATTCTCCTTAATATTGAACTTGAAATCGTCGCGTTGCGGTTAAACCTTTTGATCGGAGAATACACATTATCTCAAGAACAGGCACTTAGCGGAAGACAGCACACATAGTCAAACACAAGTACATCTTTTTACGCAAGTACGCTTTCTAAGACAGATGTTCCTAATATGTCAATTCTTTGTGTCATCAGACAAAACTGGGGCTCGTTCTCCGTAATAATGAACAATGAATAGTAATTTGTTACTTTCGTGTTCAAAGTACCAAAATGTTTGCTTAGGTATCAGACTGTCTAAAATATACGACTTTACAATCGTTTTTAATCGTATGACAAACATATATCTTTAATGTCGTTAACCACAAATTTTGGTCCGACTTGACGGCAGCCACGTACGCAATGTCAATTTACTGGGTATTATCTCATCTGGAAATAAAATTGTAAATTATTATTTGCTAAAAGTAACCACAAGACAAATGAAGTGTCTGTATTGTAAAACGCATGATCACGTCGCAATTTTTTGCGAGTAAAGTAACAAACACAAATTGATTTGAAAAATAATTCGCATTGGGAACAATGTGAATTATTAACGGTAGGTTTACTAGCTTTCGATTTTCGAAGACTAGACCAAGCCCGATTGCCAAAATCAGCTCCAAAATCTGAAATAACTCGTGCTTGCTATTGTTATATGGCTAATGCGATATATTTTTCGTGATTAAATACTTAGAATGAGGTTTTGAATAACATTTTTAACTCAGCCTTGCTCGAACCAGGAATCGAATATTTTTTGAACACATGAGGAAGATCCAACAGCTTTGGCAGCACAAAATCAAATATAGCCTGTCATCCTTTGCGTGTTTCAAATTTCTATGTTCTGGCTAGCTCAATCCCGCAAACTCAAAAAAAAAATTACGTTTTCTTAAATTACTCCGATTGCTTCGAAATTTCGTTGGTCAAAGCTTGTTATTGTCGCTAGAAGGCTTTTACTTTCGTTTGTATTTGAAAAATTTTAGTGGGCTCTTTGGTATCCGTTTTCTGTGTATAATGAAATCATCAAAATTAAAAACTGCGGACATTGTAGCGGTTCCGCGTTCGCGATCTTCGCTATTTGGTGGTCAGTCGAAGTCAGGATCGTTACGTACCGTACCTGTATTGTGGATGATAAAATACTCATACCATTGTACTACAGCACTTTGTGATGCTCTTCATCTCCATGTATTTGAGCATTGATCTTTTATTTGAAGATAACAATTCCTAATAAACATAGTATTATGCTGTACGTACTTTATAGCATGTTGTATCTATTTTAAGCATCAATTTTATGTTTCTCTAATTTTCTATTTTTTATTCGTATTTACATTTTCACAACTAATTTCCTTAACCATTAACGTGACTGAAAGTAGTTAACTATGTGGATATTTTCATGACGCAAAATTGAAATCACCATATCTTTCAATATATCATTAGCTACCGTGCAAACAGAAGTGGATTATTACTTGAGATGTTCAAACCCTTTTGGTCGGGTATTCTAAAATTTCGCGTTGTACTTTATTTGCTGTATATACATTTTGAATAGTTTAATACGGTCTTTTAAATTTTACTTGATAGCGTATAAGTACTACATAGAACTGATAGATCTCTTCAAATTTTTCTAAAAATGTGTTTTAATTGACAATTAGAATTACATGATATTTTAACTTTTGAGAAATGAAAGCATAATTTATGTTTTTGAAGTTCGTGTACACTTTATAGATTAATGTTTCATGTCACCGCATATATGTAAATGTATATGCGGAATTCTGTTTACACTTTATATTCTTTCAGAATACGTGTAAAGTTTTGCTGCCGAGTAATTTACTTTAAGACGACCCCAGCACAATCAATTTTACATGTTATAGTAATGTTTGCATATAATAGATATATAGTGTAATTTTCCCAAACAAAAAAAAATCCACTAATATGCTGTGCCGAACTTGTCTACAGCGGCGGAGCAGACCAGCCAAGTGTAATAAATACTGTGAATTGCTCGATTCATTTAGTGGTCTTACTTAGTATTTATATAATGAGATCACCTAATAATCAGTTATATTTGGGGTATTCAACAGTTGCAACGGAATTCTGAATTTATCATATTTAGTAATTGTTTAAATTCAAAAAATGAAACATTCAGATTTTCGGATTATGTAAAGATCGAAATTTTGACCACTTCATGAAATATCGACAATCACCTGTCGAATATAATTATGACCAATAATAAAATTAGTTTTATTTTGTCCATCAGCATTTGCCCAAAGTGCGAAGTATATTCGTTTGCACGCAACATTGATACGCAAATACCGAAGTTTCAGTGATAAAAACAATATAACTGGTCATTGCAATGCCATTGATCGGCCTCGTGATATAGTATTGTAATAATATACGATTGAATAGAGTTTTGTTTGCTTAGTGTTATTAAAGCGTGACGGTGTAAGTGCAACGTACCTGAACTCTAACTGATATTTATTTTTACAGTCTTGCTGAAAAGTATGCTGCATGGCACGAACGAGCTCTTAAAAATGAAGAGATACAATGCTCCGAAAGAAAAATATTAGTATTCACGCCCAATGCAGGACTTGGGGACAGTATTGGCGCATTGACGTCAGCGTATATGTACGCAATGCGAACAAGCAGGTACATGATATTTTGGTAATTTTTCAATTTCCTCCCAAGTAATAATACATGGGTGGAACATCATTGATTGACGGATAACATGCTAAATTACTAATGCAATTGATTTATCAAATATATACTGGGCATGGACCAAGACCGAGAGATGAGATGAGGTTTCTTTCATATCACAAACCAATAGCGATTCCTACAATATCTGCCCAACGGGACGCAAAAATATTACTTTAATCAGTTTTTGCATTAGCATGACGAAAACTGCCTTTATTGTATTGCATAAGTTAGTTATGTACGTTACAACGTAGCAAGCGCCGGAAGTATTTCGAAAGCGTTCTTGCGGAATCTCAGTTATTATTACTGCCAAAGAAGGTTGTAAAAATTGTGATACATAAATGCTTGTTATATGGGATGGATTTATGATGCCAATCGCCGCACGACGCTACGTTGATATGTTCAATCCATTGTCGAACCCTGTTCCCTTCTGAGGTATAAATATGTGAAGGACCATGGAAAAGTCATCTACGATTGGGTGACACTCGACAGGCCCATTTTAATATGTGTGGGTGTGGTTTGCGAGGACAATTCATTTGCGAACAACCAATTATGTCATGAATCTGACGTTCAATACTTACTCCAACTATATATCTCCAATTTAAAGTTTATGTCTACCATTACCCAAAACTTGTTATCAAATTTAGTATCTCAATAACCATGCTTCAAATCTGGTGTTCGTTCATAAGATTTACACGCAAAATGATATGATAACCGGAAAGCCCTTCATAGAAGAGGCCATAAATCCACTACAATCCCGAAATCCTTTCGATGAAGCTCTTGACAACTATATTATCCCTAAAACAGAGTTAACTCGCTGTAAATTTTCTTTTTGGTGCGTGCTTCGCTGTGTGTATGTACGTGTAGTGAACTTTGTAATTCATAAATATGTCCATTAGTCACGTGTGATAAATCAATTGAAATCGTGATAGTTATACAAGATATTTCTTAGTGATCGTTAATATGTGTTAACTATTTTCTTGAATAGTTTATATAATTGTAATTTTGAGAGTGATTCAACTAACGCTGTTAATAGCGATTGTTCTATTTAATAGTATAATTGTGGGAAACTTTGTTAATATTAGTATTTCTGGTACTTTTTATACTTTTAATTACGAGGGAAATTATGGAAATTATGACATTTAGATTTCCTGTTGGGTTTCCTGATTTTGAAATGTGCCGTTTAACTAAATTTAGGTTTGCCCGCCATATTATATTATCCAAATTTTCGTAAATCACTCAAAGTGAAGTAATGGAGATTTGTTTTTTAATACCTTTCGTCCTGGGATGTCAAAACTGATTCGAATATATAAATATTGTTTTTATTCAATACAAAATTCTTGATGCGGAAATGCTTTAAAATATCTCAATTTCAGAATTTGTCATTGTAAATATTGAACATTTGGCGGTCAGACAAAAATCAAAAATAAACCTACTTGAACTTCTGACACTGTGAAAAAGAGATCAATAATCGAACCGATGATTACTTTGAACATTCTGCACAATGCCAGATTCAATTTTCACAAATTAGTTTGTGTGAAAGTTTTCGTTGAAATTGACCAATATCCCTATTTTAGAATATATATCATATTTCAAAAATAATATTTCAGAATGTGTTCGATATAATTAATTATTTGGTATTGGTCATCCTCGAACTACTGTGCTTATGGGTTAGTTTTCCGCGTTAAAAAGTCGACTTTCCAATTTCATACTTTTTCACACATGAAACATATATGATCCGTATTCTATAATCACATTTTGTATGTGATTCTGTTGACATAAAAATACAAACTTCAGAGTGGACAAGGCTTTAAAATCTTCAAATTCAAAATCTTGTTAAATATGCAAGATAGAATGTATTCGCCGTTGCATATCTTTGTTTTGGCTCTGATGTTTCAACGTTAAGTACGTTCGACATGTTGCATCCGAATCCACTTGCCAAAATCACTGTTTCGGAATGTTAATTGGCGCTTTTTCTGTTTACATATCGTCTAGCCAGCGTGATAAAAGGGTCTGACTTTAGTTTCATAAAGTTATCTCTGCCAAGCTTGTGCCGTTCATATGGCTTTCTTTTTATTCGAGATCTCACTATTGCCCAGTTCAATGAAGTATATCTTATTATAATCATTGAAAGTGAATTTAAACCATGTTTTGTGCGAAAGTACCATAACACGATTAACCGTGTTTTGTAATCACGATTTTCGCTTGAAATCTGAACAACTTTTTTCAATTTCTAATGGTTTTCTACTTATTCTGATAATTAAAGAGTTTTAGATTCGAATTTGGACATCAAAATATTAACTATTCTATTTCTGAAATCGGGTCCTGACAAAATTTATAATCTTATATTTTGACGCATGCTCAGAGTTATATGGATGGTTTGACATTTTACTGTTTCGCGCAGCAAAATCATGATATACGCGGAATTTTCACTTGTATATTTGTCATTTTTAGTAATAAATACGTGATTCAGATTATCAAATTCTTGAAATTCGCTTCTTCTAATGTTAATAAATAAAAACGTTCCGCAAGATTTTATTTGAATTATTTAAAAATTACTCACTTCTGAAATATGCAACCCATAGTGCATTTAATTGATCGAGTATGAACTTAGACTGCCGTCTGAATTGTTACACCGTAAGGTGGCGGATCGCATAGAAGAGTAGCTAAGAAAGATTCAATTAAAGTTCATTGTCGAAAAGGCATACTTCACATGTACGACTTGATACTACGTCCTTGTATAAAGTATTGCTTCCATATCTACACCGGTGCTCCCGCGACTGTTGGTAATACTCTTGTACAAAATTGTGAAAGGGATATAAATATCTAATTGAGCTCAATTAGCCCAAAGCTGGCAAAATCTTCCTGATTGCCCAAATGCTTTTAGCAAACTTGTATAAAATCAAAAAGCATAGAATTTCATGTTTGAGTTGTCTGAGTCTTCATTTTCATTCAATGGGCCATATATCGACAACGCTTCTGTGGAATCTGTGATAGTAAATGTAAAGATATACATCATTTTCATACATATATGGAACACCATAACATTCAATCTTTTACTCATAACGCTTTTTAAATTCGGAAATCACACATGCGTGCATTATGCTTGTCTAGGTTGCAAGAATTCTTTTTAAAATATGCCAAAGAATATTCCTACTAAAACCTGAAATTCCTACTTGAAGCTTACGAATTATTACAAAATCAAAACCTACCATGGGATATTATCGCGCATATGATTCTTTCGTTATTTCATTTGCTGATTATAGCGTTTCCTTTTCGCAGTCGTGCGCTATTCAGTTTGATTCCTGTTTTAATACTCCCGGATATCCCGTTTGCTGGTATGAATTGGCTCAATCATTTTTTTTTTGCTATAATTAAAATTTGGAAATATATATGGTACTATCTTGGTATGTCCCACTAATTATTTTCTGGTCTGTTTCTTCGACTACGTTCATATCATGTTTGATTAGGTGGCAAGTTATCTCGATACTGGGACGATAACTTGATACGTAACTTAGCCTAAGATGGGAAGAATGTAATAAAACACTCTACCAAATTAGTGACGAGACAATAACAGGATAGTATGGAATATATTCATTAATTCCGATAGCAGCGGTTCCCATAGGGGGCACCGCAGCGATTTGCTGAGTGCGCCCCCAAAAATTAACAGAATTGTGTTATTTATAACTAATATATGATTGAATATTTTACATTCTAAGTGATTCAATAGTTTCGTTATTGCACGCTAACACAAATTTATTTCTGTAACGTCTCGTCTGACCAAGGTCAGACTTCCCCAGACATACATAATTCAACTTTCTATGTTGGTTACTTTCTGTTACGTAGTGTCTGCCTCTATTGTTACGTAACAATATAGGTAGTCACTACCTTCTGCCATCCCGACGGCTGTTTACATATCTGGTGAACTGAGTTTCGCGAATATGAGTGATTTTTTAGTATTTCGAAGGAAAATCAGGCAAAGATGAGGAAGAAGAGTTGACATTGCTTTCATTTTATTAGGCCTACATGTTTTCAAACTTTAATGGCAAAAATTAAACATTGACGATTACAAAATTGAGTGTTGTTTAACCCGGCTGCACATTTTCTCGCCCAAGTGCGCTTTAGGTTTTTTCCCTAATAAATTGGCGCGCACGAACAAAAAGTTTTGGAACCCATGTCCTGGAGCATTTAAACTGCCATGGATAACAACAATAATATTTTTCGATTTGCTGTGCAGGTTGTTCTTCATAAACTGGCAACCCTTTCCCTGGACAGTGACATTTTCAGAACTCCCGTTTTTCTACGATTATCAGAAGGCTTTGAAACTCAAGATCGGATCTACCGAAGACCCAGTTTTATGCCCAGATCAGAACGACGAGGCATCTTTTATGTATGGCCACATCACGCATGAACATCCATTAGTTAAAGAAGCTGATAAACAAGATTATGTTAGTAATATTTTTCTAATTTTTAGCAATATGCTTGTTTTTTTTATATATTGCCTCTAATGAGTCGATATTATAATTGACATTGTTAAAATTAAAATCGTAAAACGAGCGCCTCAAGGCGTGATACATCTTTCACAATAACAGGAAATGTTTCTTATCTATTGATGACTGCGCGGAATTAGTTATTTTAAATGGTCTAAATACGGATACACGTTTCCAAACAATATAGCCATTGTGCGATATAGATTTAAGGCTAAAAATCTCAGGTAATGTGAGTTCAAATCCCTAAAATTTTGAGGGGAAAACAGTATTCTCGTTTACATCCTATTTTGAAACACCGTTTGCAATATTGTTTATTTTAAATTCCACATTCAACGACCATTGCTAAATCACACAACAGGTAGTAGGACATTAACTAATGACTAATTTTCCGTTTGCATCAAAATTTCGAGTAAAAAAGTTTTTATATTTTTTTTAGTACACAGATTATAACGCGGTTACAGAATATTTTATGAAGCCATCTACAAAAGTTCAAGAAGTTATGGATACAATTACAGAAGGGCCATTCAAAAACCAAGATAAAAACCAAAATATACATAAGGTTGCAATTGTTATGCGAACAGGAATAGGAGAATATAATCAGTTTTTATCCATTGGAGACGAGAAAAACTTTATCACGTGTTTTTTGAATTATGCGCGTAAAATTTCGCGGGAAGCTCCCAACGATGGCAAAGAAATCAAATTTGTTGTCTTTGTGACGTCAGACAACACTGACGCGAAACAAAACGCTATTGATGCCTTAAAAAAAGAACAGGAAAAAATTAATATTGAAATAGTCACGCTTGAAGACTCTGCTATTCACGTGATGCATATGACGTCAGAAGAATCAAAATTAAAACGCGTTCGCACTAAGTTACGAAAAACTGTAGCTGAGTTTTTTATTATTGGAATGTGTGATGCAAAATTTTTGACCCACGGTAGCTTGTTCGGTCGTACTGCTGCCGAAAGAGGAGGAGGTCCAGAGCAAAACAATTTTTTCATTAGCGATAGTCACTGTGACGGAAAAAGAGAAAAGCATTCTTATTTATCTTGTCATAAACCAAAATATCCCTCTGTGTGTGAATTAGATTAGTTAGTTAATTTGTCTTGTCACATGCTTTTCCATAATAGATAAGCGAAGTTTTCATTTATGCCATATGAATAATAGTTGACCAAATTTTCTAAATTTTTTCTATATGTACAGTGCCTTTTTCTATACCAGTATCTTGCCTTACACTTTGACTATTTATGACAAAACACTGTGTTTATGTTAGTCAAGAAATATAAACATCGTACTATTATGGCAATTTGTTAAAGTTATTGAACATTGCTTTGATTTGAAGACGGGTGTTTTGAAATTGTATTAATTGTTGACAATTTGCGACTTACAAATAGAAGAACTTAAGATAGGACAACACTCCCTGCACTGATTTCACAAGCAACCGGAAAAGATTATGATTTTGTCTAAGTATATTAAACCTAAATATTCTATTGATTATTTGCAGTTGTAACTCCTGTAAACCAATTTAATACGATGACAACAAATTCGAAGTTTCCAAAACAAACTCAGCAACTCAAGTTTATAATCGATTGTTTGGCCAAGGCGTGTTTTTTAATAATTCAAATAATTACAGTAGACCTTTTTGCTAGAGTCTTGCTGATTACCAAACCCCTCTTCAAGTTCTGTCGTAGTTGCTAGTTATTACCTCATTATTCATATATTCCGTACCCAGTTGCGCAACAAGAAGATCAATAAAGGATGTATGCCTATCATATATAATCTACTCACTCATTCCTCCTTTTCAACGATTGCACCAACTTTAACATGTTATTACATTCTTCTGTTGGGTTGGGCAAATATCAAGTTTATTCATCTTTTGCTTCAGCCCTGACCACGTCGCTCTCCTCTCTTCAGTAACTATCAAAACCCTTTTGTTATAACAGAAGTAAACTGCGAAATAAACTCAGACACGAGTAGTAATTGTATTATGTGGAGGTGTTCACAGGACACGAATTAACTGAACTGTGCGTACATAAATTGCTTCTTCTTAGTTGCATCCTGCCTTTTCAACTCTTAACTATAAACGACGCACAACTATGCGTTGGATTGGACAATATGCTCGATATATACTATGCAACGTCGCCGACCACAGGCTTCATACACAGGTGAAAGTTTTAAAATATTCTTTAAGAAACAGCAAAGATAACAAGGAAAAATTCAAAATAAAACACGACGAGAAAAACAGTAATTCACGGGAACTGTAAATAAGAAATATGCTGAAAATTAAACTTGTGTACATCTTCATGCTTTTATCTTAAGCATCAATCCTCCTGGCAATCATATATTCACATAGACATTAAGCCTTTCAACTAAATTTTTTTCGGGTATTGCATATCTTTTTAAAGGGGTAGCCATAATATTGATAGAGTGCTCCATTCTCCGTAGGACATATCATCGATTCTTCCTCGCACGCAAGTCATTGTGACGTAACAACGAGAACCCGCCTCAACAGTATGTGAACCGCCCAGTGAAATACCGTCCCAATGACCTGCAGTATCTCCCAAAACCTATAAAAAGAGTCGGTTAATATCTTATAGCAATTGCTGTTTATATATAGGTATATCCTTGCTCCTTAGTTAAAGTACGTAGGACTTGCATTCTACAACAAATATTGATTGGATCTTCAAGGCATAATAGCACTTTCAAATTTGTTTTAATTCCATTGTTTGTGTGTTGTTTGCACAGTCACTTACTAAGACAAACCATGAAGATAAGAATAAAAGCGAAATACCTGATGTACAATTTCCACGGGTTTTAGCGACGGAGAACTGTTACCGATATAATGCACCGATACTTTTAGATAATCACACGAGTGTATTGTTCTTGTAACGTAGTTTATATAAACACGACCGGCTTCCTAAGAATAAAATAAAAACAATATATGTACTACAAATAATTTTAAATGCAGTACACGTATATACAAAATACATAAAAACGGATATATAATCAAATTTCTATATCGGATTTTGTATGGAATAAGTGTAGTGTAGTTTCTAAACAGAGTACTCCCAAAGTATGTGTACCAGGTTAGGCTTAGGCCATAATTTCATTCCAATTTTCCTTATTTTAGTTCTATTTCGAGTTCGGGGACTAGGCAAGTGACTCCCGTAGTATTTGTACCTGATATTATGGCCTAACCTTAACCTGGTACAGTGGCACACATACTAGCCTACGTTCCGGCGTACGCCTCCTTTGAGAGTACACTAAAAAGTGTCTTCGAGTTGATTTTAATCAGCTGTAGCCTACTGTTATAATTTGGGTTAAGCTACAACTACACCCCAGAGTAGCCGACCTCTATGGTCGCCGCTGCTCTGCTTCACTGCAGTTTTTACTTGAGGTAAACATCCCAACTCCTAATGTTTTAAATCAGTTCTAAACAATGGTTTTAACAGACTCCAATCTCACTCTATATATATACATATTGGTTAGTTTTACAACATATTTTACAACATAGCAAAATATACCTTGAATTCAAAATATGATGTTGCAACTAGATTTAACTTTGCAGGATTCGTGTTTTGCGTTTCAACAAATTTTAAAGCCTTGGATTTTACACTTCCCTGTATTTCATCTCTATGATCGAGTCGAGCGATCAAACTTGCACTCGAGTGCCGAGGTATCCATAGCAGGTTGACGACCCCTAAGTTGAGGTCACTCATATGGCGCACCTGATTCAAACACAGAATATTTTAATTAGATGAATTGTAATGATAATATTACGTTGGTTTTTAAATATTGAAAGAATCGTTTTTTGTACAGTGTCAACAAAATCATGTTGTTGTTACTAATGAATAAACTGAGATTCGATTCCCCCAGTCTGGGTATCCCAAATATAGTTAGGGAAATCAATAAAAGTGGCGATATTTAACGAAAATAAAACAGTTTTAAGTGGTAAAAAACACGAGTACCTCCAAGCAAAACCTTCGAAGCGTTTTCATATGGCAACACAGTATATATATATATATACATTCAGTGGTGGGATTCAAATTTTTCGTCAGCCGGTTCAATCACAAAAGTCATATTTTTCAGCCGGTTCTCAAAATTCGGTGTCTCATATAAGATGAAAATATCTATTGACAATACAGCAATAACCAGTAATGCTAACTGGCTCGCTGATTTCATAAAATTCCGTGAGACGGTTCCATAGAACCGGCTTAATCCCACCACTGTATACATTTGCCGTTGATGAACTGAACTAGCTAGGCATGCAAGTACAAATTTTGTCATGTTTTGAGGCTACTTGCTATCGGATGAGATAACTCAACAGTATGCGGTTGTGATTGATAAACAGATCACTACCGATTGCTTGTGAATTTTTTGCTCTCACCTGGCATCTAGCGGGAGATATTAAATCTAGCGAAATGCGATCACCATCGGCAACTGCGGTCAACAGCGTCAATGATATGGCACTGTCAGTATATGATACTCCTGCTTTATGAGATTTGACGAGAGTTTCGCCTGATTCACCATCTCGACGTTCAATGTTTGCGACCATGGAATAACCGTGTTCGGTACAAGAATCACCTGCGACAAAGTAAAATGACACAAGTCAATCAAATCGTTTAATATTTTCTGCCACGTCTGTGTTCTGCCACGAGTGAAACTATGAATCCTTATGCTCATTTGGTATGCATGTTGGAGTGTTTTTGGTTGTTTTGTTTGTTGGTAAATGCACAGAAATATATCAAACGAACCATATATATATATATATATATATACCAGTACAATAATAATTTTACCTATGGTATAAAGTGCTTGGTGATATTTGGCAAGAACAACGCCATCTTCGTTGAAAACAAAGTATCTTCCATCTTGATCGAGGTTGACAACATGCAAATCTGATGCATAATCCTGAATGAAAGATAATAGTAAAAGATACAATTTGAAATTTATATACTATATATACTAAAAACGCAGAGTCAAACGAGGTTAGTTTCACAAATTTTCGGTTTTTAAAATTGCAGGATTGATACAACAAGATCAAATCTTCCATGTCGAGAAAATTAATTGAAAATGAAATCAGATCCAAGAAAACAATGAAGGCAATGAAATACATTTAAAAATATGGGCGATAGGGCAAGCGCTTTCACGGAATACTTGTTTTTACAAGGTTTATTCCTTACCTGAGAAAACTGAGCATAGAGCGTTGAGAAAGCCGAGTTAGTTTTCATGGTTGCCCTGAAGGCCACTGCTCCAGTATCGTGTGACAACCACAGTACTGAAAACGGCCCAGATCTTTGGGACGGTGCAATTGAACGAAGAGCATATTGATCATGCTTTGACGGGAATGCTGCACATCCTTGATGGGCACTGTGAAGAGTAACCTGGAAAACGAACATTTTATATGAAACGGAGATGGAGATGAATGAATTGGATAAAGTGTGGTTCATTGTTTACTTTATTTACTTGTCAATGCGAGTCAATACAATGTCAATCACTGCATTAAATTACTCAATTACCCAAATATTTTGATCAGGTTCCACCTCCGCCACCGCGCCAAGATCAATGAATTTGTATCGATCTCCCGAGGAATGTTCAATTCTTGTAGCAGCCAATGACTTCTGTGACTTATCTCGTTCTACCTTTCCACCCGCACTACGATCAAGAACTGCTGTTTCTTTACCATTTGATGATACAGATTCAACACCATTTGAAATATGATACGTAACCTGTGAAAAAAAATGATTGTGTTTGCATTTGTTAGACAAAATCTCAAGGATCTAAACTCAAGTTAATTTTTTCTCATTCAATCATCAGTCACATTCCTGAATTACCTAGATTTTCAAAAAATTGGAAGACACCCGCTCGTTTTATAACGTTAACCAGTTTTGAAATTTATAAATTGAATAATATTGTTACACTAACCATGGAACGCAAGCACTTAAGATTTTCCCCTATATATAATAATAATGAAACCGATGTTCAATGTTATCTGAAATTAAATAAATAAGTTCCAGTATTCATTACTAACTGAGGGCCAAGTTACGATAATTTGCGTGATTCTTTTAGAAACAGTCCATACACTCACTGAGTCACAAACATTTATAAAGAGGTTTAAGATGATACTTGAGAACTATATTTCTACCGGGCCAATATTGAGGTCTGTGTCGTCTGACAAATTCGAAATGTTTCATTAAACACTGAGATACCATTGAATAATAGTCTATGGAAAATTCTGTAATGCCCGTTTTCCCTTGGTGCCCTAAGCAACTTCTTTTTTTGCTTAATGGGTAATCCAGCACTGGCAGTAAATAATATTATTTCACGCAATCTTGTATTCAACTATTTTGCCTTCTGCACGCTCCAATCACCAAAATCAAGGTATCGTGACTAGTTGTGTCACAAAGGGCAGTGACAGTTTCGTGTTTTAGGTCTCTCGCTTTTAAGTTATGTCGTTTATTATGACTTCAGACATTACGTAAAAATCATTTGAAAGGTAATTATCCTTATAATCTATCCCATGTATAATTATGTCTAAAACCTTTTTCAAGGACTCAGAGGTTAATGAAAAGCTCATTCGCTCAATTAAAATCTCCAACCTGAACATAACTTCTACAAGAATGTCGTATCGCCATATTCAATTCCATCCATATTATTCCATGCTTTGATAAGTTTAATACGTTTTTGAAATCTTTCTTATAAGTATTTGTAGGATTTCGTGAAGCTTTTCGTCGATGCTTCGTTATTTCAATAATCGTTTGATTATTTTCCGAGATGTCTAAAAATACATTTGGTTCTCAAACCTCAATTTGGAAGAATCAATACACACAGACAAGAAATATACAGGCCTGTGAGTATTTGTTCAATAAATCTTTCATTTAAATCTATCTAAAAGATAAATATACTTTATAAATTATTGGATTGCTGTAATTGAAGCTTTTTCATTGTTTAGTTTGAAAGTGTAAACTGAATGTATTGACTAACAGAAACAATTTGAGCATATCAATAACGTCATTCTGTTAGAATTTGAGAAGAACATGCGATAAAAATCACTTTATGTCTGTTACATCTGATATATACTCGTTATTATTCATTCATATCTGTGAAAATCCCTATATTAGAATGTAAAGCCAGTTAACAAATACCTGAATATACTAAGGAAAATCCAGCGTTAAGATCTTCAACGTTTTTGAGATGTTTATTTGGTTTCTTGAGTCCTCCTTTCCATACATCCGTCTGTTGTTCCATGTCTTCTGTCCTAACATAAATAACAAACATATAATTGACTTACCTTATTGAGTATGTTCAGTGCTGTGTTTACCACATTCATACCAAGCTTGTATAATTATAAAATCTTTTAGTGTGACAAATTACAACCATGACTCGTGTTTGCATATGATTTCTCTTTAGGGAAAACACCTAGATTCGATATCAAATAGCCTACCTGCATATGACGTCGCTAAATTTTGAACATGGTACGATAATATGTTGTAGGGTAGTACATGTAGAACACTGCTCACATTGGGAAGAACGTCTATTGAAATAATAGTTGTCTATACATGAAGCATCACCACCTAAAATATTATATTTTGATTATTTGTAGTGTTTCGTCTAACTTAAAAATTTGATCAGTAACACTGTATTTTACAAAGTGTTTTTGCACGATTTAAAATTGACATTGAACTGTTGTCTTTGTGAACAAGTAACTGTTTCAATAGAGACTCGAGAACCACGAAGTGTAACAATTTGTAAATAAATATAAATTTTGTTTTATTTGAAGAACAATGCATGAATATATACCTACGCACAAATATCCTCCAGGCGTATTGACGCAGAGAGCTCCTGCTTCCTTGCAAGTTTCCTCCTGACCGAATGTCGAACATTCATTGATGTCTTCACAAATGATATCTTGATCACGTGTACAAGGTGTTGTCATTTGGTATCCTTGACTGCACTCGGTGCAAGGATAACATTGATAATCTTCTACTGATAGAAGACAAGGAAGTTAAATTTAAATATTACACGTATGTACGTGAATCGCACATGAAGCACCCTCGAATAGGAGGAACTCTTTTTGCGTCGCATCAAAGTATTTCTATTGTTGTAATTATTTCTATATGTATTGATGTAATATGCAAAAACATTTATACATTTATTGTAATATTTCTGGTGTTCAACGCCTAAAATGACCCAGTGACTTGATCAGTAATAATTTTTCAAAACAAAAATAAACTGAATAGGTCATATTGGTCGCGTCATTTTTATCTTTAAAAATTGTGAAAATTGTTTGTTTGTGACACCTCCTCAAATGATCTACCTTTTATTTATTCCTATTGTGCTTACTACTCGGATTAATTTGACTTCTATTTACAGAAAAGCTTCCTATTCTAATTTAAATACTATATATATATATAATAAGAATCAATCATGGATACAAAATCCAGATTGAATTCGTGAAAATCGAGCAACAAACCTTCAATGACACAAAATTCTCCATCGTCGCAATGTTGACATAAGATATCTGGTAGTTCGGTTGATTTGATTTCTAAAAGTAAAGATGAAACATTATACTCAGCGATAGTACCGGTACTGTACTAAGTTGTGTGCACAGATTGTACAATTTCATTGTGTTATTAAAACAAGATATGTTTAGGTCTTTTGTCAATTGATATTTTGCAAGACCAAACTCTATTTCTTTATAATTTCTGCGTAGATGGATACTATTGAGTTCGCTCGTATGCAGAGATACGGTTGCAAAAATAAAATGCCTGTTGAAGATAAATTACGGACCTTACAGCAGATTTTCTCAAATGTATATTCGTAGCGTTTCTCAGAATTCAGTGCCTAATGTTTATTCTTCATCGTGCTTAATTGTACATTATATTCAGAAACGACGGTTATACGCGTTTCACTCCGAACTATGTACAAGCAACCACGGCGACGTTGGCAACTAATACTATTGAGGCGAGAGATTGTCCACTCAATTCATTACACACTACGTGAGGTGTTGGATATATGATTTGAATTCGAGATTTCTAACCCGAGATGCCAACCTAGTTGAGTCCATCATATTAACCGCTATGTCATGTTTTCATGCGCGTTTCTGAGTAACCAACTGCAAAAAGAAAAACGTGAACTGGACTTATTTCTGAACTGTTGCATCATTAACATACCGGGAATCAAAATATTGCCATTTTGTACAATGAGTGAAGTGGATACATCATTGGAATCTACATTGGCGTCCGCCGTAACATCGTCATCGGGGAAGATTTCCTCTTCAACGATCGTTGTTTCAATGTTTCCGGAATAGACCGATCTCATTAGGATTTCATCTGGGAAAATCTAAAATACGAGTTTCAATGTATATCAAGAGCCAGACGCTTGAATTCAGAAGTTTTGTTTAAATCAATATTATTTATATATATATACTTCTTCTTGGTTGGTTTCATTCAGAAATTCGACGATTTCAGGGTGGCCTTGATCTTGTAAAAATACATCTCTTTTTGGCGGCGCAGGCGTAGTATCGTTATTTGGTCTGACATCCTTTTTCGATTTTTCGGTTGCTTTCATAACATGAAGATTCCGCTCTTTGCTGCTGAAATAAAATTGCAACGACAATACACTATCTACACACGAATTATTGAAAATCTTTATTTTGGTGAATATTTATATGTTGCACCACAGGACCTTTTATCAATAAATTTGACGCCTGTTTTAGTGAGTTAATCTGACTATGTTTACCTATGGAAGGCTGTGATCTCATCTCAGGTCAAGATTTTTGATGATTCACTAATAATATTTTAGTTGCTTCTCATACTATAGGATAGGGCAGGGCTACTCAAATATTTTTACTGAAAGTCCGTATACAAAATTTAAAAATGACCGTGGTCCGGTCATTTCAAAAATATATCTTAACAGGTACGAGAGCAATGTTCAATATCGCGCTTCGTTGCCAGTATGACAAGACTTAGGAGTTGGAGCTGAGCGCCGACTTTGCTGAAAAAATCTGAAATATTCGTCCTCATACCACCCATAAAAGAACATATAGCGGTATTCAAACGTTTTTTAGCGACTTGAATTATCTTAAGGACTGAAAACTTGGAATATATTATTTGCGGAGCAGAACGATTTTTTCTAGGCAAGATTGAGAAAAACCACATCGTTCGCAAAGATTCTAGCGAAACGATTCATTAGTCGACATCGTGTCCAATAGTATAGTTATTTTGGATTCGTTAATCTGAGAAATTACATTTCTTCGTTTCTGCCAAGTATAAGTATAGTATACTATTTAGCAAAATCGGGTTATTGATCTATTTTTAAATTTCAAAATAGAACTAAAAACTGACAAAAAAAACTAATAAATACTAGTGCAGTAAACAAGTGAGTCGATGATTTGAGAAACGTTTATTGCTATGGCAATTTATACCTTAGTGGTTTAGCAAAAATGCATTACGAATATGAAATATCAAAAAAAACGATGCATTCGCAATCAAGAATCAGCTTGGGTACCAATTTAATACTCGAAAGATCCGGATTCGGACCGCCAGATGAGTAGCCCTGCTAGAGGGTATATATAAATGAAACCTTAAGAAATAAGAACTAACGCAAGATATGGATAATGGGAAAATGGAGCCAGGCAGCTCAATTCGTTCTAGTATAGTGTCGATTCTAGCATAGTCTTCACGCAAAAGTAGAATATAAATAAAACCAATACGAAACCAAACGAAAATTTTGATTTCAGTTCCAGAAGTCAAAGTAAGATCGATAGTTTGCGGTAATAAGTGCCACAAAGTATAGAAATACGAGTACTTCCATTCTAAAAATACTGATTATTTTTAACAACATTTTTTACTTAACAATTAGCCTAAGCCCTAAAACAATGAGATAATCATTGTGCTCTGGCAAAATCACTATTTGTTCTTTTGTTTTTATATGCCTTGCCAAATATGCAAACCAAAAGTAAACTTGTCATCATACCTTATGTCAAACAAATTTTCCACAAATCCTGGCGATTTAGCGTCGAAATTACTTTTGACAGCATTACTAAATAAAGCCATCATTTGAGCATTTTGTTGACGAAGGGCGGTTTGAAGCTGAATCAATTTGGCCTGTTTCAAAAATAGAAATATTTTAAAATCTTTGTTTTGACGATGTCAAAATATTTTGAAAAGTTGTGGCTACTTGCTCTCTGTGTGTTTCCTTGAACAACTCCCAAATCTCACTGATTTGACTTTTTATTTCCGTTTGTTGATCTTTGAGAGACTGTAAAACTGTTCCCGAATCGTCAGCAAAACGGAGATTTAACACCAACGCATCTTCTTGATTGAATCCAGCTGTGATGCACAACATTTTTCAAACGGATTTTCATACTGTTACTGTTTGTATTGATACTTTTAGTGTACAATTTTACTCAAAGAGAAGAAGTTGAGTTTTATTTTGAAATTATGAACACATAAAGATACATTTACATATTTATCGTAATGGGAACATAGAAGACGTTTAATACAAAAAAGACTACGCGAGAATCATGATTATTTTCTTTAATTGGGAGACAGCTCATGTGCTCAACTTTATTTTCTATTTTATTTTTTTCTAGATAATATAAAATACATTCGTGCGTTTATATTTTCAAATGTTGGCTAATATTTCGAATATTCTGATCAATTTATTCTAATTTATATATTGCTCATTCCCTCATCGTTTGCCGATTCAAACTCTGTTTGCTTCAGCAAAGGAGAGATTTTATTTTATAAAGTACAAAATATAAAAAAACTTATGGCGTGAGTTTTGAATACAAAACCATCGAAACATTTCAGACATGTGCTCCAGAACTATTATCAAAAAATCTAACTTACACTACTTCGACGTTATTCTAGATCTAGAAGATCAAAACTTCAAGCGTGATTTTAATATTGTAACCAAAGATTTCGCGGGAAAGGACAATTACAACATGCAAAAAATTTATATTGAGCCAAACGAATAAAAACATGTTTGCTATTGTTTTAATTATGTTTATAATTAAAAACAATATGTAATATTAGTATGAATTTCGTGTATTTAATCGTCCCAACTTGTCTGTACGGGACAAATATCACGCGACAACGTGGCGCACATCGTGATCGTGAAATTAATGTATAATTCTTCATTCGATTTTATAGACCGATCACGGTAGGAAACCGTATACGAGATGGGCGGTAACAATAATTCCTCCTTATGACCTTTGATATTATTTACGTCCTCCAGGATAGCCGGGTCATCATTCCAAAGAATAATTTGATTCATGTTAAGATATTATGTGAGTCTTACGACCATTTTGCTGTAATTGAAATGTCGATTAACATCGCTGATGTTGGCTGGACCGAGCTTAGAACAAGAATTCTATTTTATACGAAATTCCAAAATTTTAATTTTCTCAAGCATATTGATAATATAAACATATAATATTGTTTATTTCACAGAAATATTAATCAATAAAATCATTTATTTTGTTATCGAAATCATTTTATGGCGGAATTTACGGAATTCGAATAATTCAGACGCTGGTGGTCGCAATACACAGCGGTGTCCTTACTCCCAGTCGTCAAAATTTCTTAGAAAATACACTATAAAAAACTGAAAAATTATCACATATTTTACTACAATCTATATTGGCGATATTAAAATAAATCTGGAAAAATTTATGCGGACCTATTCGATAATACTATTTTGTTACTATCATATTTGTTACATTTGATATCACTTAAAATATGTTTAGTTTTGTCTTTTTTTCTGACCATTGTTCGTACGATAGACGTACGGTCTCCCTGGATTGGTAAACACTGGACGAAATACCGAATTATTCATCGACCAGTTGTCCACACAAGCGATTTTGATAATTTTACTACAATGGACTCAGCGATTTAGTCACAGATTAAGCTTGCTCGTGCCCAAATCATATATATAGCAATATCGCCACTTCAAAATATTACATTTGTTCGACAGGAAGAAAATGAAACGTAAAATTAAACAAAACTAAAGCATAAGTTCTATTTTAAATGTTAACGTTACAATTGAAATTTGATTTTATCTGCAATGATTGACGTAATAGTGAACGAAATGACTCTATTTGAACTGTATTTGATCGGGAAACTCCAAAATATTTCGACATGTAAAGCTCGTGTTCCGCATGCAAGTCAAGCTAATAAAACATAGCGGGGTGGGAATGATGAGTTTTAATTTTATTTAGATCCTCACCCAAAACGATGAACTGAAATCCATGTTCTACGGAAGTAACGGACGGCTTTAGAAATAATATTTGGTAAAATAGTTTTCGTTTACTACTGTTTGTTGTGTAGGCAAAGTAAAGCGTAAACACCAGGGAACTAAAGAACGTTTCCTTGGGAATTAAACTTATTTAATGTGAAATTTCATTTATTTTAACAAACTAAAATGTAATCAAACGGTGGGGGCACTTCGGAATCACATTGTTGATGTACATCGCGTCGAATGCTCAATGTGTGAGAGGTGGAGATTGCTGCAATTTCTTTTCTATGAAAAACGATAGCTGCGTGCCCTCATGTAAAGTTTTTACAGAGCTAGACGCTAAGAAACTCATTTATAAAATCAATAAATCAAATCACCCAAAATTTTTATTCACCTTCGTTAAGATCACATGTCATCACAAGTTCTGGTTGAGGTCCATCGGAAGATCCAGCCGCGTGGTGTGTGAATGCTGATAACTGCCTCTTAGCCCTAGCTGACTTGTTCTTTTGATGTCGACTATCAGTTCTCTCGGCACCTGTCGAAGCTTGACTACAGGAGCTACAAAGTATTAACAGTATCGTACATTTTGCCAAGTACAGAATATAATGTGTTGCCGATTTGTTCATGACTATCTATTGAAATGAGATTTATAAAAACAAAATATATGAAGATGAATATTCAAATGGAATCCAACCGAAGACTTGATGGGCGAATAAATGTTCACGAAACAAATATAGGATAAAAAAGAGTTATGATAATAAGAAAACCCGCATGGGTCCGATACTGCTTCTAAAACTAACGATTATTCACAATATACATAAAATTTTCCCACATTTTCCATTTTAAATGAGTTACTGTTGGAAACTGAAACTCATACCTCTTGACAGTATAAACAAATTACTCATAAGTTTCTCAGCTCTATGCTAAAATGTACTCCAACTGAGGCATGCCTGACATTCAAACACTTCTGGAGCAGAAAAAGAGATACTCAGCTGATATATCATTTGAAAAATTCGCTGCGACAAGACGAGCCTGCTTGATTTTGAATTAATTTTAGGTATAGTAGATTCAGATTCTTAGTGCTTCTAAATTTCTTTAAGACGATTTCTAAGATTAACCCGTTTATAGGATAACTTCCGAGAAAAAGTGGCAATCTTTACTACAATATACTTATTGGCTGGGAAATTTGAGACAAAGAAAGCTTAGGTATGCCATGTCACTGACGTAAGCTCCCCGTTATCATTGTGCGAATATTTTAGAAATGCCCTCCTACCGTTTTTCTGCCACCTGGTTAAATACTCAGTCATTTGTCATTCACGCCGAATCCTAAATTAGCTAAGGCGTCTCAAGTAAGCCCACATTTCAAATGCCTTATTATAATATGAGTATTCGGGAATGTAAATAGAATATTTCAGTATTTTTCTTAAAACGAATGAGGAGGCATAATTACGGCGTGCTAATAGCACAATCATTTGGTTACCCACTAATTGAACAGCCTGAATTGAGACTTTACCATTCGTTTAAGTACAAATTGGGTTTGAGTGCCAGTAAGTTGCCGCGGTTAATGCAATCCTGAAATATTTTCGGAAAGGTCGAAGTTGTACTCTCATAAAAGCCAAGAGCGCTGAAAGAAATGTCACATTTAAAAGTAATAAAATAGCTGAATATTCGGTATAACACAATGAGATGTTTGACAAAAAGTAATTCAGTGACATATTTTTTCCTAGAAATTTTTACGTGGCTTTTAATTTCAGCAGTTTTTTTTTTCGAAAAAGGGCATTGTCCTATTCAGAAATCACAATGTATGGTAAATTTGATATCAGTGAAGCCCTAATCTATCTGACACTTAAGTAAATGGAACTATATGAAATGGTAAAAGAAGCTACAAACAGTTTAAATAAACATGTAAATGTGATGAACTGTTTCTGTAGGTAATACCAGATTACGAATCATTGCCATTAGATTGTAAATTTTACGATTAAGCATTTTAATCGCTTAAGTAAACATAAAGCTATTTACCACAGACTAATACTTTGAACATCCTATACATTTTCTGCAATTTTATAATTACAATGTACACCTCTGACAGTATATCTCCATAGTATATTAAACAAAAATAGCCGAACATCGATCAGTAAAAACCTCTATTATCTGTTATCATTCCGTTGGCGTTGACAGACTAAAATATCAGTTTTCTGACTCAAAACCTACATCGGAAACTAACTAACTATCAATTTCAACGACCGTTTAACACCCGACTCTTTGATCCAATTATGGGAGAAAAAAGCTTAATTTAGACGTTTGACGTCTGACGTAGTACGATGTTGGCGCTGGTTGTCGACACTGTTGAAAATAAAGAAAATTAAATGATATATTACATAGATGGAATTAACCGACTTTCAAAATGAGCACCACTAGTCATTTCTTTTTGAAATTTCTCTGCGACTCGATCTCCATTGACACAAATAGACGTAAATGCAGTGAATTGTGGCTTTTTAGTAGCTATTATAGCTTTATGCAATATTTGAAGCATTCGCGGTAATATTATCGTTTAAACCCGAGAAAATCGCACCTTTTTTCTTGTCGCTTTTGAAGCACCTTCTTTGCTGAAAATGACAAAATTATACGTGGCGATGAACGTTGTGAATGAAATACTTGTTCGCGGTTTATAACTTTAACCTTCCTGCCCTGCGAAAAAAATAGGGTCAATTTTCAAATCGGGGTTCGTAAAATAATAGAATATCAATTAATCATACTTTTAATAACACACTGTGGACTAAAATGTCTGAATACATATAGATAGGGGAAACATTTCGTGTTATCAAAAGTAAGGACATAGGGAAACCAGATTTAATGGTGGTCTGAATGGATAATCTGATCTTTATGACAGTTCATATTCTTTGTTTAACATCGGCCAAAAATAATTCAATGTTTAACTTAGGTTTAGAAAAAAATGTCGTCCAGACGTACCGCAAATATAAAACATCATATATTTACTTTGATTTGACAGAGTTTGCTAACATACATACCAATGGATAATAATAAAACAGTTCATCATTTTAGGATTAGCAACGACGTAACCCACGTGTGGGGTTGAGGTTAAAATATTTGAAGAATTTTCATCCGCTTTATATCATTTAATCAATAAACATTCCACATACAAATAATTGAAACCAGACATTATATTATATCCCGCTGCTTTGGAAACAACAAAAATACCATCCATTCATATGAAAAAAACGCAGAAAATTTACATTTTTGCGGGTGACTCAAATCTAGACAAGTAAACAGTTTCGACTTAAAATTCCGCATAGGTTATCCAGTTAAACATAGACTAATGCCTCAATAATAACAATTAGGCGGGCAACGATGCACAACAGCTGATTTCGTGTTTTACGCAATTTCGCCCGAAAATTTAAATAGATTATTATTGCGTCACAAAGAGAAAACATCTTCCGTCCATGCCCCTCACTAATCCCATTGTCTTTACAATGCACAATTACCACGGATTGACGAAAATAGTTTGTAACAACATTGAGCTTGTATACTAATTATATATTTTTTGCTAAAAAATATGATTATGACAAAATTAGTTCAAGAATAACACGTAGTTTGTTCACAAACAAAAATTATAATCAACTAGAAGCATGTCGTTATATTTCAAGTTCTCACGATTCGAATCAGGGTGTCCTCTTACCACAAATTCAAGTATCCTGCTCGACCATTCCTTTCTTTTGAACGAACAATATCAATAAACACCAATATTTGCGGCGAAGGTGAAGCTTCTAATCTGAGCTGCACGTGATTGTTGCGCGCTGATATCAGATTGTACGTCTCGGTCTGTATTGGTGGGGCACAAAATCACACAATTTTGTATGATTATTTCGTACCGTTCCTCTTACAAATTAAATGCTTCTAGCTGAAATTTAAAACCCTAGTAGTTTAAGATCAAACGGGAAAATGCTGTTCTGTCATTCCATATTCACTTCATGGTAACGTTTTCTCTAGTTTGCCTTGTTCAATGTGGGTGGCATTCGGTTCTTTTTTTATTGCAGCCGTCTATTCTTTTAATTGAACGCAGACCATTTTCATCGTACAAATACTATCTACTGTCGTGCGTCACAAGGGGGTCACTCAAAGGTCCATCGCGCGATAAATCCCTTAAGTAGTTAATCTTGCCATAATAAGTCACGCTCTTTACATTTTTATAAGTAGGCTAGCACATACAATGCTTTTCACCTGCTTTCGTACAAAAAGGGAGAAAAACGAAACCCAAGTCTCAAAACCAGACGGAGCAAATTTTTAAGAGGGAAACATAGTTGTATACAAAAATTCCTGATTAAAAATAGGAAATAGGCACCCGATTTATGCCAAACGCAGATATAAGACACTGCATCAATTTTTTTAACAACTTTTCGGTGACGCAATTAGCGACCTTGAAATTCCGTTGGAAACTCTACACTTTACCCCAAAATAAAAAGACAAAAATTGCCGCCAAATCAGGAAAAGATTTGTCGAGACCTCGATTGATAATACGTGAACCCAAGCGCCTCGTCTTCCGCTGATAGAGTAAACAAAACGATTACTCATTCTTTTAGGAGGTTGTGGGGTTAGGGAAACAGTCCAAACAACCGTTTAACCTTCATGGGAAGTCTTGTTCCAATCCTAAATCTTTGTGATTTATCCCAAAATAAAGTGATAGTGTACATTAGTGTGCAACAGCTGATGATAGGAATCGAATATGCTTCATCATTCCGATAATGAGCAAACTAGACGTTTTGTGATAAATGTGGTCGAACATCATGTAAAAATATATTTTGAGCGAGTTTTGCAACTTCTTAATTTTATCCAAAAATTGTTCTCGTCGAACGACTGTTACTAGTGCGTAAGGCCTCACCATAACTTTATATAGTTTCGGTAGCTTGAGGCAACATAATTTTGCTCAGAGTGAGCCTACAGACTAGCCTGAAAAAGTTAGAATCTATCATCATATCACTTTTTCCCTGATCGAACTCCATAATCTGAAAAGTTATGAATAATCGACAAAAAAGAACTAACTTCACGGAAAATGTCATGAAAACATGCTTATACGAATAGAATTAATCATGACTTTTCAGAGAAGACTTGGAATTTTATTCAAAATGATAACGCTTGACAAAGGTACACCACGACAGTACAATATTCCGGATAAATATCTTTAAGGAGTACATCTAATGTATCATGGAGCCGATAAAAGTAATGTTTCAAAGCAACATCGCTCACTTCTCCGATTCCAAAATTGTCTCGATATTTAGGCATAAGAAACAAGCGCACAAGATGTGTCTGTGACGTAGTTGTCTGTCTGTCCGTAGTTGTTACTTATCGATCTTAAGATCGGTAAGTATGTTGATAGGTATTTGTATGTCTGTTTGTGTGTATGTCTGTGTGTTAGATTCACGAGATATCTCACGGAAGCGAGGTTAAATCTGCTCCAAATTTTGCATGTGCATTCATCATAGCTCGGATCAGAAGCCTAGTGATTTTGGAAGGATCATATCTTATAATTAGCGAGTTATTAATTAATTAGTGATGGGACACACGGTGTCACTATGGAGTAAGACCACTGTTTTGGGGGATCCCCTAACCTTCGATCGATAAGTCCTCGGTTTCTAATCGATATTCTAGTTTGACCTTTGTACCTTTGTATTTGAGCGTTGCTCTTACTGTCAAATACAGGCATATCTGTTCCGTTATCACATATTATTTCATTAATATTTTAATTATCAGTCACACGCAATAGGATATACTTTTGCGAAGTGCTATGTATACACAATCTCCACCTCCATTATTGCGTCACATATGACGTCATATATAAAAATTTGTATGTTATCGATGTTCTGATCTGCCGGCGTTCGGGAAATCACACACAGTTACATAAATAATATTATTAAGTAACAGTTGATTATTACGTCACAGAGAATATTACAAATTATCAAAATAGCTTTAGATCTCAAATTATTCGTTTCGAGATATCATGAACAATTACGGTTGTTTTATTGAGATAATCGAATACCGAAATGTTCAATAATTGAGCAAAGAAATTTGATTTAGAGTAAAAGAAGATGGGAGTAGGAGAAAGATTGAAAAGATGGATCTTTTGTAGAAAAAGAACGAAGGATTATGAAGTTGATTCACCGCCAAGTTCAGAAAGGAAGAAGGTTGGTATATTTCGAATAATAAAAGTTTAATCTGCAATAATAAGTTACAGATTTCAAATAAAGGCTCTCACTGAAAACTATTTAGAGTCGGAGAATGTATAAAATTGTTGTGGATGACTTCTCTCGCTATCCTCGTACATGATGTAGTGGGAAAGAAGTTTTAACCCAATACATTGCTGATATATTCTATCTCAGACCGAGATAAAATAGGCTTTGTAAATTTTCAAATGACATCAACCTTGGCTCTGAATATCAGCGTCGTTGGGATGGGTGCAGTTTGAACATATACTTGTTTAATTTCTGTCGATTTTGAAGACTTTAATGAAATTTTATTTTAGGTCTACTCTAGTACGTGTCTTTGCTGTGTTCTCATCTTAATCGAAGTTGAGATGCATCTTTGTGACGTCACACAAATAAAATAGTCATACTTCCCTAGATAGAGCAAGATTGATTTTGTGAAGCGTAGGGACCGACACGTTAATTTATAGCAGGGGAGTGCAACTTGCAGCGCGCGGGCCAAATAGGGTACGAAAGAAAAAATTGTCCCGCCCGCAGAGAAGTGCCAATTTCGAATGGTGTGCGGCCCGCGAGTTTTCAATTTAGTTCAATCTGGTATAGGTGCGAGTAATTCCATTATTTTGCGTTCCAAAGCCTATATCCGAGTTCAATTTACTATCTATGCTAACGGAGTTATAATAACCTAGCTTGTGTGAAGCGAACAACGCTTGTCCTAAGGTCAATAACCAAAATGCAGTATGCAGCCCCAGTCCCTATAAAGCCTATTTTAACACTATAAAATTGCGGCCCTCGGTTTAACGCAGTTATTTATATCTGGCCCTTCCGTTCTGAAGGTCGCATACTCCTGATTTATAGTATTCAAACAATAATTTCACTCAATTACAATTTTACTAAATATGAAATAAGTTGTAAAATATTATTTGCTACTCAACTTACCGCATCGTTATTTTTATACAGAAACGGAATGCGCGGCTTCAACGGTGGATGTGGCTGGCAACACAAGTTCTGCTGGTTCGTAACTGCCATCAGTAATATACCACACGGGCGATTGTCCGACTGGTTATTTGAATTGGAATATTGACTTTAAGCCGTCTTGGGCACACCACAAAATATATTTAAATTTGAAAAGCCTAAATTTATATCTCTTTGGAAGTTTTCATTAAATTGGCGATGCAATTTTCCGACTTAATTTTACTTTGATGTTAAAAACTGGGTTCATAATGATGATTTCTCCACATTTTAGCTATACTTTTTAGTCGCCATTTTTCTGCATTGGAGGACAAAAGCGTCCAAAGGATGATTTTGATCCAATTGTTCTGAATTTTGATCTCGGTGACAATGAAATATGGATAGATCCAATGACGTATAACAATGAAAGAAATCAGGATAAAACAGCTGCTGGGGACAATGTAAGGATGATTTTATGATGTGTTTGTGACAATTTTCCCAAATAATGAACGGTAAGACGACTAACAGTTATTTTAGAGCAGCGCATGGTTTTATGAAAATGAGTGAATGATCACAGCTGTTCATGTAAACGACTTCAACATAATAATAATAATTTCAGATCAGTGTTTTATCGAGTGATTCTCTTGTGGTTCTGTTTGGTCATAAGAAAAAAGAGGAAAAGTTGCTGAACAAAGAATCGTTGGTATGGTATATAATTTCCTCTGAATGCTACAATATCAAACTAAAATGGTATGTGATACCCATGTTATATCAGATGTAAGTTAGAATGTAACAAAATATTCTCATTATGAAATATTTTTCACTTTGATAAAACTCCTGTAAACTGTTTGTAAAATAGGGAGTGTATTGTGCAATAGACAGTTCCCATATCGCGGGCCATTAAATACGTTTCTCTTTTATTCCAGGACATCGGGAGTATAAAAGTAAAAATTCTTGAAAGAACGAATTCATTCGAGGTTAGGTTTGTAGAAAGTCTTTAAACAAATTTGTGATATTTGATTTATATATGATGAAATATTATTGTACTTCTGCAAAGGCCTTACTATAGGTCTGTCGATTATCATACATAACAACTGGCAACAAAGTGAAATGGTAGCTACCTTTAATAGGGCTTCTATTTACGATTACAAAGGAGCTCGATTTTATAAGGTCCAGCATTTCAAATCCCACCCATCTATACGTCAAATGTATGGTGCCTTGCCTGTTTTGTTTGTCCAAAATCGAGATCCAACCCAAAAGCTTTGCAACAGTGTGCCCACATGTCCTAATTTATCACTCAGACATGATTGTTGAAATTCTGTTGTATCATTGTCAACTCCCGATTAATCTTTCAATATTTACAACACTAACCTTTCTAATAAGAAAATATTAATATACAGTATTGAATTTATTATATATAGAATCTTCCAGGAATGGTGTTTGATGAAAATGAACTCGTTTTAGAAAATTCGAAGGTAACAAAATTTAAGTTTAAATTCAGAAGGGGAAAAATTACTTTGAATGATGAACAATAATACTTTAACTATGATTGATGCTATGAGTTAAAAAAAAAGCTATGCTATATAGAACAAGATGAATATGCAACGTTCTTCATATATATTCATGTAATCAAACTAATGACGCAAGACCTCTAGGCCAGGGGTGCACAACACGGGGCACGCGTGTCAAATTTGGCATGCCATATGCTCAAACGTGGCACGAGAATGGTTTTGTAAAAGTAAAAATTGTATTTATGATATGCATTAAAATATCACGTTTCTATCAAAATCAGCAGTTTTTTAGGACATTAAATTGTTTCAATAAATAGATATTCGTTATTATGTATTATTATTGAAATTTGTTTGATGTGTGTTTTACGGAAGTTAATTTACAAAACCAACGATTGTGCATGGCACGCGACAAGATTATTTTGAAAAATTTGGCACGTGTCCTCATTTAAGTTGTGCACCCCTGCTCTAGGCTATACGTTTAAAAAGTCTCATAAACAGGGTAAAGTAACATACCGGCGTCCAAAGACCGCACCCTCAACCCGAGCTGCAGCTCGTTACTCACCCGCCGAAGCATTTTGGACTCCGCTTGATGACACTGGTATTGGTCTTCGTCAAATTATTCAGGAGCTTCCAAGTCTTCAACAATATGTGAAAGCGCGTGAGGTGAATAAATTAACCGAAATAACAATGAAAGGCGTTGAATTGACATAAATCACTGCACCATGATACACAAAACAAAATAATAGAGAAATAAGGCAATAACAACTTTAAAACACTACGAATTTCAGTATTCAATATTTCTGAAGTGCATAATATATTCTTCGAACAAAATCTCAGTACTGCGACTGTGTTTGCAGGAAAAGAGACGAAGAAGACCGATCACTGCAAAACCAGTTCAAAGTAAAAATAAAGAATTCAGCTTGGAAGACTTGCAGGTTACTGAGTGTGATGTATACTACCATTATAGAATAGATTCACACTCTTTCAAATTAAAATAAAATGTTGTTCTGTGGTGGCTTTTGTTCAGTTATGGATAATCATATAATAATGAGAGTAAGTGCTAATTGGATTTATTATTCTACTTTATGAATAATGTTGAAAGTTAAAATTAGTAAGGTTTTTGTAAATTAGAGAGAGAATCTGCTCTCTGGTGATTGTAAAATTTGAATACTTGTACAATCTACGATACAAATCATTTAACTAGGTCTAAAATCTTTTTCAATGTTTCTTACCCTAGAAGCTTCTTTATCCAAACGAAGGTAAAGAGCCACAAAAGTGATCAGTTAAAATCTTAGTTTTATCACAAAAATTAGTTTAATTATTTATTCGATCGTGATCGTATGTTTTTATACAGATTATGAAAGATGTGAAGTTGACGCATGATCATGTTTTGGATAAAGTTTCAATTTTACGAGAGGTTGATTATAAACTTTTTTGTAGTTACTTTATATATATATATTGCGTAACCTTTAATAAAAAAAAATATACTTGTTTTGCAATGTATTTGTAGAACAGTAAATACTTGTACTTTATTCTTTCTTATTATTTCTTTAGTCAACAGACACTTAATGGAAATAGATATAATTTTTTTTTATAATTCATAGGTTGAAAAAGAAGCGAAAGACTTTATCAACATGATAGTTGACAGAGTGTTGGAGATTGAAGACATTAAAGAAATTCTACAATCTCCTTCAAACTCAGTGAGTGGTAAATTGTTTGCAGAATAGTGTATTTGCCTATTGCAGTTATACCGTTTTCATTATATTTACCCAAGTTTTTAGCCCACCCTTCTGATAATGAGTCTATTTTTATTCTTTTAAATAAATAGCTAGCTCGATCACGCCGTAGTTCAGAGATCAATCACTTTCCAGGCTACACAACCTATTGCTGCCTGTGGCGTTTGTGGACTAAATTAATATGAAGCAATTTTTTGCAATCTCGTCATTTTTTTACGTCTATTCAATTTCAGGAGATAGATACGCTTTCATCAATGTCTTCTGACTTTGATAGTCTTGATATAACCGACTTGTTGTTCGACATTGACGAAATTGAGCAGGTAAGAAAATACGGTTTTTAATTTTTCATTGGGCATACCGTACTAATTTCTGGAATAATCTAACGAATATTATTTCTTAATTTTAACGCGTTTCAATTCAGAGAGATCAATAGCTGACTGCTGGTTTTTGGTTATACAGATAAACTAATTAAACTCCAGACAAAGCTCTTGTCGATAAGTAGTTACAGTATTTCAGTGATACTTTTTGTCACCTTGCAGAAAAGTAATTTTCAGCCACCAGCCGACGATAAAGAGATTGGACAGTGTGATGTTGCTGAAGATAACCAACTCTAATAAAGGAGATGAATATCGGATTCAATTTATGTTTGTCTTATTATCTCTTTTAATATGCTTATGTATTCAAATACATTTTATTTTGTCTCACGTTGTTTCAAGAAGACTCTGATTTTGGGTAATGTGTAATGCATGATCATCACCTAAACTGATCCTCCTGGCATTGCTGGTCTTGTCCAGTATCGTTTTGACGAGCCAATTTAGTGCTTTTAAGTTTTCTTATTTGATAAAAAGTTACTACTTATTAAGCCATTTAAAAGTTAGCACCAAATTGAACAGAAGCGTTGGCATGATTTATCATTCATATTCCCAATGTTTATTTTAGGAAAACGCCAGGGGTCACTAGGGCATTTTTTAACGTAGATTAACTCTTAATTAGGATTAATATACGACAAGGAAATATATAACGAGAAATTCCCATAAACAGAATTATAATTCGATGACTCCGATGTTCATTCCAGAAAAACTTTCATCAGAAAGATTACGACTTACTTTGAGTTAACTTTCTTCAATGATTAATCAGTATTGATCAGTAGTCTGCTTCACGTAGAATTCCAAGACCATTTATAATGTACAATGGCAGTTTGGTCTCTCACACGGCTTGCAGTATTGAAAAGATTTTATGCTGTAATATGAACAAAACAGTCATCACACGTTACGTTGTAATATTTCTGTATTATTTCGTGAATCGTATATAATTTTTGGACTGGAATCTTTGAGATGCTGATCGAGTTATTTCAACGCACGTGCGCCATTTCACGATTAATTTGAAATTTTACGTACAGACATGATGTTTCTCGACACTTGATGCCAATGAAAATCTTCCTACACTTAACTTTTGCAAAATGCTCTATGCATATTTTGGGAGTTTTTTAGTTGGCGTTCACAGACTGGTTTACATGTTCATAACTATCAATGGACCTTTCCCCGACCTTTGACCCCCGGAAAATTCTTCCTATACTTTACCATTGCAAAATTTTCGGGGCTATTTTAGGAGTGCTTCTGCGAGTTGGCGCCTGTAAAATGGGGTATGTGTTTCAAACCATCATTATGATTCATCGCATACAACAATCTGTTTTTGAAAAGTACCGGTAAAGAATTTCAGGCTAGTCTATCACAGCTATTTCTACACTAATTTTTATTACTACAATTAAATTTAAACTCCTAGGAAGACAGAGTGATCATTGAATTATCTGATTTATATTTGAGGTTCCGAAACACAACTGGAAACTAACGAATAAAGTTCAAAAACGCGAAAACGAGGTAATGTTTACAACCACGCTTGAAAATCTGTCTGAGTGAGAAAAGTGTCTAAGCGGATGCGAAAAGGAGGCATTGTTACGTCACTTTTTGCATCTTGCTGATTGGCCAATGTCACGAAGTAAACAAGGAAGTCGATGCTCGGGGAACTCAAAGTGCTGATAGCAATTATTCTTAGCTTAGTCTATTGCAGGCTTTCTGGTAATAATTTTTGAATATCCTGATTAATTTTAATCCGAAACTACTCTGAGGATAAAATAAACTTTGAGTTATCTGAATCATCTATTAATATTTATTTCGGGTCACCAATCGGCTAATATTTTGCTGATTGGTCAAAGATGCGGAAGTAAACAGGGAAGTCGGTGCTCCGGAAAACCATAGGTACTTCTTTGCTCGCGAGGAATTTTCGACTGCATTGTTGTCGTAGGTTTGGCAAGAATTGGAGGTTGCTTGGTTTGTTGATGTGCGCTGCCGAAAATAAGCAAATTTCATCGTACTTGATCGCAGCTACCAGATTCGCCCACAAATTAGTTGCAAATCCACTTTGGAATAACTACCGTAAGGGAAGTGTTTAAGAAAAATGGCATTTTCTCATGGAACACATTCGGTTGTAACTTTATCAAGGATGGAAGATCATCTAGATAAGCAGCAACTTTGCGATGTAACTTTAATCGGTGAGTGCAAATACTCAAATGGCACAAATCTTCGAATGGTAGTCTACCGGTACCGGTACTTCTATAACCTAACTGAAAATAGAACAAAGAGTTTAAATCTGCATTCTGACATACCGGTACCGGTACGGTACGGCACCGTAACAGACAGTCAGTGGTCAGATTATGTTGAGATATAAAATTGCAGCATTCGATTCAATTTTTCTGGTAAATTTGAAATGAGTCACATAGTTTAATGTAGGCCTACCTTAATATTCAAGTTACATTTGTAATCTTTTAACATTCTGACACTGCATCTTCAAAATTTTGAAATTTGTTTGACGTATTTAATTTAGTACTTTGGCCTGTGAGTACAAGACTAGTACAAAAATATATGGACAATATTATCCTTTTAAACTGCACGGTAGCAGTTTCCATGACTATAGGTTGATAGGACTATGCTATATTAATTTTAAAAGAAATTAGCTGCAAATTGTTTGATTTTCTTGACTGTTAAATAAAGTCCTTTAATAATTATATAAATTTTTTCTAGTTGGTTCAAAAAGAATTCCTGCTCACAAGCTTGTTCTGTCATCAACGTCAGATTATTTTCATGCAATGTTTAATCATGATCTACTGGAGTCAACACAATCAGAAATTGAATTGAATGACATTGATCCAGAAGCTTTAGATGAACTTGTTAAATATATGTATTCTGGTATGTATACATACTTGAATTTTATATCTTCGCAGGATATAATGAAGTAGGAAAAATTTATTGAATCGATGCAATTCCTGATATTTGCTGATCAATACAATTCCTAAATTGTCTGATTCGATAGCGGTTCGATTTGGTTAGTTATCGGTGGAATATTGGACCAGCCGATCCAGAAAAATTCACTCAAAAAAGTCCCAAACTAGACTAAAAACTAAGTTACCATATATTGAATTGCAGGTTCTTTCCTCTTGTTAAATTTTTATGTCAGATCCGTGGATGTCAGATGTGGCCATTGCCAAAAGGATGTTTGAACGAGATAGTATTAATGTGATAAACAAGAATAACATGGAAAGAGATGTGTCATTAACCAAATAATTTATTTAAAAAACTTTTAATGAAAATTAGCGTTGAAGGATCTGATGGAAAGTTCTTTTGATTAAATTTTCCATGGGTGAAACTTCCAGTAGGAAGATGCATTTGCTTGGCAGTTGGCGCATTGTACCAAGAGTTAGGAATACACTTGCCGTCACATCTCTGATTGCTTTGTATGGGTTCACAGGTTCAAATTTTGTCACAAGGTATAATCACATCCGAGAATTGCTGGACTTATTTACATAGCCTGTCACAAAATAACATTACTAAAATTTGTGAGGTGTCTATATTGCACAGCAATTTTAGGGTGTTGATCCTTTATGTCATTACATTTTTTATTATTGATTTTTAGTGACAAAAATATGATTCATTCTGGTTTAACTATACAAGTTTATCACAGGGAAACTGGAACTTAGAGAAGACAATGTGGAACGTCTGCTTTCAACAGCAAATATTTTACAATTGATGGTAGTAGTAAATGCTGCTTGTGATTTTTTAAAAAATCAACTCCATCCATCTAATTGCCTTGGAATACATGCTTTTGCAGACACACAAGGCTGTGTTCAGTTGCAACAGGCTGCTCGTGAATATACTATGGTAATTTTTAGCCATTTTCAAAATCACTGAATAGTCAATATTATTGAGCAGAGCATTAAAATCTGTAGCAGATTTGTTCTATACAAGGGTGTGGAGGTGGGTAGAGCTGGGCATTTCGAATCGAATTATAAATTATCCCAATCGATTCAGACAGAAATTTTGAATTACCACCATCTTGTTTTTTTCTTTTGCCAAAGATTGAAGTGAATATGTCGTTTTTTGACATGAGACTCTTTTTTGGGATTGAGTATTGATGATACATGTTTTTCATTGTGTGTGAAGTGAACACTCAGTAAACTGTCTGAGTGATGGATTCTATGTTTTCAGTAATTGATAAAAATAAAAAAGTCACCTACATTGCCAATCTTTCAAGTATTTTAGATTCAATTTGGGAAAAATATTCGATTTGATTCTAAAATCAACAGATATTCAAAAATGCCTAGCCCTAGTTGGGAGTAATGAGATTTTTGTGTTTTATTGGAGTCGGAGACAATATTCAAGATCAGAAATCAGAGACAAATTGTGAATTCTTTCGAGTTGGAGTTGAAATTTCAAACATTTAATTTTCTACATGAACTAAAAAAATGCATGTGCCAAAGTTTTATTATTTATTTGGGAGTTTGCAACTGGAGTTAGTCAAAATTTCCAGGAATTTAAGAGCCTTTCAATTTGTGAGAGTTTTGTCAGTCCGAAGTGTAACTTTTCTCTGACGTCGCATGCATTGTTTTATAGTGATTTTTCAGTAGATCGCACATCAAACAATACAGATGAATGTTGCTGCTACAATGTCCTAAATATTGTGATATGAATTTAATACTAATTTATTATTTTCAGGAACATTTCATTGAGGTGACACAGAACCGTGAATTTTTGCTTCTACCTCAAGAAGAAGTAGGTTTTCAAGATGGTTATTATTTAGAAAATTATTTATGTTTTAATATTTATAATAAACACACAATTTTAAAATCAAGTATTTCAACTTTTCTATATTCTTGTGTTTTCTCTGCGTCTTGCCTGCGGCCTTTGTATTCAGAATATTTTTAATAGCTATTATCGTTTTATAGGTTGTCAAACTATTTTCGAGTGACGAGGTCAATGTACCTAAAGAGGAGGATATGTTTTCAGCTGTATTGTTGTGGATACAACATGACATAGAACAACGGAAGTCTTTGATACCAGAATTGTTGAGTAATATCAGATTGACGCATGTGTCCAAGGAAGTGAGTCGGTCAAAATATATAAATATGGTTGGCACAAGTATTATTAACGGGTCTATTTCATGCTTGGAGCATGTTTATTTATATACTCTCAACTTATGGCCCATCTTTGGTCATCTATGGTATTTTTGTACTTATGCAAGATAATATATTGTTATACTAGCCTGTCTGAGCACAATATGATAGAGAAGTAAAAAAATTTTAAATAATATTTTTCTGTTTGGTGCTGGTGAATACATCTGACATAGCACATTTGGTTTATAAAAATACCAAAATGAATAAACAAGCTCAATTGGAAATACTTCTTTCATCAGATTTAACAATTTTTGTAAAACAATGCATCTGTTTGCTTTGTGACAAAACCAAGATTTTTCTCATATTTTAGCATACCCTATTTGGGAAATTTAATTTTGCTCGTTTTAAAATTGAATTAATCTCACGGTGGATTTGATAGACCTTTTTTAGTTGAATTTTGTCTCGTTTTAATATTTAGTTTTTGGCGGACCAAGTACAATCAAATCCACACATTTACGAGTCATTGGAATGTCAACGTCAAGTAGTAGATTCCCTCATGCATCACTTGTTACCAGAAAGACATCCTTCATTACAATCTCCTCGCAAGTCCACCACTGGTCAGTTATTTGCAATAGGTGGCATGGACAGTGGAAAAGGTAAAATCGAGAATAGGACACAATATTTTATAGGCTATGTGTATTTTGTATTTTATTACAGGTAGGTTTTATCGGCAGAAATGAAGATTTATAAAGTAAGTTGATCGGATTGTATTTTCAAGTTCTTTGAAAGTGAATATTCTTTAATATTCTTTCTACATGGTGAATTAAATTTCTGATAATTAACACTGATTTATTCTCATCAAATTTATTGTTTTTATTTATTTAAAGTTACTTTGATCGCAATTTTAATTTAATGGTTCGCCCAAAAATGTATTCTCTTATAAATCAGTGAAAAATTTAAATATTGCTACGCATACGCAACGTTCACTTATTGGGTAGATATAATTATTATTTCCTCGTATGGCTTCTTGTACATAGCCTTGTTGAGAGTGATAAGCTTGTAAAAACGTATCATAAATGGTGGATATCATCTAAAATGTACAGTGTGCACCTTGAGGGATAATATACTGTACTGTACATATCTACACATTATTATTTTCTTTACTTACGTTGTAATAATGAATTTGTCTTTTGTTTTGCATTTCCGAAGGATTTTCAAGTGAGTCAGTGTAATGTAATACATTGTCATTATATGTGTTCCATTCTTATTCACCACTGATCATTAGCTTGCAAATTGCATGATAGTGGTTCAACTATTGAATTGGCCAAGTGGATGGGTCATGAAAAATATATAATTTATCTCAATGTGATCGTGTGTAATATAGGAATGTTCACTAAAATCGGACTTCATTAGTAAGACATTTCTGATTCTGAGCATAATTTCACCACCTGACTCAAAGTGTATCAAATTGAATGATTCCTCATGTTAGCTCATTGCTTATAAGTAGGTAGTTCGTAAAATTTTATAGTAAACGAAAAATGAGACCTAAAACTGAGTTCCAAATATTTGTACCGTTTTCTGCCCAGAGAATTCGCAATTGTACAAAAATACCTCTAATTTATTGGCATTTTGGTTATGATGCTGTATGCGTGAAGGTTTGCAAGCTCAATGCCAAATGAATCTGTATGTATGTATTGAAATGCCCAAGAATCAATAGGACAGCTTCTTGGGTATTTTAGCGGTGGATAAATGGGTGCAATGAAGATATGCTAATTTCAATGTAGTCTGTATTGTTTTGTTGTAGACCAATTCATTAGTACTATTACATTCAATTTATATTTCATATATATGAGAGTATAATGTAGGCCTATTTATTGTATTCTGTAAGTCATCAACATGCTGTATTAGAATCGTTTTGCTACATTCTTGATGTTGTTGTAGAAAAATTGCTGTGAAAAATATTTTTACCTATTATGAAAGATGGCTGTAGCTGCTAAAAGGCTTTCACTTTCATCTATTTTTTTTTCAAATTTCCTGGTCCAAATTTCACCCAAAATTTTGCGTTTCATTTTTAATTTACGGGAAAGCTTTTTTATAAAACGACATATGCGGTAAATTTTTGCCTATATATTATCAGTAATCAGTAGTGTATTTTTCCACCATGCTGAAAATTCGCATTATATACTAGACATATAAATTGCAGTAAATTAGAACGACAACGACACGCATTTCAGGGTGAAAGGAGACACAGAAAACCAATACTGGTTATCAAGCAGCAACACCCTTAAATATTTGTGCATTGCTCTCTCGTATATTTGCCCAATTCAAAATCAATCAGCACTGTATTCATAATAATATGAGTTGTTATAATCATGCCTCATGCAATGCTACTTATTAGATCATGTAGGCTTCTTTAAATAATTGTAGCATCAAGTCAATCAGATTATTTCTGAAATTCAATATGGTTGACCATTCCAACAATGGTCAGTTCGATATTGAAATACCAATCAGACAGCTGTCCTGTGATGCAGCCGTTCTAGTCTTGGATGCAATCTGTTGCCAAGAAAAACCCAGCAGTATTGTTCTGTTTGTGCTATCTCCAGTCAAGTATGGCGGAACATATCCTCGGCTTCATGTCATATGTTAGTGGTATTTGTTTGATATTGGGGACAGATCATCTATGTTCCTTACCTGATTGGATTTCTAGAAATAGTATGAATTATTGATTATGTTTTGAATATGTGGTATCCCTGAACAGAAGTTTATCTAATTTAATGTCAAGGTGTTAATGTAAGGACCCGTTCATGGGCTGTTGTTCAAAGTGGAAGCCATGTTTGAATTCTTTGAATTCCGATTAATAGTAACTGATTATCGTTTGAGGGACAAATACTACTCAATCTTATATTGCATTCTTATTCAAATTGTTTTGGTGTTGTTAAGTGAATAATTGATGTTGTTTGACATTCAGGATTATAATAAATGTCTTGTATCATATCTATCACTTATTATCTACTCATCTATTATCTTCTATGAAGATATTAGCAGTTTTTGACACAAGTTACAATTTACTCCATTTGCTGAGACATTTACCACAATGGTAAAAATATCGTTTCAATTTTTCTGAGAAGTTTACAAAACATGTAGTAATTTGCTGAACTTTAATATATCGTAATCCTATTTTTAGGTGCTGCGACTATTGAATGTTTCGATCCGAGGCGAAACACATGGGCAGTTTTTGCCTCTATGACTGGTCGTAGACTGCAATTTGGCGTCGCAGTTCTTGATGAAAAATTGTATCTCGTTGGTGGAAGAGATGGACTAAAAACCCTAAATTCAGTTGAATGTTTTAATCCAAGAACTAAAACTTGGAATGCATTGCCTCCTGTCGCAACTCATCGTCATGGACTAGGTTCGTCAAATTTTTTTATGCATAGTTTTCTCTTATTTTCAATTGACTGGAAAATATAGCTAATATAAAGTATTGTGTTCTATGCTAAATTTGCTGTTATTGTAGTACTGCCACAATTTATAGAAGTTAGAGATAATTTATATAGGCCTACGTCTTAATTTTTTGAAAATACTGTTTGAAATGGTGTGTTCAACTTTAATAGGTCATTTTACAAATTATTGAAGAACGCTCATCTCTGCGGTTGGCACATGATGCCCAGCGTTAGGAATACATCCTAATTACCCTATACACCACAGGTTTCGAATCCTGTGTGGAATAAATTATGTAGCCTACTTGACGACCCTTAGCTGTCATGGAGTGGTTGATGCAACCGCTGGTCAGTTACGGCTTCTTCTTCCATCCAAGTTCACACATCTCAAACAATAACTGGTTAATTATTCCCTATTTTCATATTGGACATGGACTGGTAACTGGGTGAGAGGTCATGGTTCGCCATTATGATTGAGTCGTTTGATTGGCCTTCCTTTTCTCCAGAATGAATATATAAATCTTATCCTTAATGCTTTATCCCAATGCTTGTCACTTACGTTATTTTTTTCACAACTATTGGCACTTTCAAGTTTCAACGATTTTACCAGTTTAATGAATAAGTTGCTTATATCAGAAATTGGTAATATGAAACCATGTATTGATTCACCATTACTATCTATTATATCCTCAGGAGTTGCTGTTTTAAATGGACCAATGTATGCAGTTGGTGGCCACGATGGGTGGAGTTACCTTAACACGGTAGAAAGATGGGATCCACAAACCAGGACTTGGAATTATGTTGCCCCTATGTGGCTCTCACGAAGCACATTAGGTGTTGCTGTGCTCAATGATAAGTAAGTATGAGTAAAAGTCTAACAAGGTTCATTTGTATTAATTTATGAATAAGAGGCTTCATGACTTAATCACGCGACTAAGTAAATACGCTCAAACTGGTGGAAAATAATTTCAATTGTGTCACTGATGGCGATGAATTGATATAGCTGGTTGTTTTTGAAACTAAGCTATAATATAAGTAGCCACTGATATCTAATGATGTAAATGGAGATACTTGTTTGGTAGCGGCTACACCCAATTTTTTGCACCTTTGTAGCATCTAACGCTTTTTGCCCACTGAATGTTTATGATAATTATTCTCATTGGACTCGCGATGAACCTGTGGATCGTTTTGGGATTATGTTGTGTTTGTTCTCGTTGGTATTTTTTTCTTTTACTGGACCAATTGCTTTGAAATTTTCAATGGTTGAAGATTGTATTTTTTGCTAGAAGTCTGTGGTCTTTATGGGACTCATTTTATTATTTTTATTTATTCCAAAAATAAATGTGGACTGTAGGGGTTTCAATTCTTCTGTGCGATGATGTCATAAAAATGATTGAAATATTGCACATTTTTGGCCGCTTTCGTGTAAGTTGATATCTGAGGGTCAGGCCAAGTCGTATCTGGGTACCAGTAGTCTAGGGTGAAAGATTGCATAACCATACTACTTCGTTTTGGCATTTGTGTCCATGTATTTGTATTTGGTATTGTCCTTTTCGAGCATCCTACTGACTAGAACATACAGATTTGAAAATGTTACTTAACAAAAAAGAATTGTTATATCTTCTGGTATGTCTTAGGTTGTATGCAGTTGGTGGTCGTGACGGTAGTTCTTGCTTAAGATCTGTAGAATATTTTGACCCACATACAAACAAATGGACGAACTGTGCTCCTATGCTAAAAAGAAGAGGTGGTGTTGGAGTAGGTGTCTGTGGTGGATGCATGTATGCCATAGGGGGCCATGATGCTCCAGCAAGCAGTCAAATGTCGAGGCTTCAGGAGACTGTTGAAAGGTTTGAACTATAAATCGTTTTATATTATATTGTGCAAAGTAATTTTCATTTGTATAAATATGAATAAGCAAATACTCAATATTCTTCGTTCTTTTTAAGCAGCTTGTATTTCTAGCATTTCTATCAGATCTTTATGAATAATTTAATATTTCTCCACACTTGTTCGATATAGTGGAAACATTAATTTTAAAAAATTCTGATCACATTTGATTTTCTAGGTATGACCCATCTACAGACCAATGGACAATTGTTGCACCTATGAGCGTGCCAAGAGATGCAGTTGGCATCTGTGTTTTGGGTGGACGATTATATGCATGTGGAGGATATGATGGTAATTTGGATTTTTCAGTATGCTTTATACTCTTTAGTTTATGGTCCAAATATTGATTATTTGTGAAACTCTTTAATTTCACTTGGTGTTTTCTACCACAAATCTAAATAAATTTATCACATACGGTGTTAATCTGTTTATGTCTTAGCAACTGTGTCAATGGATGTTTTCCAGAGCATTGTCTATTTTCCTAACAACAAAATGTCCATGGTAACATACCAGTGATGCTTATTACTCGGTCTGAAGGCATTAGCTTGTCTTAGGGGGGTTTTGCTATCAGTTTTTAGTTATGTTTTCTAATCTTGGAAATTAATCAAATACCCAGATGATCATTCTGTCTTCAAAAGAATTTTAAATTTGCGATAGAGGAGATTGAAAATTTGCTATCAATACCTTTAAATGGCATGTGGATTTGATATTTTGAATCAAAATGAACGTTATGAAATGTAAATTGGTGGGATTAAATACGTAAGTTGTTGAAAAACTCAATTTAAGCGAGATTTAGTTCAAATGGTAAGATATAGGAAGAATATTCAGAGGATAACTGTAAAGGAAATTGCCATTGGGGTGGCATAATGAAGCAACTTTTACATTTATGCCCTTTTGTTCTAGGTCAGTCATACCTTGTTACATGTGAATCATACTCGCCTGAAAAAAATGAATGGAGCTTTGAAGCATGCTTGAATACTGGTAGAGCAGGGACTGTAGTTGTTCACATGAAAAACTCATCTTAATTTGCCTTGATCAGCATTCATTGTGATGAGCATGCATACTGGCTCAACAGCTGTTGATGGTAGAATTTGAGTTTTGCACTATACTGAAACCTTTCCATAGTGAGTCATTGGTTGGCAAGGATGACCAAAATTAAATGAATATTCAAATTCAATCGAAATTTATATACTGTATATTCGAAATAATAAATTTAGGAATAATTTTATTTGAGAAATTGTCATTTTGAGCCACTGAAGCTTCACAGTATGACCAAAAAAGCCTTCATTCAATTTCTGAAAACTGTACAGAATAGAAAAATTTTTTTTTTAAGTTTTCCATCCTGAACTATATATATTTTAAATGGTATTTGTTAAGCACAACTCAATATATCCAATACTCTATTTTGGAAATAATATTTCAGAATGTATTTGGAATAGTGGATTATTCAATCCTGTCTATCCTGTGTGAAAGTTAATCACAGCTATACCACCTTAATCTTGTGAATCAATTTTCATTGACAGCTTTATAATAAATCCCTACTTCATAACTGAATATAACAAAGTAATCAATTAATCTCATCTTATCTATGGGTTTGTATTGATCAATGAATTTGTGAAGTTGATTTGATATCTGCGTGCTGGATTCATTGAAAATTTATTACTGGTATGTATATATATATTTAAAGAACGATTTTTTGCTAATCAACATATCTGAAATAGAAAATTGTAATTTTATTCTACGAAACTTTTAGATTTATTCGTTCTCAATTTGTCGTTTAGAATGTTCTCACTATAATGGCTAAACATTCTTTATAATTATTCCCCATTGTGTATTGACTATATAACCTATTTCTACTTTATTTGAGGGCATAAATTTGCAATATATTGAGAAAGTTTTGACTTTCTGTAAATTTTAATTGAAAAGCAATCAATATGCTAGCTTATTTTTACTGACGTTTCACCCTCAATCTAAAATCCTTTCTTAAAATAATACAAAGGGTTTTGGACCTGGTGTGCTCACTTTATGCCATCCGTTCTGGTATATCATGACGCCAATATAGGCCTACACTAATCTTCACAATAGTGTAAACGTTGTCTTCAATATGAAAAAATTGTTTGCATCTGACGTTCAAAACTTTTGGTATATGCTGCATTCATTTCAAACATATGGTATTGTATATATACGCATAAATATATCATGGCAATCAAATAAATCATACTTTCCACTGAAAAAGACTGGGAAAACAGCCAGATGAGTACGCTACAGGAACTCTTCCATGTTTTGGCGAGATTGGAATTATTCCTGCTTAGTAAAGTCCATCCAATTATGTACATGTCGCATAAGGGGGTGAAAGCGCCTATATAAAATATAAGACTGTTTCACTTATATTCAGTGAAATCTTCAGAATCTTATTACGTAATCAATTCCTGATTTTGTTTCAACTTGTGTGCAATTTTTCTACAGTATTATGGGTATATCAAGCTAAGTATTTTGAAATAACATGTTAAACTGCTTGCAAAATTATGTTATTTTCTGTTCGTCCAACCTTGTCAAGGTAATGCTAATGTTGTTGTTCACTGACGAAATATTTCGCGTTATTAAATATTTTGATATTTACTAAGCTAGATATTCATTTGTGTTTTTGTTTCAAACGTATAAATAAATGTTATTCCACCAACCACAGGTATTAGCTGTGTTGCTTTTTTAGCGTAAACAGAACACTAAAAAAGGATCGGGCCACTCGTAATAAGAAATGGGAATTTTTCAATACCAGATTCTTGAATCTAAAATTTTTTTTTGGATTAAATCTCGAATAGTTGGAAGACATTTCAATTGATACGAGGGCGTGATTGTATGTGTCTATATGACTTATTATAATTGCTCTTCACAGACAAATAAATGACCGAATACATAGAATCCATCATTCAGTCGGTTCAGATCAAGATGTTACGCCCAATAGGCATATTTCATTAATAACTCGCAAACAGGAAATTTTTTTTATGTTATGGTGACATTTCGAAAGTTTTAAACATGTGCTAGTCTTGCGAATTCGCCACAGAAAAAGTGGTCGAAACATTGCGACGGCAAATAACTTTACAAAAGAGTTGCAGTTCATCTCTACCTTTGTCGAAAAAAAGAAAAGGACTGGAGTTCGTAACTTTGGTCCGAATCGAATACTTTACTATTCGATTCGAAATGCCTAGTTTTACTTTAGATTAGAATTTCGTTCTGAAGTGTATGTAGCAGTATCGGGGTGCTACACCATGGTGCAATTCTCATAAAGATGAAGGAAATTCTTAAACGAATTTAAGGCCCTAATGATGTCGCTAACACATGTTTCCTTCGTCCCAAGAGTATTATTCTTGTACTTTACTATTGCAAAATTCTGTACGCTCATATTGAAAGTTTCTCACCACCTGTGCTCAGAATGGGGTTAATTTAGCAAGTGCAGTCTGGAGTATTTTGTGGCGTCTGAGCTGCCGCAAAACCATGGCGGGATTTCCAAACCATGGTCAAATCATGGCGGCCGACTTTCAGCTGCCACGAACCAATGGCGAGAGACGAGTACCCACTACCCATTGAGGTGTATATAACCTCAATGGTACGACGGCAGCAAATTGAAAACCAATGGCGGGTGAAATTTTGCTGTTGTAACCACGCCATGTCGGCCGTAATGGCAGGACTGCCCCTGATGATGAAAATTGTTGGGTAAGTTGAAACATTTTTCCCGTGGTTACAGTTTTGATGAATTTGGGGTAAGGTTTCAGGTTTAAGTAGATATAATTCTGCATGATTAACTAGATTATGGTACATGACTTGATGAATATATATACCGGTAATAGCGCCATAAAACCATGGCAAGAGACGCCGCGGTTCGTGTGTGGCAGAAGCTGCCATGAAGTGGTAAGAACTGCGACTCTAATTTGGGGTTTCATTCGCTAGACTTCGTACAAAGGCAGGTTGAAAAAACAAAAAGATATACGCTTAAATAAATTCTCTCCAAATTGCACACGCGGTCGTAGTTGAATATACCAAGCCCCAAATACTGATAAGTAAAATTACCATTTCAATTTTTAAATTAAACAGGTCAGAAACAAAAACATCCGTGAATAATTAAATTAAACAAGATTCTTAGATGCGTTGTTATTTATTTATTTATATAAATTAAAATGTTATTATTGGACACGTAAGTGGACCTACGGATTGTTTCAGTATTATGTTGTTGTTCTTGTTCTTCTTCTTCTTCTTGCTTTTCTTTGTCACAGAAAAAAAAAACACTTTTCTCTTTGATTACCGGACCAATCGCTTTAAAATTTTTAGTGCTCAAAGATTAAAATGTTCGCTAGAAGGGTATTACTTTTATTTATTTTAAATATTCCGGGGAGCTGTATGGGATTCGTTTTTTGTGTGCTATGATATAATCCGAATTCGCCACTAGGTTTCGCTATGTACCCATATATTTGAGCATAGCTCTCTTGTTTTTTTAAAAACAAAGGCATTATGAGGGTAAAAACTGCTTAAATAATTTACTAGGTATTAAGTCGTTTTAAAGACTAAAATGGTAGATTTCATTTTAGACAAATTCATTTATTCGACTGTAATTAAAATTTCACCCTTTTATACGAGAAATGTCTGTAACAAAGCTTATCTTGATAAAAAATGGAACAAATTTCAATTTTATAACATTTCAAACCGATCGGATTCTGAAGCATGCCTTTAAAATTCGGAAATGAATGATAGTTTAAGATTGAATGTCGTGGTCCCTGTGAATTTTGAGACCCCTGATTTTGGCCTGCCTTGCCAATCCGGCTCCTTTTTCTTGTTCACTTCTCCTTTTTGTAAAAAAAAGTGAAGTACGCTTAATTTTCTAATAATTTTTTTGTTCAAATTAAAAAATTTTCGATCTTGTGAGAAAAATCTTCTAAAATCAAAATGTTCACAAAAATAGGGGAAAAACATTTTACATTGATTCACACGAAAATAATATACAAAGATATAAAATTTCATGAACATATCCAAGCTTCTGATAGAAACGTGCTTTTCAGGGAATCTGGTTTTAAACTGGGTAATATCTTAAAGTGATGAATTAATTTTTTGCAATAAATTAAATTCTAATGGAATTTTACACATACACTTATATACTGTAGGGTTAATTTACTTCATCTTACTTAGAATTTGTCGTTGGGGTTCCCATGCACAACCTACAAATATAAATAATCACTTCTCCATAAAATATATATATCACTCTCCTTAACTTAAAAAAAAGTAAAATCACTCTTTATTGGGTTGTCCAGGTGCAAAATGAAGTCAAAAGTGCGTGATTACAATAATAGTTCACGACCCTGACAGTTTTTAACGTGTCAAATCGAGCCGAAAAAATTGAGTCATTCGATGTCAAACAAAGCCAAATAATTGTGTAAAGAAATATGAGAATATAAAAAATATACTATGCTAACTACAAACTAATAAATCGTTATGAAAATCATCATAAATAATCTCGGCATTGGTATTCGGTATTTTCATAATGCTCACAATATATATATTATGGGTTTTTACAACACCCGATTTTATGCATCACCCGATTGATAAAAATAGCTGCTTTGTTATCTTTCTTGATATTCTAAATGCCATATATAAACTTCTGTTTAAAAAGACAACTTAGGTGCTATCTGTTTGGACCAGAAGTTTTCTTATAGAAGTAGGTGATGAACATTGATCTGAGGTTTGGAAACTCAAAAAAGGATTCGAAATTTTGTTATGTGCAGTCAAAAGCAGAGTTGAAATTAATCCAAAACAACTAGAGAATGATTCACTTTTGAGATTTGCATAGAACCCGAATCAATGAATACGATCCGGATCAATTTTGTCTATTTGATTTTTAGCTTCATTTTTAATCCGACAGTTATCGAAAGATTTTTTTGTGTGAATTGTATTTACAGACGAATGTAACCCCAAAAATTTTTTTTCGTTAAAATCAAAGAATTTTCGATCTTGTAAAAAAAACTTCTAAAATCATAATATTGAATTTGTTTTAAATTAAGTGATTCTATTGCATTCAATTTTCTATTTATACTTTCTTCGCAACACGGTGAAATTTTAGTTTTAACGAATTACGGGTTTCACATAAGTTCAAATTTGTGTATTTTTTACGGGACGTGATGTGTGATATAAGTATTTAGTAATGAAATATAGATGAGTTTTCAGTTGGAAAATAAGAAATATGCGCTGGTATAAACAACAAGAGACCCTTCACTGTTAAAAATAAAAAATATGAAAAATCATAAACTCATAAAGGAATATTAAATGCTATTGATATTAGTCGAGTCATGTAATGACTCATTGAGAAAAATATTTATATCTACCTTAAGTTTGTTAGAGCAATAAAATGATCAATAACAACATAAATCGATCCTTCTATTCTGAAGACATCCAAAATATTTTTGGATATGAATTATATATATAGTCTGAGAATCACATTATAATCAGCAGAGTGAATTTTACAGACCTTGGCATATCAATTAAGTGATAGATGGATCGACATCTTTTTAAACGTAGTACCTTCCTCCGTGTCAGTGGCCGCCTTGTTCAGATTAAACCTATGGAACTATTTCTAACATAGAAACTCTACAGCAGGAATTCAACAAATAAAAATGTCAATAATTTATATGATGAGAATTGTAATTATGTAACTCATATTCCAGGTATAACATTTATTACCAGTAATCATCATTCAAGTGTACACTATACATAACACAGATGTATATGGCAGGGTGTATGCACTGTCTATTCTATACTTTCCAGGTTTGGACAATGAATACAGGGAGTATAGGCTTTAAATGAGGCTACCCGGTCAACAATATTAAGTAGCAACGTTACCGGTTCATAGACATACCGGTAGTTTTAAAGTTACACGGGTCAACATCAACATCGGTGAGCAATTAAGAATAATTCTGTCAAAATCCAGTCATTTTACCGCTTTTTTTGCTTCAATAACAATGAATCTATAAACAAATTCATATTAAAATTTGTATTCACAGATGGCGCCATATTGCTTCCCGTTTGGAGAATGATTCTGAATCCCTTGATGCTTACTATTAGGGTTTCGATCGACATTAATAGCAATGTTTGTGTACGAGCCTGTGGAGTTCGGATAACCATCCTGCCACACGCTAGAAGGCAGGGTTACAGGTTCTCCGTTCGACAATTCAAATTCACCTCTCTGTTGAAACAAAACATACATTTTTAGAAAATGTGGATATTAAACTAGACATTGAATTGCTGGGTCATTTGACTTTCTGACGTAAGCTGAACATCAAATCAAACTTATCTGAATACTATGTTCCATACTCGATTGCGTACAAATAAACAAATGCATTTAATTTTGATGCCATCTAGAATTTTTGAAAAATTTCAGTTATTGCTTTACATCACAATAACACATTTGTCTATATTATCATTTATTTTCCTGGCATATTCTCATTGAATCGTTTTAATTGGGTGAGTTGTTTTAGGGCCCTGTACGCGTGAAAAGCGCAGAATGAAAAATTTTTAAAATAAAAAAAACTAGTTTTGCTGCTCTATTAGCGCCGTGTTTAGAGTTAATGTTTAAAATGCCCAATAAAAAACAATAGCATAGCAGTGCTCAAAAATAGGGACACGAAAGCTAAAATGCTTTCCTGTATTCACAATTCCCCATAAAATCATATCCTGAATGGATCTGGAAGTGTGGAACGGGTAGGGCTACTTACCAGTACCATTACCAGGGTATCGGTACCCGAACTGTCCTATATTTTCCAAGTCCTATCACATTAATGACTCATGCTTCCAGTCGCAACGTGAAACGAAACACCCAATTATTTGAGTCACAACTTTTTTTTAAAAAATGTTTTACAGTCCCCGCACCGTAGTTTACCTTACCCACTAAAATGTTTCCGAGACTGCTAAAAACGAGATCCGTTGACATGAGGTCGCGTAACCTGTACAAATACTTTTAATTCTGTTGACGTCATTACACAACCCATCAAATGGAAAAAAAAGAATCCCACAGAGAGCACAGGGAATTCTAAAATATTTGAAAGCAATAGAGACAACAACAATCTTTAACCCCTGAAAAATTCATAGCACGTTGGAAATAACAACAACGAGAAAATTACGAAATGACAAAACGATCCATAGGTTCATTTTGTGTTCCATAAATCTTATCATTATTCTGGATAATTATGCTTTACTGTTGACAGAATCGGTCGACATATTCATGTAGCAAAATTTACATGTCTGGTCATATTTGGCAAATATTGAACTCCCAAGTTCCGAACGACCGCGTTTAACTGAAAATAAGACCTAGTCAATAGAGCGAAATTTATTTTGACCTAGTTCATGGCAAAAAATTCCTTATACACGTATTAAATGAATAATATTCAATGTTTACATGAAGCTTGAAACATTTCGAATAGCATACTATAAAAGAACACAAAATACGTATTTATTCAACGAATAAGCTCAAAGCAAGCACTCGCGTACTCATTCAGTAACAATCAACCCTCATCTCAAGGTTACGCGCAACCAGTAAACCGGCAAATGCCGATTGGCGCAAAGTTTTGAAGCAGTTCAAGTTAATGAGATTAAGTCAATTTATAATATTAACAAGATAGGTGCCTATGAATATTTGATTCACCTTATAGTACATTCCAGTGTGAACTGCAAGCGCAGTTGAGTCGTTTGTAATCAATGTGCGCATGTATTGTAGCAACATATCAAATTGTGTGACGTCATAGATGTTAGCCAGTCTGAGATTACACATATTTTTAGCATCGCTGAAGGCGAGGTTCCCAGCATACTGCACGATAGCTTTATAGCATTTTGAATTGTAAATGACGCCGCAAATTCCTGACAACAAAATAACGATAATTAGGGTGTGCGGATCGAGAGTCGAATAGATTCAGGTCGATGCAACTATTGTAACCTGATTACCATGGCTTCTGGGAATTGTATGAAATACTCCAATCCGCGACACCAACAAAATATATACATCCCGCTAAAACAACAATGAATTGATCCATTTCATATACTGACACTAGAAAGATATATGACATACATACTCTGGGTTGTGGTCAATTCAAGTTTTTCAGAACGTGTAGTCTCCGCGACTGCAGTCTCGGCGATTGTAGTTTCGGCGATTGTAGTCAGAAGTGATAGATCTGTAGTTGACAATAGATTGGTCTGACTAATTGTTGCGAAAGCAGTAGAAGTTGTGACTGGAGAATTCTCGCTTTCGTATTCTAGGTTGAATTATATTTAAAAGATTTAGGTAAAAAGATCCGTAGTGGACATTCAAATCAGTGATTGAATCATTTCATATGCTGACTTAAAAAATGTTAGCCAGTCTGAGATTACACATATTTTCAGCATCGCTGAAGGCGAGGTTCCCAGCATACTGCATGATAGCTTTATAGCATTTTGAATTGTAAATGACGCCGCAAATTCTTGACAACAAAATTACGATAATTAGGGTGTGCGGATCGAGAGTCGAATAGATTCAGGTCGCTGCAACTATTGTAACCTGATTACCATGGCTTCTGGGAATTGTATGAAATACTCCAATCCGCGACACCAACAAAATATATACATCCCGCTAAAACAACAATGAATTGATCCAGTTCATATACTGACACTAGAAAGATATATGGCATACATACTCTGGGTTGTGGTCAATTCAAGTTTTTCAGAACGTGTAGTCTCCGCGACTGCAGTCTCGGCGATTGTAGTCAGAAGTGATAGATCTGTAGTTGACCATAGATTGGTCTGACTAATTGTTGCGATAGCAGTAGAAGTTGTGACTGGAGAATTCTAGGTTGAATTATATATAAATGATTTAGGTAAAAAGATCCGTAGTGGACATTCAAATCAGTGATTGAATCATTTCATATGCTGACTTAAAAAAGATATATGGTATACTTACTCTGGGTTGTGCTCAATTCAACTTTTTCGTAACGTGTAGTGTCGGCAATTGTAGTCAGATGTGATAGGCTCGTAGTTGATAATAGATTGGTCTGACTAATTGTTGCGATAGCATTAGAAGTTGTGACTGGAGGATTTTCGCTTTCGTATTCTAGGTTAAAATATTTATAAATGATTTAGGTCAGGGTGGTCCAAACCCAGGCCCACATGTGGCCCGTAGCTTCATTATCTGTGGCCCGAGTTGCATTCGGATAGTAGTCGCGGTTGGTGCTCCTCATAAAATCAACCAGAAAAATTGTTTGATATATTTTGTTACGGCTAGCTGAGTCAACTAGAGAAGTTGAAGGATGTGCTTGGCAGTCTAAATTGTTGTCTGGCTTTCTATCTTCTTGGTCGGGAATATATGCTAACAATTTTCTCATCATAGAAAAACTAAAAATTGCACCGAAATCAGATTCTAATAGCCTAGGTTAACTAGGCCTGATAATTGGACATCAATGTTATGGCCTAACAATAACAATATAATTCATGCCGGGTGTTTTTTGCAAACAGCCTAAATAGTATTATAAAAACGCTGCCTATATGCCAGAAAATTTAGTAATTAGCCTCCTGTACCTCATATTTGATAATCAATCTGCAGTTAATTGAAAGTTATTTTGTAAACATGAGTTTGAAGAGAAAGCTGACGAATTCAAAGAGATTTTTAACTGAATATGAGAGGGTAAATAGTAAATACCACAATGCTTGCTTGATATGTCGGCAAGTTGTGTCGCTGACAAAAGAATATAATTCAAAACGTCATTTTAGAATCTTGAGATCAATGAGCATTTTCGAAAGTTAAGAATTTGCTTTAATAGTCTTATCGATGTTCAAAAGCAATTACATTTGCGGAAGCACTTTTTCCGTTATGAAGACTTTGAAATCTTACACTAAATATAGATATAGGAAGTTTTTTGATGTTTTTTTTCATGTTTTAGCTCGATAAATTACAAATGTTGATCAATGTTTTTTCACAATAAAAGTGTTTTTTTTTTTGTATTGCACTAGTTACCTATTCTTGGCAATAATGTGGCCCGAGAACAATGCAAAAATAATTTTGTGTACCTCGAAGTCGGCAACTTTGAACCACCCTGATTTAGGTAAAAAGATCAATAGTGGGCATTCAAAGTCTTGATTGATCCATTTCATATGCTGACCTAAAAAAGATATATGCTCTGGGTTGTGCTCAATTCACCTTTTGCATGATGTGAAGTTTCGGCAATAGTAGTCAGAAGGGATAGGTTCGTAGTTGACAATAGATTTGTCTGACTAATTGTTGCGAGAGCAGTAGAAGTGGTGACTGGAGAATGCTTGCTTTGGTATTCTAGGATTAAATTGCATATATATAAATGATTTTCGATAAAAAGATCAGTAGTGGGCATTCAAAGCCGTAATTGGTTCATGCTTGTGCAAGATGTAAACAGAATCTTTATATTCTGGCATAGTCTGATAATTGTATAGCATATTGTTTGACCTCGACCGAGAAACCAATCCAGTTCAAATACTAACAACATAGCAATATCAAGCGCACCAGGCATAAGCACTTAGCCATAAATTTTCATCAAATTTATTTAATTTTAAGAGCTTTTTATTGAATTTATTTTTCTTAGTTCAATCCATTTATCTATTTTTGTCAATCAATACATTCTTGAATTGCTTATATGAACCATTTGTAAAAATATATATGGTGGCATGTCATGGGGTCATCACTTGAAGGCAATATGAGAATAGGCGTTCCTACCGTGTGGTTGAGTTGTAATCTCGGCATCTTCTTTTACTGTCGACATGTTTGCATTATTCAATTGTCTTTGCAAAGAATAAATTATGCTGGACAATTGATTCACTCGATCTGTGGATTAAAATTTTAAAATGAATCCAATTTTAAAATTATTTATGTATTTAGTTTAACTGTAAAATTCTTTCAGTTTTCGAATGGAGGCTGTATCTGCAAATTCATAACTAACTTTTACTATTTTATTAATTTCAGATACTAGGTTTGCAGCTACGCAGTTGATGTTGCAGTCACACTTTATAACCTAATGAAACAAGGTATTACTGATTCATATTACCGACCTTCCAATGTTTTTTGCTTCATAGAACAGGTATTATTCTGTAAACAATACGATTATATAGCCATGAGTATGTTAGAAACACAATTTAAATATATTACAACTTTACCCTATTCATGTCACGGCTGATGTGTCCCAGGTATAAATATACATACCAGTATTTGACTCAATAATTTTGAGCTGTAAACGATATCATTAAACTCTATAATCAAATAAAAATTATTTATTATTTTGTTTTACTCATCATTAAATGTTATTGTTAATTTTTTTGGAATGACGCTATATCTACATTGCTCTTGGGCTAGTGATGTGAGAGGGTAATAAGTGCCCAGTGTCTTTGACTTTCAGGATTGTTTTAGTAAAATTGTGGGGAATGACGATATATTTACATTGCCCTTGGGTTAGTGATAAGGAGATGATGGGTGCCAGGCGTCTTTGACTTTAAAAATCTTCAAAATAATATGAAACCACTAATTTAAGTTCATTACTTACATTCAAACCGTTTCCCGTCGTTTAGTTACTTTATTTGCGGATACAATCCTACAAGTGATTCGAGTATTTGAAGAAACCATCACTGATCAGATGCCCGCAAAAGTTTTTTTCTAGCAATTATTGTCAAAATCACCTCAGATTTGGCGTGCAGTTTGTTTTTCATGTAAGTTTATAGACTTTCAATTTTTAAGTTGTTAGGAATGAGAAGGGTTATTACAAAATGAATAAACGTATTACTAGCGGCCACGTGTGGTGGATTTTGTATCTTTTTGTTTAAATCTGCCACATCACATGTGAGACACAGGCAATTTTTGAATATAGGAGATTTGGAGCATTTATAATAAACCAAAATTAATATCGCACCTTTGATGCAACTGGAGCTTTCTTCCATACCATTCTATTTTCGCAGGTCATTGGTAGCATACATTCATCTCCTAGTGAAACAGAAAGAAGACGTTAAGAAGAAAGGAAAGAAAGGTAACAAAAACAATCCCAGGTGACAGATGCTTATCACAAACTTTATCATGTATTTATACTAGAAAAAAGCAAATTATGTTGTAATTTGTTGGACATCTCTATTTCCTTGTTGCGACCAGCAGTGACGTAGGGCACGTTCAAACCAGTTTGATTTGTGTGTTTAGTCATCTATAACGAAGAAAGGCTTCGAATCAACGATTGATTGAATCAAATTATCATAATTATCTTTCATTTGGGGGCTTTGTGACAGAAATTTTGACAGGTGGTCAAGATGAGAGCCTCTAACTATTTTAATATTTGAAAGCATTCAGATATGAACCTAGAATAAATATTTTTTCAGAGTAATGTTGCACTAATTTTTTTTTTATCTGTAACGTTAAAATTAATGATTCTCATAAAATGAAAACAAAAGAAAACTTTAGGATCACAGTTCATTCAAAATTACTTCCGGGCCTGAGACGCATACAAAACTCCCAATTCTACAGTCGAAAATTGAGTTTATACTAAATTGAAAATTTGTGCTATTCGAATAAAATCTATTTTAGGAATCTAAACTTGCCACTTTTGCAGCAAAATGATTTATGTCAACCTGTCATGAAAAAAATTTTATCATAATTTTTTGTTTTGTTTTTGAGTTTGTAAAATGGATTCATTAGAACATGGCGGTCCAAGGTTGCGAGGTTGAAGGGCCACAAACACTTTTGAGGAGGTTTCGCGGGCCGCAGTCGGAGAAAACCTTGAAGTGATCAAAATATCGAGAGTTTACACACTTTAAATATATTAAAGAATGAGAGTTTACCGTTCAAATCAGTCTTTTATCATGAATGCGGCCCGCATGTCAGGGTATGGACCAACTTAATTTAGAATATTCGAATTGTAAAAATAGCGATATAGGAAGCCTACTAATTTGCATACGAATATATTCTCTAGTCATACCTCAATGATAACAATTTAAATTATAATAAAATATTAACACCACATAAATTAAAGAACATATTCTTTATAGTACTAACTGTTTGAAAAATAACGAACTCAACCAATTCAACAATCAATAAATTGATATAAAAAAAACCATTTTAGACATTACTGTAATTTCTGTAAGTTGCCTATTCCTACCTACTTTTGTCACTTTTACCATGACTCAATGGTATAGCGGCAATGATAACGAGGCATAGACAAAAACAATTTTTGAAACTGATTGTCGTACATTATACTTACCTTTGATTAATGTGATCATGAGAAGTTTGATGAAAACGATCCGCATACAAATCTTCATTTCGACATCAATATCGTCAACAATCACGAAGCTCGTTTTACTTTTGGAATCTCGGCGTCCGAATTAGGTCTAACTATGAAGAATCTTTGCTGCTGAAAGTCGATTCTGAACGGCAGAAAAAATAATGGTACTTAACAATATATATGCATCGTCTGATATTCGATACGTGCGTGCTCCTTACTATAGAAGAGCAGAGATTATTTGTTTTGTCTTTTTTTTAAATTTCAAATATAAAACGACGCATTTTGTTGCAAAACAAAAAATGAAGGTATAGGTTATTGCGGGTTTTCTTTTATTTTATATGGGTGACGACAATAGCTATGTGTAAAAATATGTGACAGACTCTTATTTATTATTGCGAGAAAAAAAATTATTGGCTCATGGAAATAGAACATTAAAATAATTCTATTCATATCTTCCATTCCCGCCACAATATCCACGAATACGTGATTTTTTGGAATGTAATTGCATAGTTTCATCAGATTGTATCGGCTAGACTTGTCATGTTGGCGGAATGCTCTGGTAAGCTGATGCTTAGTGCGTTAAAGCAAACTATGTTGACATTGCAGCTGTAGAGAACATGGGTGAAACTCGGAATATTCTAAAACAACATTTCCTTTTTACGTGTATCATTGGGTTTTTGCGTTGAGCCTTGCTTGAAGTAAAACAAAATTGTCAAGCCAATCACCTCATTTAAACATGATCCAATTCGAAATCTTGAATTGCTCGGATAAATCATTATACAGGTAATCAGACTTTGTATAATATATTTTGTTTATTAACAATATAAGCGAATGTAGTAAAAATACGAATGCGGGAATTACAGTTAGATCTGAAACATAATTCTTGTTTTCCGTTTTTGATACAATATGTATATTTAGTTTTTAAAATCAATATTTATACTTAAATTTTTACATTTTCTAAATATGCTACAAAACTATTTACTTGGTTGGACCTGGTTGAATCGTTTTCGTCAGCTTGATTTGACTTTTAAAATATGAATTTGCTGCCATTGCGATCACACACACTTTTGACTTCATTCAACCCAATGGCATGTATTTAATCACGATACAGGAATATATTTTATGAAGGAGTGTATTTCTAGAGATTTTCAAGGGTCAATGCTTGGACCTACAATGTAGTATTGGTATTAAAATGTATTACATTGCATGTACGAGTGAGCGATTGCGTGGTTGGTCAGATTTACCATTTCATCATACTTTATATATCATCTGAACGCATAATAATTCTGTCCAAATTACTGATAAGATCTTACATGAATATCGCAGCAATAACATCCCTGTTTGTTCGCAGCTGTTTCTAACTATTCTATCCAAGTTTGAGAGTTATGACTATAACTAATGAATAATGATTGATTTGGATCATCTGATTTTAAAATTGCCATTTCAAAGTGATGATTTCATTTCTTGGAAGAAATTACATTCTATTGGGATCACACAAATTTACATACCGTGGAAACAGCCGATGCTATTTTATCTTACTTATAATATGTCATAGATTTATTGTTTCAATGAATAACATTTATAAAGTAATCTACCCTACTTGTTGTGATTTGAATGCTATTAATTGAAAATTACGAAACAGTTGTTGATTCCTATGCGGCTATTAATAAAGTAGTTTGTTTAGGAAATAATTTCATGTCATGTGCCATAATTTGATGTTGTAAATTTAGGAGCAAACTACTACGAAATTATATTTCAACATTTTTCATAAAAAAATAAATCTATTGAACTTAAATGTACTTCCCGTTGGCCTAGGTTGCCTAGGTTTAGGATGAGGTTAAAAGTTTGTGTAATCGCAAAACTAATTCATTTTTACGTGTCAAATCAAATCGACCAAATGGAGGCGTTCGATGTCAAATCAAGTCACATCTATGAAAAATATTTTGCGCTGTTCAGAAAATATGAAAATTTAATTTTAACAAATAATGTTCAAAATTAAATAAATATTTTTTATCAATTTCGGGCAATGAATATTATGATGTAAGTATAGATATTTCTACATTCGCTTATGTTGTTGATAAAGGAATAAGTGTAGGCAAATATGCCTACCCGTATAATGTATAGTGCGGTTTAATTGAACGATGCTTACCACTGATATGTATAATTCTATTGGTTTTAGAGAATTGTACATACCGCGGAAAGAGATGATGCTATTTTATCTTACTTATAATATGTCATTGATATATTATTTTGATAAATAACATCTATAAATAATTCTACCATACTTGTTGCAATTTGAATGCTATTAACTACAAATTATAAAACTTCATTTGTTCGATTTGATCTGACACGTCAAAAATGAAATAGTTTTGCGTTTACACAAACTTTTAACCTCATTCTAAACCTAGGTAACCCAATGGGAAGTACATTTGAGTTCAATAGAGTAATATATTTATGAAAAGTGTTGAAATATAATATCGTAGTAGTTTGCTCCTAAATTTACAACATCAAATTATGGCACATGACATGCGATTATTTCATATACAAACTACCTTATTTATAGCCGCATATGAATCAACAACTGTTTCGTAATTTGCAATTAATAGCATTCAAATTACAATAAGTAGGGTAGAATTATTTATAAATGTTATTAATCAAAGCAATAAATCAATGACATATTATAAGTAAGATAAATTAGCATCATCTCTTTCCGCGGTATGTACATTTTTTTTGTGATTCCATTGGAATGTAATTTCTTCCAATAAATAAAATCATCACTTAGAAATGGCAATTTTAAAATCAGATGATCCAAAACAATCTTCATTCATTAGTCATATTCATAACTCTCAAATTTGGATAGGATAATTAGTAACAGCCACAAAAAACAGGGCAGTTATTGCTGCAATATTCATGTAAGTGATTGTCATTGATTTGGACAGAATTAGTATGCGTTCAGATGATATAAAAATATAAAGAAAGGGTAAATCTGACTAAACATCTATTATCTCATTCGCACGTGTAATTTTTAACATTTTAATATCAATAACTACATTGTAGGTCCAAGCATTGACACCAGAAAAACACTTCTTCATAAAATATGTTACTGTATTGAGCTTAAGTGTACCTTTCATTGCGTTGAATGAAGTCAAAAGTGTGTGTGATCACAATGGCAGCTAATTCATATTCAAAGTGTCAAATCAAGCTGACGAAAAAGATTTATCTGATGTCAAACAAGGCCCAACCAAAAGAATCGCTTTGTCGCATATTTAGAAAATGTAAAAATTTAACTATATTCAATGATTTTAAAGGCTGAATATATATACCGGTATATTTTATCAACTACGCATAACCCAAATTAGGTTTCAGTTGTATCTGTAATTTCCGCATTTGTATTTTTCTACATTCGCTTATGTTGTTAATAAACAAAATAAATTTGTACAAAGTCTGCTTACCTGTATAATGATTTATCCGGGCAATGCAAGATTTTGAATTGGACCATATTTTTATTGTGGTGGTTGTCATGGTATTTTTATTTTGTTTCAAAGCAGCCCTCAAGGCAAGCGCCCAATGATACAGTACCGTTTAACGCACTATTCATTAGATTACCAGAGCATTCCGCCAATATGACAAGTTTAGCCGATGCAATCTAACAAAAGTCTGCAGTTATATTTCGAAAAATAGGCGGTTCACGTGGATATTGTGGCGGAAATGAAAGATTTTGCTTGATATAGTAGAACTATTTTAATGTGCTATTTCCATAATTCAAAAATTTGTTTTATTCGCAATAACAAATAAGAGTCCGTCAGATATTTTAACACGTGACCATTGTAGTCACGCCAGTATGCTGCTACGTAAAAATAGGAGAAAACCCGTGATAACCAAAAATTTAAAGAAGAGAAAAACAAACTCTCTCCGCTCCGCTATAGTACGGAGTACGCACGTATATAATATCAGAAAATGCATATAGTGTTGAGTTTCATTATATTTTCTGCCGTTTAGAATCGACCTTCAGCGGAAAAGTTTCTCCTAAACTTAGAATCAATTTGGAGACCAAGATTCTAAAAGTAAAACGAGCTTCGTGATTGTTGAAGATATTGATGTCAAAATGAAGATTTGTATGCGGATCGTTTTCATCAAACTTCTCATGATCACATGGGTTAAAGGTAAGTCTAACGTACAACAAGCAGTTTCGAAAATTGTTTTCGTCTATCCTTTGTTATCATTGGCGCAACCATTAGGACATGGTGAATATAACAAAGGTAGTTAGGAATAAGCATATTGCCGAAAAATTAGAATAATGTCTAAAATATTTTTTTTTTATTAATTTTTTGACTGTTTTATTTTCTATTTAGTTGAATTTGTTATTTTTCAAACAGTTTGTACTGTGCAAAACCATGTGCATTGATTTATTTGGTGGTAAACCATGATTTCATTTTAATTAAAATTGTTATCATTGAGATATAGAGATTATTCGTTTACGAATGATGAAGTATCCTATCTCGCCATTTATTCAATTTTGAATATTCTAAATAAATCCATTTCACAAATTCAAAAACGACACAAAAAATACGATTGACATAGATCATTTCATATTAAAAGTTGCAACTTTAGTTTCCTAAATTTGATTTGATTTAAATTACACAAATTTTAAATATACTTTTTAAACTAAATTTTTCGACAATTCTAATTTGACCATGGAGGATTAGAATACAGATGGTGGCCCATCGTTGTCACGCGTAAAATTGAAATAATTTTGCCAAAAAAAAAAGTGCAAAAAAAATTGAAAAAAAAAACACGATTAAAATGAAAATAAAAAAGGCTGAAAACGATGGGCCATCTGCCGGCCCATTGTTGTCAAGCATTTTTTATTTAAAAATTTTTTACCTCTACTTGGGACCAACGTTGTCATGCACAATCATTGTTCCCAACGGTTTTAATTTTTATGGTGTCAAATACCTATTTTACTACAAGTATATATTGTTACTTCTCTGCGCGTGGAGTGTTGTAATTTACGTACCATGTATGTGCGCTGGGGTACGGTATGGTACCTAAAGGCCGCTTTCCGCACAGTGCAATGCGGAACATCTAACCTATAATTTATTTATCCCCAAAAAATAATTTTGAAGTTAGGTGTAAAGGAGCATCATTATCAACAAAAAAGCCACTGGCTGTACCGGTAACAGGGTAGGCAATTACAATTTACAATAATGTAACGGTACTATGCTGGTAATAAATACTGTAATATTACGTACAACCTGTAACTGGCTGCGGTAAACAGTAAAATAACTGCAAAAGTGAGTCAGAAAGCCCACACAGCGGAACAATCATGTGCGGATTATGCTTCTTTGGTGCCCTAAGCACTGAAGACTTTGGTGGTTCCCCCTTATGTGAATTTAATTATAAAAACAGTAAACCAAATAAGTGTATTATCCATTACAAATAATCACAACCAACGGTAAATAAAACAACTTTTACAAACATTTTCAGGTTTCAACTGTAATATATAACCGATATATATCGGCCGCTTACTGCCGTCAATACAAACAAGAATAAATTAATAACAGCCGCTACTGCAACTCTTGTCTCAGAATATTCCTACCGAAGCTACTGGGCTACTGGTACCGGCCAGCCTGTAGACTACTGAAACACTACCCCTGCTGTGCCTGCCCCATACAGCCGTTACGTAGCCTACCGATCCATGCAAATGATAAAGCGCGCGTGCTCAAACATTTATTTCAATCCACCCCTCGATTCACTGCATTCTACCGTGTCTCCCATTCGTTTCATGGGTGATTGCATGGGTACCGGTACCGCACGAGTGGCTGGACAACTGAGCAGAGAAGCATCATTCTCCAATTCAATTAACTTCTACACAAAAACAAATTTCCCGAATTTTCGTATTCAATTCTATATTCTCGTATCATTATTATAAATATATTACTTCTGGTTGAACTTGTAGCATAGAGAATATAACATAGATAATATAACATTTTCATATTGAATTTATTGAATATTGCTAAAGAAAATCAGTAGTGAGTTAGAAACCCAGGGAACATGGTTTGTGCGCGTAGGATTAGGATTGGCAATGTTGGTCCCAAGCAGAAGCAAATTTTCTCAAAATAAAAACTCGTTTTATATATTTTTATTCGCGTTTTTTTTTTTCAAATTTTTCTCTTTTTTTATTCCGTTTTTATTTTATTTCCGTTTTTAATTTTTTTTTTGCATTCAAATTTTTTTTCAAGTTTGTTTTTATATTCTTTATGTTTTTTCACAACTATTCTTTTTATTTCACTTTTATTTGCAGTTTTTTATTATTTTTTTATTTTATTTTTTTTTCAATTATACGCTTGACAACGATGGGCCACCATAAATATCTGAATGTTTTCAAATATTAAAATTGTTTGAGACGCTTATCTTGGTCGCTGTCAAAATGTCTAACACAAAACCCTTAAGTGAAAGGTAGTTATTCTAATTTAATTCAATCAGTCGTCGATTCGCAGACTTTCGTTTGATATAGAATTGACTAACCTCACAAATTGAACTTGTTTGAACGTATCATATACGTCACAGCTGGTCGCAACAAGGAAACAGAGATGTCAAAAATACAATATAATTTGCTTTTTCCTACCTTAAATACACTACTACACACCACTTAAAGTTTGTGTACCAATGTGAAGGTAACTAATTTTGTTCGCCTATTTTACATCAAGTTGTGTGAAGGGACGGAAGCTTATGGGCAGGGGCTATATTCACTTGGCTAACGCAAACAGTCCCCGAACTCGAAATAGAACTAAAATAAAGAAAATTGGAAAAAAATAATGACCTAACCCCAATCTGGTACAGATACTACGGGAGTACCAAAGTTTGTGATAAATCATCGTTTGACTGGGATTGTTTTCGTTACTTTTCCTCCTTTTCTACCTGAGTTCTTATGTTTGTTTTACCAGGAGAAGACTGTATGCTACCAATGACCTGTGAAAATAGAATGGTGTGGAAGAAAGCTCCAGTTGTATCAAATGTGCGAATTCCATCTTAGTTTGTTTTAAATATTTGAAAGCGCATATATTAAAAAATTATAAGTAAAACAATATATTAGAGTATTGGGTATAGTAATGTGCGGCTCATATGCGACACACTATAAAAAGTCATACGTGGCTGCTAGTGGTACGTTCCTAATTTTTTCAATAAATTTCCCTTCCTAAAAACTTAAAGTCTACAAACTTACATCAACAACAAACTGCATGCCAAATATCTGGGGTGATTTTATTATCCTCTATTATCGTTTACAGCTCAAATGAATTTAGTCAGATACTTGTATGTATATTTATACCCGGGAAACAGCAGCCGTGACATGAATATACGTTAACGTTAATATATATTTAAATTGTGTTAATAACATATTCATGACAATAGATCTAGTAACTGTATCGTTTTCAGAATGATGCCTGTTCCATGAAGTACAAAACATTGGAAGGTTGGTAATATGAATCAGTTATACCTTGTTTCATTATGTTTTAAAATGTGACTGCAACATCAAATGCGTAGCTGCAAACCTAGTATATGAAATGTGAAACTAATAAAATAGTGAAAGTTCGTCAATTATTATAATAGGAATTTTTAGCTAAAAACCCTCACCCTCAAAAACTGAAAGAATTTTACCGTTAAAGCTAAATACATAAATAATTTTAAAATTGGATTCATTTTAAAATTTTATTCCACAGATCGAGTGAATCAATTGTCCAGCATAATTTATTCTTTGCAAAGACAATTGGATAATGCAAACATGTCAACAGCAGAAGATGATGACGAGATTACAACTCAACCACACGGTAGGAACGCCTCTTCTCTTATTTCGTCTAAGTGGTTTTCATGACATGCCGCCATATATATTTATATCAATGGTTCATATAAGCAATTCAAGAATGTACTGATTAACAAAAATAGATTGATAGATTGAACTAAGATGAATAAATTCAATTTGAAGCTTTGGAAATTGACACATATTGCACATGCATAAACCAATCACGACTTTGAATGCATACTACAGATCTTTTTACCTAAAATTATTTACGTATAATTCAACCTAGAATACGAAAACGAGAATTCTCCAGTCACCACTTATACTGCTCCGGCAACAATTAGTCAGACCAATATATTGTCAACTACGAACCTATCACTTCTGACTACAATCGCCGAGACTACACGTAATGAAAAAGTTGAGCTGAGCACAAACCAGAGTATGTATACAATATCCCTTTTAAGTCAGATTTGAAATAGATCAGTTCATTGTTGCTTTAATAAGGGGATGCTTACATTATGTTGGTGTCGCGGATTGGAGTATTTTATCCAATTCATAGAAGATAGCGAGCCGGGTTACAATAGTTGCAGCGGTCTGAAGGTATTCGACCCTCATACCCTGCTAATCGTTTTTTGTTGTCAGGAAGTTGCGGATTCACTTACAATTCAAAATGCTTTCAAGCCATCATGCAATATGCCGGGAACATCACTTTCAGCGATGCTGAATATATTTGCGAAAACAAACTGGCTAACATCTATGACGTCACACAATTCAACATGATGCTAAGTTACATGCGCACAAAGACTACAGACTACTGGACTGCGCTTGCAGTTCACACTGGAATGATTTATCAGGTGAATCAAATATCCATAGGCACCTTAATCTTGATCTCATCAACTTGAACTGCTTCACGTTTTGCGACAGTCGGCATTTACTGACGTACCGGTAAATGTTTACTGGTTTTTCGTAGCTTTGAGTGTTCTATCTTTCTGAAAGAGAACGCGAGGGTTGCTTCGAGCATATCCTTAGAAAAAATGACGTATTTTGTGTTCTTTCATACTATTTGAAATGTTTTAAGCTTCAGGAGGTACCTAGTTCTGAACTGGGGAGTTGGTCGAAATTTGTCAAAGTTGACCAGACATGTGAATTTTGCTACATGAATATGCCGGCCAATTCTGTCAACGGTATCGCAGAATAATGTTACGATTTATTGGAACAAAAATAAACCTATGGAACGTTTCGTCATCTTCTTGTTGTTCTCATTAACTAGTGGACCAATTGCTTTGGAATTTTCAGTGGTTGAAGATTTCGCTATTGCGTTCATTTATTCCGGTCTCTTTGGGATTCGTTTTTATATTTGACATTTTGTGTAGTGACGTCAACAAAATTAAAAATTATCTGTAGCGGTTCCGCGATCGCATGTATGCGGATCTCGTGCTTAGCAAAGTCGGAAGTTTTTAGGGTGTACGTAGAATACGATACTGGGATTGTAAAATATTCGATAAGAGGCTACAGCTGTGACTCGGATCATTTTGTGTTTTTAATTCACGTTGAGACTGGAAGCATGTATCATTATCGTCACAGGACCTGAATAAAATTGGACAGTTCACGTGTCGGTACCCTTAAACTTGTTTGTTAGCGTGCTTGTTCACTCTCCAAGATTCGTTCAGGATATGATTTGGGAGAACTTGTGGATAAAAAAATCTTTCTTAACTTCGTGTTCATATATTTGAGCATTGCTCTCTTGTTTTTTTTAATGGACGTTTTCACACATGAGCTCCGAACAAGGCACTAGTGAAGCAGCACAACTAGTTTTATAAGAAACCTTGACAGTTAAGTCATTGTCATCCTAATTTATCAACCTGAAATTTTTATTCCGCCTGGCCCTAAAAAAAAAACTCACTCAATTAAAACGTTTTAATGAGAATATGCCAGGAAACTACATGGGAATATAGAAAAAATATGTTTTATGTGATAAAAGGCAATAAATGAAATTTTTCAAAAAATCTACACGACATCCAAATCAAATATATTTGTTCATTTAAATGCTATCGAGTACGTAACATAGCATCCAGAAATGTTTTCTTTGCTGTTCAGGTTAGGTCACTCAGTTACGTGACCCAGCAATCCAATTGCCAGTTTAATATTCACACTTTCTGTAAATATATATATGTATTGTTTCAACAGGGCGGTCAATTGAAATTGTCGACCGGAGAATCTGTATCCCTGCCGACAAATGTTTGGAAGCCTGGTTTTCCTAACAAAATAGGATCACACACAAATGTTGCTATCGATGTCTATCGAAACCCAGATAGCACGAATCAAGGATTTCTGAATCATGACTCAAACGTGAATTATTATGGCGCCATCTGCGAATATGAATTGTAACTGAAATTTGTCTATAGATTCGTTGATATTGAAGCAGAAAAGGTGGTAAAATGACTTGATTTTGACTGAATTATTGTTATTTGCTTGCCGATGTTGTTGTGGACTCGTGTATCTTTAAGACTTTGTTTTGTCATATTGTTGATTATATTGATTAATTGATTACAGTGTTGACCAGGTAGCCTTATTGACGCTTATGTTCGCTGCGTTTATTCTCCACACTTGAAAAGTATAGGTAGTACATACACAATGCCCTATGCATCTGTGTTATGTATAGTATACACTTGAAAATGATATAACTGGAAATAAATAATATAACTGGAAGATGCGTTACATAATTACAATTCCCGGCTAACCTTATTATGCCTAATCCGCCTAATTGTTGAACTAATAAATCTGCATTTTCCCTTCTAAGTCACATAGTGCAGCCTATTTGCATAAAAAAAATATATATATATTAAAGTGTTTATCAAACCTCTTGTAAAATTGAAACTTTATTCAATAAATGATCAAGCGTTAACTTTACGTCGTCCATAATCTGTATAAAACACACTAGGAAAAAGATTTAACTAATTTTTGACACAAGCATTAATTCTCTGCTATATGATTTTTTACATTCTTTTCCGATAAAGAGGATTTAATGATCGGAATTATTCAACCAGGTTTTAAATTCAACCAATAGGAATGAATCATGAATGTAAATTGTAAAAAGAAAAAAATATATTGAAATGATGTTTCTAACGACGAAACAGATCTTTTTTCTAGGTTCATAATTAGAAAACAACAACTTCCTGAATATATATAGACGGCCAACTGCAAATCCAATTTTTCTCTATTTATTTTATTATCATTTGATTATCGTATATGAAGGAACGACCATCATAGATGAGTGATTATATTCCTTACAAGTCCGCACCACTTGATTGTGTTTTACAATGTTATTATTATATATCACACTAATTAACTTAGAAGTCTTCCCAGTTGGGTCCTTTGTTGCTCTTTAATAGTATAGCTGTAGTCGTCCTTTTTCGTTTCTTTTCAGCCAATCACGTTCGGAGTGAAGAGATAGAATTTTAAAAATATCTTAACTTTAAAAATATTAAAATGTGAAATTCTAATGCATGTTTGGTATGTTTATTTCAAAAGCACATTGAGATTTTATGAATAAACATAAACGTTAGAGCTAGCAGGTATATTAATGAGACGGAATCAAATGCGGCGATAGACAGAGAAAAAGAGTTTACATTTCAGCATAAATTATTGTGATCATATTGTGCATCACGTTTTAGTCGTTAGGGACAATTTAACGCGTTTTATTGTAATTCAAGTGATTTATTTGACGAAGACCAATAGCCGTGTCATCTAGTGAAGTCCAAAATGACCCCCCGAGGCAAGTAACGAGACTGCTCGCGTTGGTGGTGCTGTCTTCGGACGTCGGTAGCCTACGTTGTTTTACCCTGTTTCGTGAAAATTTTCAAATATGCAAAGTAAATATTTTTACGCTATCAGATAAACTATTCAATATAGATATGAATAAATCCTTGTTGGAAATCAGGTTTGTTAGTTTTTGTGTAGGCCTATATTTATAAAGTATCGCCAATATTGGTGTAACTTACCTTCCTATTTTCAATATCGATTTTATTTTCATCAAGCACCATTCCCGGAAGATTCTATACATAAGAAATGTAACAGAATATACAGTATTAATGGAAAATATATAAAATATATATATATATATTTACTTTTCCCTCGGTAGTCCTCGTCAAAAATACAATATTAATTGCAATATTCTCTCAGATTTGACTCAAATGTCCCAATTTAGTTTAAAATATATATACAGGGTGGTCGCTAGAAAAGCAGAAAATATGAGGGTCAGATGAGATCACAAATAAAATGCATGCTTACCCTTTTTTCGATACGTTTTTATGTCTTTTAGGTTCTACGGTATGTTAGGTTGATAGCTTTGAGTTTTTTTTTTCATTTTTATGTTGACACCCACATCATGGAAGAGGGCAGGAAACAGCTTTCAGACTTTGAAATGACCATTCATTCCAAAAGTGAATTCCTTTTTGGGGATTGAAAAATTTTCTGTTTTCCTAGCAACCAATATTTCTCAAACCCCAAACGATTTCGTTTGTTTAATAATTTTCATTTTTATATTCGCGGCATCCTGGAATAAAAAGCGAGGATGAACCAAATTAATCAAAAAAAAGGATTTTGTTATTGCGTTATATATCTGTTTTCACACGCCTATTATAATATAGTATTTTTTCCTGTCATATATTGCACCGAAAGTATATGTAAGAAATGAACATCCCATACCAACGAATCCTCCTTGTTCAGCAACTTTTCCTTTTTTTCGACCAAATAGAAATACGAGAAAATCACTCGATAAAACACTGACCTGAAATTAATATTATTAGGTTGAGAAACATTTAAAGTTGTGATCATTCACTAATTTTGATTAAAGCATGTGATGGTTACCACAATGTCTAAACACAAATATGTAGGCAATGCTTTGTTCTGTGTTTAATAATATTATATTAAACTACTGAAAACAACTAGGAGAGGGACTTGCACGACGACAGACCATATATATACATAATTTTTGGTTTGTTTGATGCTCGATGAGCTACACTAAAATCGCGCTTAAGCGTCATACATTTCTCTATTTAAGGATGTCGTTACAGAATCATTTGAACATTGTCCCCAGCAGCTGTTTTATCTTGACTTCTTCCATTTTCATACGTCATTGGTTCTTTCCGTGTTTCATTGTCACCGAGATCAAAATCATCCTTTGGAATAGTTTTCGGCCTCCGATGCAAAAAAATAGCGACTGGAACAATTGCTAAAAAAAAGTCAATGGATAAATATTGACATTCTCTTACATGAGATTAAATATAGGATTAAGTCGAAAAATATACCTCGTTCTATTCCAAAGTATCATAAATTGAACTTCGCCAAATTCTGATATATCTCGCGGTATCGCAAGGCCGCGGACACTGAAAAGCGCAACTCGAATTATATATCTAAAACCCTGATCAAATAACAATCAGAACCAGACAATAGCCTGCATATATTGATAGTGATGACTGATGAGAGTTATTAATCAGCATAAGTTGGGTTGCAATCCACATCCAACGGTGACGCCTTTCTGCAACAATAATATCGAGTCGGTAACTTCAGTCATGTCTACAATCTTTGAATATATTTATTATTCGACTACGTATCTTCTTAATTGTGCCAATGCTAGTCGCTCCCCGTCTGAGTCTATATCGGGATTCTGTTTATTTCCTTGAAACTCGAAGAAATTCATTGAAAACACTGTTTGGTCAGCGACCATAAACCACTTACACAATTTTTCAGTAATGTATGATGTATAAAATATTATGGCTAATTAAAAAAAATTCTCAAATTAAACCAACTTTTTTTCTTTCCGAGCTTAGTAGTGAGTCCACTTCATAATCCCGATTCTTTCCTCTGCAAAAGATCCACCTATTCAATCTTTCTTCTATTTCCATCTTTCACACACTATAACAACTTTCCTTGCTCGACTGTTGAATATTTTTGATTTCGTAAAGATCAATAAAACAACGGTAATTGTCCACCATTATTCGAAACAAATAGTTTCTGAATTGAAGATATTTCGGTGGGTATACCATGCTCTGTGATGTAAGAATGACTGGGTACTTCATAATATTGCTGATGTACCAATTTGTGATTTACCTACCATTTATTGATCACAATAAAGATAACCTTGTCATTTCGTAAATGACGTCATATATGACGCAATATTAGATCTTGAGTTTGTATACAAGTGGGGAATTTGTACCTATTCAGGATTAGGTTATTTGGGTGAATCAATGTGAAAGTCAATAATAAATTTCCAAAGTCTCAACAAATTTATCAGTAGATTCATACCACATGTTATTTATTCCTTCAGCTCAGTGCACGTGTACACAAAATTATCTACTTGTTTACCATACGGAAGTGTTGGCGATGACACAGTATACTGCCCTTCTTCTTCACCTACCTAATTTTCTCAATGTTTTGCAATAAATTATAAAGTTAGTGATATCAAGATTACTAGAGACAGAGGATGATGCACTTTGAACGCGTGAATTTTGATAAGCAAGTATGTATGGATGAATCTTTGAAATGATATCATAATGGACCGAGCTAGTGAATTTGAACAAACATTTGTTGAGAGTTTTAAAATGTCTTTGAATCTATTTATGAACGGGCTTGAGGCTTTTAACGGAAGCCTCTATAATGACGGATGCGCCAAAACCCTTTATGAGCGCCATATGGACAATGTGGAATTTCCTGTTTATACCTCGTCATTGTTTTAGGGAAGATGCGGCGTTTCCATATTGTTATTATTATAATAAAAGAAAGTGGGCCGATTAGACTAATCTTTGGTCGTTGGCGCCTGTCAGCCTAAGAGTAACTGACTAGAATTTTCCTATTACCACATAGGAGAGTGTCAGTACATACTTGTTGGTGAGCGAGTTGGTGTTTTCTCAAGATTTTAAAGAATTAGTGAAACTTTGAGTAAAATATTATTATTCGCACGTCCAATGATCGACATTGAATATTACTAATCTGAAAAGTTTTGTTTATAGTTGGTAATTTGAAGTAACATCTCAAAATCTCAAGGAATATTCAATCACACCACTTTCAATATTTTGATATATCTTGATAGAATGTGACGCATAGAAAATGTATACAATAAAGCTTGTATCTCGTATCCTCTATGTGCCCTGGCTTACAGTTTGGGAATGAAATTACTTCTATTTTGAGTAACACTATCTTGTGTCTTGAATTTGTAATGTAGCAGTTATTACAAGATGTTTATTTTTACTTCTGATAACTTCATTTGTCTTGGCAAATGCAAAGGAAGAAACGCACGATGACTTGATACAAAGCATCCAATCTATAGTGGTAAGTGATTTCAACCAAAATACCTTTTTTAGGATTTTTTTTAGTAATGACCAACGATGTTGAAATGAAAACATAAATGTAATAATTTGATATGAAGAAGTGTCTCATGTAAAATCATTTTATAAAGACTAAGTCTGGAGACGGGGTTTTGTGCTATTATCGAGTTAGGAAACACAGCCTGCATATTTAAACACAGAAGCTTCCATTGTAACAACTGAACAAATGTGTTATGCTTAAGGGTAGATAGGATAAAATTTTGTCCACGTACACAATACTTCACTTGGCTACCCAGTGCCCCGCAACAAAAGCGGTTCTGGTAACTGTTATAACATTAAGAGACTGAAAGGTACAATAAAATCGGACAATCTCTGAAATAATTTGCTTGGAAATAAACCTAATAGGCTTATGACTAATTCACTTTTTTATATGAAATGTTTCCTATTACAGGAGAGGAAGGACCAAGTTGATGATGACGCAATACTGCAAGAATTAAAAAATCTTTTTGAGGATCAAGGAATCGACTTCAACAAAGTTATGACAGATATTTCATTTATATCTGGAATTCCTGGAATCTTTACAAACGGCGACGCAAGACGATGGTCCAGCTTAAATTTTGCTCGTCAAACTGCTTGTTATCAGGTACTTATATAAAATTAGGGATCCTATTGTACAACCTATTGACATTAGATTGTAGCATAAATTTTAATTGAATAACTTTCAAGTACATTTTTAAAACAGGTAAGTGCGATCTGCCTGATTTTTTTTAGGAGCATCGTCATTTTAATGTTCAGTTTTTTAAAAGTTGCTATCTGTTTATGGGTTGAAAAATGAAATTTCCAATGTCATTTTTTTTATGAAGGGCAAGACTGGCAGTTTGATAAATGAGCTTATATTCTCGTACACAACATATGTGGGATATGGATGTTACTGTGGTGGTGGACATTATCGAGGAAATTACTTGGATCAAACAGATCTGTAAGACTTTTGTTAGTTTAATTTATTATTTTTGATTTTAAATTTCTATATTTATTTTGTTATTAATGGTTTTGTTCCGTTTCATTGATATTATTATATTTTTTTCTTATTTTGCCACTTCAAACGAATATACATTGTTCACATCATATCGTATCAAATAAGAATGTGTATAACTAATTCTTATTATTTTCGAAGTTTTTCTGTTGTAATCTTTTGAGTTCATCATACACAAATCAATTCTATAAAAAGTTCGTATTCATGACCTGATATTTATTGTCTTTTTTTTATTTTAATTAATAATAGAGGCATATGAAAACAAATGAAATACATCTATGGCAGCCATATTTTTTATTTAAAAAAAAAATACCAAACTTTTTTCAATTTTTGAATGTTTTAAAAAATGATTGCGTATGCTTTATTGATTCTCATTATAGTTGAAATTAAGTAGAGACCACCCAAGTTGGTTAAGATATATGAGATCTCATGCGTACGGTATAGTTCGGTGTTATGAGGTTATTTCACACCGTTTTATTGACAAATACAAATTTTAACAGTTGCTGCAGACATCACGATCTATGCTACGGACAAGTATCACAGAAGTACGGACTGAAACATGGATGTCACACTTACACTACTTCTTACAGCATGTCCTGTTGCGAGGATAAGAAGATAACGAAATGCACCGATACCGGACCCAGTGAGTTTATAAATTGTTTGAACCTGAGATGTTGTCCGCTTTATTTCTAATATAAAAATTGGATTCGCAAGTGACTAAGACTTTGAACACTGCTACAAATAATGAAAGCTAAAAATGTATATTCCCAACATTGAAATGATAGAAATGAATTATAATGCGTACCAGTCTAGTATATAAAAGAAACATCAGTTATATGTTCGATGGAAGATTTACCAGCATCTTGCTACGTTGGAATAATTATCAATGAAAAACACGTTAGAATTGAACCATATTATTGAAAATTACATGTATCTGGATGCATTTTAAAACCGTGGGTATATACTTATACCTTTAATTTCGTCATTTTCTACAAAGTGAAATATTTATTATTGATATTTAATGTTGAATAAATCTTTTATTCTGCGAAGCAAGAAAAAATTCTCATTTAATTTTATTTTTTGTATTTCTAGGTGCAAGTAGAGCATTGTGTGATTGTGATCAGGAAGCAGCAAAATGTCTTGCCAGTAAAGCAGCTAAAAGCTCTTACAATGCAGGTATAGTTAAACACAAGGGACTGCATGATATCATACCATTTCCACACAGCTAGAGGATTAAAAATCAAGACCATTAATTACTATGGTTTATTTTCATTTTTTTGATTTTGCTGATCGTTTAATTATCCTCCAGTAATGTTTAATTTTTTATAATGAGTTTATTCTTTTGATCTAGCATATATGAAGAATAGAAGCCAATGCCAAGATCACCCAGGGATAGATACGAAAGTACTAAGCGCGATGGATATATTGAAAACATGCAAACACATCTTGAAACCTACCAAGACTTTTTATCAGACAATTAGGTATGTTTAAATGTCGTTCCATGCAAAGAAGAAAGTAGCAAAGTGACACTGATATGCTCTGATCAAAGGAAATCGTTGGATGAATCAACAATTGCTCCTGTAAAGATTTCCTATTTTACTTCACATGCATCGTATATTTCTTGCCTTGCAGACATAATGCCTGATGCTTGCTAAAATAGTAATGGATCACGGTACTTTGATTTCTAATTAGGAATTTAAATGTCAGTTGTTTTAGCAGTATTTCAGATACTCTTATCTCCAATTCTAACATATAATTAAATTCGGATATTTTATATTAAGATCACAAGGAAAATGTCCCAAAACGAAGACGTCATCATGGTTTTGGGCAGGAAACCTGAAGACATCCGGGGGAAAAGACAATTTGGAGGAAAAACTAAATTATGAAATGGACACTATCTGACATGAACATTGAATCGTTCTATTAGATATACCTACGCATATAGACGGAAATTTACTATATATATTAATAAACAAGAAAGTTACATGTAAGTCCTACCACCTCGAAATGATTACAAAATCCTACTCCAGCTTAAAATTGAACCACATTTTCAACTTGGCCATCTCGGATTCAAATAGAAACACTTTAACAGCAAATCCAAGTTTTCTCCGTGAACTCGTGTAAAGATAAATTTGAATGCAAATTTGGAATTAGCGAACCCTCAGATTCAAGTTTTTTTTCCTTCAAAAAACGCAATAGCTACTTGTGTATCAGTTACCACTTTTCTATATTCTTGTTTGATTGAAGTTGTAAAAACAGCATATAAAATATTAGTTTTGTATCTTCCTTTGGACTCCAAAAAGTTAAAAACAAATTAGATTTCAACGCCTGCCTGCGAAAAGTTTGAAATAACAATTTGGCCCCGATTTCAGATATGCACAGTATAAGTCGCGTACAATTATCAATCACTAGGAAACTTACTGACAAAATAGTAGGTATTGTTCATACATTTCTTTCAGGAAATGGTGATGAAGTATTAGGATTATGATCGTTTCGCTAGTAGTGTAAATATACAGAATATGAAAACAAATAAATGATTGTCTGATAAAACAAACCGAGGGTTATAGGATGTCACATCTTTGTACCTACTTTATAATATTGAACCCGTAATATTTGCAGTAAATCTAAAAAAATAATTAAAACAATGGCTTTCTAGCGGCTCCAAACCTTTTTCAGTACCCAAAATTTAAGAGCGATTGGTTCATTAGTTGCAGCAAAAGATCTGTTCTTTCAAAATCAACAATAACAGCAAGATAAACCCAATAATGACAACAACAAGGATGCAGCAAAATAATCATTTTTTGTCGAATAATCCAGGAAACCAAAATAAGGGCACGACAATCTAGTGCAGGGTGGTCCAAGGTTGTGGGCTCCGCGGGCCACAAAATTATTTTGGCATATGTCGCGGGCCACAATAGTATCAAGAATAGGTAAACAGTGCAATACAAAACAAGCACTTTTGTGTAAACACATAGTTATCAGGCATTGCCAACCTAGGCTAATGGAATCCGTATCCGATGTTTAGTTTTCTATCATGCCCATATTGTTAGCATATATTCCCGATCAAAACGATAGAAATCCAGGTAACAATTTGACTGCCCATCACATCTTCAACTTCGCTAGTTGCTTCAGCTAGCCATCATACTAGTCAATTCAGTCACAGTAGTGATATAACAACAATATGTAAAACGATTTTTTTGATTTATTTTATGAGGAGCAATTTGAAATATCATATTTTGATTACTCTCCGAATGCGCGGCGGGTCACAGATAATGAAGCGGCGGGCCACATGTGGCCCGCGGGCCTGGGTTTGGACCACCCTGATCTAGTGGTTCAAGAAATAGCTGAAACTGTCTTGGAATTGCAGATCACCCATGTAATAAGTTGAGTGAACAATGCTTTCCTTTCAATTAATAGCAGCTTTTCACATATCGTTAGATGTCAATTTCTGCCTATATACGTCTTTGTTCGAAGCGAGAGACGTGAATAAGCTTCGTATAGAATAGCACAAAAGGAAATTACATGATATTAGACTGGACATTGTGAGAGAGCAAAAAAAAAGCGGAAATGGGTATAACGATTCAATGTGTATAACGTCACAATGTATGAAACATATATTAACAAAAACATCAAGATTGTAATATGTCTTATAATTTAGACAAACTTCTACACAAAATTTGAGTTCGGTAATCGCAGTTTGGCATGTTTCCATTAATAGGAAAGTCGGAGCCAGAGTCATATTCTTAAACTCTCCAGTGTCAGACATTTTGGAGTCGTTGGGTAGAAATTTTGAACAAAGAAAAAGAGTTTCTTTTATAAAAATTTTCTGAGCTTGAGTCCGAGCGCAGTTGCTTTTTAAAATGCTCAGAGTTTGGATCCGGAGTAAGGAGTGAAAGTTCCCCAGCTTCAAAGCTCTACACGAATTACCCAATTATAATATTGAAAAAATTACAATACCGTTATGAGATAGACCTGGGTGATATTATAGGCTTATCTCAAAAGATTCATTCAAAGTAAAAGCGTAAATAAATATTCCACAGAAAAATGGACCCAAACCATTTTTGAATATAAAAACTGTCGAAATTGACGAAAACAAAAATGTAAGAAAGCTAACAAATAAAGCATTTAATATAACTGACTTCAGATATAATATCTACATAATACAATGTTGTAACCGGACTACCACCATCCATATATGTGACCGAGATCTTCCGTATCCGCCGGCTGGACGTCCTCGGCTAACACGACACTTTTTTTATTTCCATGAAGTAGCCTAAAAGTTTATCTTTATTATGAGGAAATAGGTGAAAAAGTATAAGACTAATGTCATGCCTTTAATATGACAACGTTTGTAGGATTACATAAACTAGCAGACGCAAATAAACGATATATTCTGTTGCTGTTGGCTTTCAGAATTTAGTGAAAATCCAGTTATGTTGCTTTTGCTATTTTAATTTTTATTCACTAATAAATATAGTTTTGACAAAAAAGGCTTTCTTTTACTGAAGCCGACAACAACGACAATAGCTGATGAAATAAATACCTACTTCGATAACGAGCACACTAAAGTGAAGGTTACAATAACGAGGACGATTGCAAGAGAGGTCACCGTTGTTTCTTTTTCTTTATATATTTTTTGCACAAAATCGTTACATGGTGGCACTAAAAATTTCAGAAAATATATAATTTTTTTCAGTACCAAATAACATAGAAATATAAATTTGAAGAAATATTTTAAATAAAAAGATGATAAAAGTTTGTTTACACAAGTAAGTACGCTAGGTTCGTTCTATCTGAAATTGTTCTGTACAATTTCAACTGAGCTACATTTCAATACTTGTTTTTCTAATTTCGTTTCGTGGAATGTGTTTTTCCCGATTTTGTAGATAAAGTTTTAACAAAGTTACAAGTGTCTACACAACACAATTAAACGATAAATAAATAATAATTATCACATTCTAGTTTACGCTCGTTTCGTGATGAAAAGATACACTGTTCTCTGTTTACCTTATTGAATTGCACAATTTGCATCCATTTTCGACAGAGAAAGTGATAATGAACATAATAAGGGCTCATTACAGAGGCATCTTATTTTAAAATTGAATATTTTAAACTATAAGGTGTCTTCCATATTTAGCAACACCGAAATAGATATAGAATTTCTTACCGGGATAAGCTGCTTCCAGACACTTGATGAAACTGTATTTTATTTGGAATGTCATGTTACGGAAATTTTTGAGTTTGATTGGCGATATATTATTACCCATGTCCGACAGCCAAATTTCTTTCGAGCATGTGTCGACGTTTATATTAAGGCAGGATGATTTGTGCATCTGAAGTATTATACAAGTCGAAGGCTGGATGTTCCGTAAATGTATACCTGTAATCATTTAAAAAAAGGAATATCACACTATTTGGCTAGATAAATATATATGTATCACTGGAAGTCATACTTTGCACGGTTGTGTGAAAACTGATCATTTCATATGCCTAACTGTACTACCGAACCCTGTTGTTATATCATAAGTCTTTTCAACACGAGGCATTTTCGATATTTCGAGCATTTTGAAGTAAATTTATTTATACTTCTAAATTTGAAATCATTGCAAAATAATATTCATAAGATAGAGGCGAATGATACTTATATATATTTTATAATCTTTTCTCTTGTCAGTTGTAGGAAATTCCCCTTCTGTTATCTGAAATTTGCAGTTCATGTTGTTTTGTTTACTTTGCGCACATCTGAGCATGATGTTAATAAGCTAAACTCACTTATATAATCACTAATCTTCTGACTCTCTCGATTTGATTTATTTTGGCCTAATTCTATTTTCAATTTTGTTGAAAAATATTTTTATTTGACGTTTGTTTGAGGTCGTCTGCTGCTGAACTCGAAAAACACGGTGTCGCTGACACGATGACAATTTCGCACCCCGCGTCAGTTGCGGAAATATTGCATGTCTCTTTATTTCAATTGATCTTTTTGTTATCATTTTTTTATAACTTGTGTGGTACAATAACTCATGCACGACGGAAAACAAATATCTGAATCTGAATTTATCATATTCAATAATTACTTACCAAATATTTCTATCACTGGCATCCTACTTTTAGTATAATTTGCCGTTAAGCTGCTATCATCGCCGATTATATGTAGAAAAAGCGAATATTCATTCAGTTCGGTGAAAGGAGGCGTCCATTCAATTATATCGCATGATTTATCATTGCTGAAAAAAATTCAAAGTAAATAAAAAATTAATCATTCCGATTGAAAAGTATTTTGAGATTAGAACACTGATCGGGTTTTTAGACGGCGCTTGCATGGGCAAGGCCTTTCCATTTCTCAAAACAGCAAAACTAATCAAAACCTGAAATTGCTTTTTCCCTTGATTTACACAAAAGATTTTCTTAATTAGAACATCATGTTTTCTTATTTGTTGTGAAACGTAAAATCATGGACGAGAGAGATACGCAAAATTGTGAACAATTTGAAAAACAAAATTTAATTTATTTACAAAAATTAAATTTTTACTATTAAAAGCGATTCTATATTGACTTATATTTTAATTATATTAGTATACACCTTTTCCTAGCATCAATGGGTTTCAAAATTCCATCTATTTCTTCTCTCATTTCTGGAGTTTGTGACTTCATGGTGCATACAGCTGAAAAATGTTGATGAAAAATCGGATATTAGATATATTTGCTAATATACTGAATTATGCATGTACATGCAAATAATATATGCCTCTTTTGCATTTTAAAATCGAAATAGAGTAATAAACAACATTTCGTCACGCTAATAACCGAATTGCGTAAGTCATTTTTGACGATTTTGAGTTTTTTATAAAATAGGTATTTATGTAATGCTGCGCACCTGTCTGTTAACTCAGATTTTATTTTAAGAATTCCGAAACCCATAGAAATGGACCTTTAGTATGACATGCATATTTGTGCAATTGTTTCGTCATAATGAATTATCATTGTTATCGCAGGACTATTGTGACGTCACAAAGGTAAAATAACCTCGGCGAAGTATTTTCGAGTTTTTTCATCTTGGATTCTAGCTTAGCGCGTATTAATTTGAATTTATACTACAGTATAGGAAGACGTGCACTTGTGATATTCACTGTCCGAGTCCAATTCACCTTGGTTGGCTTTTATATTGGGTGCATTGCTGTTTTATTCTTTATATTTAATCTTAGTCTTATTTTGGAGGGTGTGCAGAACGTGTTATATTGATGAAATATATATTTTTACACATGAAAAATAATGTAATTGAAACTGATTAGCTATTTTGGAGATTAGACATTGTAGATACTGAGAATTACATTCGTTTTTGGAATGTTTAGTTTCCAGGACTGGTTCATATAGTGAGGTTGACAAATTGCGTATGTCCCAAAGTCATAGACACATTTCTGCCTAAGTCACAGTGCGCCACTATGACGTCACCTAACTGCGTCATACAAATTAACTTAAATCCGGCCACGATAAAAATTTCAACCATGGCAAATTATTGACTCTCAATGGCATAACAATATCATTAGGAAGTTTTTTACGTTTTTCTCAAAACTGCTAAAAATGACTTACGCAATTCGGTTATTAGCGTGACGATTTGTAGAATGTAGTCTATATACCTCTGAACCTAATGATCTCGGGTGTCCCTGGGTCATTTTGACACCCCTCTATAATTTTTTTAATATTTCACCAACCAAAAATGCCAAAGACATCATTAATGTGTCCTTAAAAAGCTTATCTTCGTCGCTTTCCACTAAAACGCGCCCAAATTACGTAGCGCAAATGTGTACGGCCGTACCGCGGTAAGAGCTTTCAACTAGTTTTTCCTCCTTTTTCAAATGGCACAAATATATTCACATACCCATGCATGAGCAAGCCATTTTTAAGGGTGACTGTCGAAATCTATCAGCCAAAATTCACGTGTAGGTGCAATTTTTTAAGAGCGGCACAAGCTTATGCCTGAGATGACCAGGAAAATACACAGAGAAATAGTGTGTTAGAAAACTTCTTTCATCACATACTTCAAATTTGATTGATTTAGTAGGTTAAGAGAATTACCATTTTTATTAACATTATTTTTTATATTTATATTCACATAGGCCCATTCAATATTTGAAGGGTCGTTAGGCACATAAAGTTTATATGAGTATAAAATACAACGTCCACCTTTCTCGTTTGGTAGATTACAATACTAATATAATTTTAGAGAAGATGTTATAAAGACTATTGGGTAGCGTTACTAATACCATTACAACCTAAAATATGTCATATATAGGAGTGGGCATTTTCAAAACACTGGTGCATTGGTGCACAAATAGAGACACCATGAGCTTTTTCAGATGACGTTGAGGTTGCAAGAACTGATAAATATTTTGGAGCAAACTGTGGCGAATTAGGATAGCACGTCTATTATCGCGCCACCATATAAGTTTAGTATATATCATAGAATCTCATTTACTACTTTATCCAAACAGGAGTCATACGCATCTGAAAGCGATATTGCATTTTATATTAAGTCGAAGCGTGGTTCTTTGACGAATTTCAATTTGTTTGCTATGACGTCATAATACCAGTTACGAAAAGTTTCATAATAAAAGTGCCATTCCTACATATATCAGCGTTTCGACACGCCCAGCCCTAGTCATATACTAGAATTACATGTGTTTGTAGGCTCTTCATATTCATCTTCTTCGTTAACACAGGTTGTTCCATTCCATGCATGTCCAGCCTCAATACAAATGCAATCGAAAAAGGATGGCGTATCTGAGCAAACTGAAGTAGAATCACAGTTGTCATCGCCGAGTAAGCATTCGTCCACTGGAAATGAGGTCGTTAAAACATAAAAATTCTCATAGAAGAATTATAAAAAAATGGAATTGATTAGGCAGTAGCTATTTTATAACAAATGTAATCTTTAAAATCTATTTTACAATTATCAGATATCTTCAAGTGATAATTGACTTCAGTAAAATATTGATTGACCAAAAAAACTGCAGAAACTAATTTATAAACAAAGCTAGGAATTATATAAAAATGGTATGTCAGCATCTAAAATTTTCTCAGTAACAAAATCGAAGTTAAAAACTGTAATTCTAACATTTACATTCGTGACATTTTAGGATTCAATGTTTCTGAATCGTATATTTGGAAAAAATATTTGAGATAACTTTTAGGTATATGTCACTGAGTAGATATTGGAATTTTTTCATTAAATTAGAGCCTTTTAGACAAACAGCGATTCTGAGGTGAAAACAGACAAACAATTATAACACTTTGGCAAACCAGTTGTTACACGAACATAAGTTGATCAGCTTAACTGCTTTAATTTTTCTGCACTTACCTGTTGTTGTAATAATGACGTTAAAGAATTTGATATTTCTTTACCTTCTGTTGTGGTTGAGGGCTCTCCTGCAGTTTTGAGAGTTGATGGTGCTGGAGGTTTGGGTGGTGTAGGAGTTGTTGCAACAGTCGGCGGTGTTGGTGGTACCATATCCGGTTCCGATTCGACGTCGATTGGAGAATCACCGTTTACGTCATAGTAACCCAATAATGCTGCAAATATAAGTAGAACAAAAATCAGAAAAAAATAAAGAAATTCTCGGAAGTAATAGCAAGTTTTACAAGTGTGTTTTTATAAGCATTTCTTTTCATTATCTATTCCATAAATACATGAGAGTGTATACTTTGCAGTTTGCTTCATCGGTGGATATGAAACTTGAAGCGTAACTCCTAACTTGGAGAGTTAAGTCCAATACATTTTAACGAAGCAATCTATAATGTTTTAATATTGACTTACCGATTGCGAACAAAAGTTGGAGGGAGATTACTGCCGATTTCATATCTTCGGTATGCCGAACTGCTCAAATTATGGATTAAAAAGGAAATGCTCAAATTTATGAACACAATACTGCTACGGTTAGGCTTGAGGTCGATAAGTTTTCAAAAAAAAAAAAACGAACAAGAGATACTGTTCGAAGAACCTACTCTGCCTAAGCTATTTTACCAAGTGAAACTAGTCAGTCAGAATTGAACAAAATCATCAATGCGGGTGGACTGTAAAGACTTTCACTTGCGTAATTTTGAAACATGTACGTATTATAGAATGTTTGACACAAATTGCACATCATTAGTTTTCTCATAATATTACAGTTTCAATGGCATATTACGATATATATATATATATATCTGTATATTTTATATATTATACAATTCCGTATAAATAAATTGGGTCTTCCTTAGTCGTACCTAAATTGTGAAACTGGTTCGAAAGAATATACCTCACCCAATGTGTAATACAAGTGTATACATCAGCTATGCATCTTGGACCTTAAACTAATATTGTTTATTTTGTGGTATTTATGATGGTTAAGAGAGCCATTCTCGAAATTTTTGTGGTACCTAGCTCGTGTGTTGACCAAACGCGTTTGAACATTGAAAATAAACTACTATTAGGTATTTCTCTCATTTTTCTTTAGGCATAGTATTCATATTATATTATTATATTCATATGATATAGCAACCAAAATGATCTACGTATTTATTTCATTTTACATTCATAGGATGCCTTTAACACACATAATACTGTATTACGAACCTCATTAGAGAATTTGTCCGTTCTCCAGATTTTCTCCCCCTTTACTCGTTACGCTTTATTCATAATATAACGTCATATATACCAAAAAAAACAGCATTTATACATGGTTATACCATTCCCTGATTCCCAAATTGTCTGCCAAAGTGCGATCGAGTATACATGTACCGAGTAGCCATTCTAAATCATAACTACGAGATTCAAGTGCCATATATGCCCCTCAAATAACTAGTACGACTAATATTTTATATTTCACGCATTTTTTTTCTTCTGACGAATGATACTTGCATTGGGCATCAGATTACAGCATTTAAAAGCCGTAACAAAATGACTTAAGCATTGTCACAAGAAATCATATCGGTTTTGCAAGCGTTTAAAATTCATTGAAGCGGTGTTAAAGTCCTTGAGAAAAAACGCTCCAAGTGAAGAGAGCCTATACTTCATCAATCTCCAATAGAATTTTATTGAAGTTGGAAACTGGAATGGATATAAAATATCCAAATCAGCTGATAAATTTTGCACGAATATGTGTGGCACCCAAGTGTCATAAAAAGATGGTACCAAAAGCTCCCAGCTGAGTATGGTTTTACAATATTGTCTTTGATTTGATTAGTGTAATTTTGAAAAAATGTTTTATATATCATCGTGATGGCCGTAACCGAATACTTAATCATCCAGAATAGGCGCTAAAAAGACATTTATGAATATGAAATATATTCTAAACTGGAAACAACTATATTTAAAAATCGCAATATTCTGTATACCTTAGATTTGATCATATTTGAAATAGCACAAATATTAGGATCGTTGTTTTCACGTTTCATTTGCATGCATTTAATGAACCAATGCTTTGCCCTGATCGGTTGATGCCAACTTTAGGTCCCAAAATCGACAATTTGTTAATTCAGATATTTTAAAATTTTTCTAAAATCAAAGAATCTATTACGTATATCGAATATAATAAAGTTCTGAAGTGTTTGGATATTCAACTCTCTATGGACATTCTGATTTTAGGCTTTCTTTTTCACCAACTGTTTTATACTATACAATGAACCTTTCCCCGACCTTTGACCGCCGAAAAATTCTTCCTATACTTTACCATTGCGAAATTTTCGAGGCTATTTCAAGAGGGCTTTTGCGAGTTGGCGCCTGTAAAATAGGGTATGTGTTTCAAACCATCATTATGATTCATCGCGAACAACAATCTGTTTTTTGAAAGTACCGGCAAAGAATGTTAGCCTTGTTTATCACAGCTATTTCTACACTAATTTTTTATTACTACAATTAGGGGCTCCCGAAGTATGCGAACCAAGATGGCGGACATCGGAATGTAATATGTGTACTAATATGTGTTAGGCCATAATTTTAGGTATAAATACTACGGGAGGCTCTTGGCTAGTCTTCGAACTGATAATAGGACTAAAATAAGGAAAATTGGAAAAAAATTATCGCCTAACCCTAACCTCTTACCCATGTTACGTTCCGATGTCCGCCATCTTGGTTCGCATACTTCGGGAGCACCTACAATTAAATTAAAACTTCTAGGAAGACAGAGAGAGAGAGAGAGAAAGAGTTTATTTCGTTTTGTCAAACCAAAAAAACAATATATACATACATATATAAATATCAAATAAACAGATGTTTTGGGTATATGACTGGGAAGCAACGATACGACGCGAAAACGAAGTAATGTTTACGTTTACGACCACGCTTGAAAATCTGTCTGAGGTAGTAGTATATATTTACGGTCTGAGTGAGAAAAGTCCATAGGGAAAGGTCCATAGCAGTGTGCTTGTCAGCTTTACATACAAGTACCGGTATCTAACGTCGCACAAACACTCTCGGCTCGGCGTTGTGGCACATCGTGCTAAGCGTTAGGAATACGCTCGCCGCCGCATCTCTGATTACCGTGGGTTCGCAGGTTCGAATCCCATCCGGGGATGATCACGTGCGAGAGGATTGCTAGTCTCCTCGCCGCCGTAGGGTGGTTCACGTAACCGCTGGTCGGTTACGGCTTCCCTACCGTCAAGTCCACGCTTCCGAAAACAAATAACTGGCTAACTGATTCCATACCCGACCTGGACCGGTAACCGGACGAGAGGCCGTGGTTCGCCATACAATTAAATCGTCTTATCGGCTTTCCTCTCCCCCGTATAAATATGTAAATCCTTCCTTCCTTCCGATAGTAATGACCAAAATGACTATAAACTTTGGTAATGAAAAAGCCTTGGGGTCAAAGGTCAAACGTCCATTTTGGCTGTGATTCAACGTATGAGATATATTGTACAGTATCTAAAGTCAAAGTCAGTTGCACGCGGGCGCAGTCGTTTTGCACGCCGTGTGCTATAATTGCACGCCAGGAATTCTGATTTGCATGCGGGAATTTCTGATTGCACGCCCGATTTCTCGCTCAAAAAGGCCATGAAATCCAGACTGGGGCAGAGAGGGCTGGTGAGTTGTCCTGTTATTTTCTATGGCGACTTTTTTAAAATTGTTATGGTGTAATTTCGATCTTTTCATGGCTCCAATGGCAAGCAAAGCACATTAATATTCTACATTTGGACATTTTTATATGCCTAAGTGACATATTTGTCCCGACCATCAACCCTATTCATTTCTGCATTCATTGGAATTGAAAGGCTGAATGGGAAAATATTACTTTGATTTCTGTTTTTACAGTTTTAGCTTGGGCAGTTGGACAATATAGAAATCCAGCAATCACTGAATCCATTGGCCAATTGTCTGGTTGTGGAGACCTATATAGCCTATTTTGGCTATTGTCTGGTTGTCCACTGATTGACTGTAATACAGTAATATATCCATATTTTTTGAAGTCACAGAGTTACTAATACAGTAATAGACCTATATAAACTGCATGGAATATAACGGATGAAAATGTCAGAACATACTGCAACGCTAAATAGCTACCTGAATCAGTGGTCAAAATATTTTGAGGAAAATGGTGATGAGCTTTTAACGAGATTGAGGAATTTTGCTTTCGAGGGAGAACTCCGAAGCTGTAAATTTCGAAGCATTTGCTGGAGAGTGAGTAGTACAGTAGTAACAATACTGCAATTGTACATTACCTGAATACAGGTATCTGGGTATAGAGCTAGGCGTTCATATTGATTTTGTCAACTCCTAATTTTTACTTCGCTAGACCCTACATAGCTAGTCAATTGTGACTCCTACAATAATATCCACATATTTTTAATAACAAATGGGTAAATGGGCGTCCTATTTAAAAAATACTTTTACTCAAAGCAAGATCTTGAAGCTATCAATCATAAATACTAATCATATCACATTTTTAGTTATCGTTATTCCTGTATTCAATCCAGTCATAGCGTTTATTTGGCTAGACCCATTATGTAAACCACCCTTTAATACTGACAAGCACTTTGGCGCATGTTAACTAAACGCCGTAAGTACTTCTAGTTGGTGGCACAAACATTTTTGGATATGTTATTTCTAACCCCAACCTGACCCCGCCGTCCAAAAATCATGTCACTTCGACATCACCATCACGTCATAGAGCTTGCTAAGGAAAAGCTACGATCACCCGAAATGGCATCTCAGTCGATGATAACGAACTCGCTAGCGCCAGCGATCTCTCTCATATCGGGATTGTTGCAACAAGAAATAGCTTGCTTGATTTTGGTTGATTGTCTGCATGTTTTGGAGGACAATCCGTAGAGAACTAGCCCAGCACTTTTATCCTACACAATTTGTTCCATTGGAATTCGAAAATGTGCTTCCCAATCAGTTATATTCAGCATTACAAATGGAAAACATACTTACTAGCCTCTACTTATCATGATGTAGCAAACCCCAAGTCCACTACTAATGTACATGACATTTGATGTCAGAATAGGATAGTATTTAGATATTTATCCAGAGAGAGAGAATGCCAATAAGACGGCTCAATCATATGGCGAACCACAGCTACTCGTCCGGTTACCAGTCCATGTCGGGTATGGCATTAGTTAGCCTGTTATTTGTTTTCAGATATATGTAGGCCCTACTTGATTATAATCAAAATATTTATATTTTAGCTTAATTATATAATAGCTTATATTTCAACCCCAAACTGCCAATTGCAAATTGGTTGAGAGTGAGACTTATTTCTCTGTTTTGCTTCAATAAATTTCATGAAATATTATATTTCTCACAGATATTCCTAAATTGTCTTCCTTCTGATATCGAAAAATGGAAGAATACAATTGAAATTTCAAGACAACATTATGTTGATATAAAAAATAAACATGTTACCATTCCCTCTCATGAAGCAGAAGAAAAAGATCTAGATGTGGAAAATCCATTGTCTCAAAACGACCAGGTAGATATTTGGATATATAGACTCTAAATTATTAATAAATGAATTATCTTCAAGTTGATTTCAACTTATAATTAAGATTTTTTGTAAACAACTGTGAAAAATATCCACAGTAAATGTCAAATGTAATTCAGAATATTTCACAGAAATGTAATATTCTAATGGGGATGGGTATTCAAATTTTGTTGATGTATATCTGCCAGACGAATTATTTATAAATTTGTAGGCGTTGTTTTCAACGTGAAGTTTCTACCAGAATAATGTTAGTCACATTTTACCAAACTTTTGCCATACTGTCTGTGACCCCTTGGCATACTCCAAATTTGCTGGTAAAGATAAAAGTTCTGCCTCCAAAAGTGTTTTAAAGTGTGTTAACACTTTAGCTATTCATTATCATATTGGCTATTAATTTTATTTTTCTAATTTTTGCAGAGCTCATGGATGAAGTTTTTTAGAAACAGTGACTTGAAGAAGACAATTGAACGTGATGTTAAAAGAACGTAAGATTGATAAAATTTTTACACATTGTGAAATACGGCTCAGCATCACACTGCGAACATTTTTTTAGACACATCCCGACTCCATTTTGGAGAGAGAAATTTTTTATAAAAATTTGTTTATAGCATATATATTTGTTTATAGCTTCCTTAAACCAGAAGTGCAAAAAGCTCTGTTGGAATAGTTACAAGATACTTCGATATGCTATCAGATAGTGGTTGATTGATCTAAGACTTTAAACAGTCAAATTAGTGCGGTCGGGGATAACAGCAACATGGGAGGGAGTTTCACTAATAATTTTTTAGAAATTTCATGAAATATAAGCCCTAGGGTCTAATCTAGTGGAATGATAAAAATCACTATGAAATATGTATTCAAATATAATGAATTCAAGTAGATTTTCATATTTATTGCAATTTTTAGTCATGAGGATTTATTGATGTAAATAATGTAGACTATATCATATTGTCATTATTTTGGCTAATTATTCCTGCTATGTCCTGATTATGGAATTTGCATTCTATGGCTTGACTCTTAAATAGGTTTCGCCTTAACATCTTATCCGACCCGAATAATGGTAATATTTTGTGTATTGAGTACAATAATGAAAGTCTGTTCTTTGCTGTGTCTGTTTTAGTGTCTTGGTTATGTACCGAATTACTTTGAAATTTTAAACTTACCTGATTGGGTTATTGGATTCTTTTTTTTAAAGTCTTGTGGTTATGACTCAATGACTTCCGTTTTCGAGCTGTAGATTACTAAAATGATTTTTCACTGATATGAACTAATTTTATTCTGAATTTTCCTTATTTTAGTGATTTTTTTAATTATCTCCAATTTTGTGTCAGCCTCATTTATTTAAGTAGAAAATTATTAACAGATATTTTCTTAGATTTCCTGAGATGGAATATTTTCACAATGAAGCCGTTCACGAACTTCTTGTCAACGTACTTTTCTGTTATGCTCAAGAACACAGCGATTTGTCATATAGACAGGGAATGCATGAACTGCTTGCACCACTCGTTTTCATCATCCACTGTGACCTACAAGCTGCTTGTCATGCTAGGGAAATTGGGCATATAAATAAGTAAGTGATATTATAAAGAAAAATTTGACAATTCATCTGAAATATTACTTAGGGAGATGCAAGTGAATGTGTTTATTACTGTTTTTAATATTTGTACAAATGCAAAGCAGGTTGTAACTGTACAAGCCACCGTTTATATGATTATCTTCCATGATTTTAAAATTTTATTGCTTTGGCTTAGTTTACCTATTTAATTACACCTTAGCTTCTGCCATGGTAAGAATCTCCATGGCAATTCATCTGAAATATTACTTAGGGAGATGCAAGTGAATAATGTGTTTATTACTGTTTTTAATATTTGTACAAATGCGAAGCAGTTTGTAACTGTACAAGCCACCGTTTATATGTTTATCTGCCATGATTTTAAAATTTTATTGCTTTGGCTTAGCTTACCTATTTAATTACACCTTAGCTTCTGACAAGGTAAAAATCTCCGATGATGCCTGTTTTTTCGAGTCTTAAAATAAGACTATAAGTTATCATTGTGACAGATTCGTTTCATGTGGTTCCGTTACCATAATTGGGCGTTTACTGATATACAACACATCTTTAATAGTATCCCTATACAATAGTGTGAGATTGTGACTTAACTGTTATGTTAGTTCAGTATCACTTTCCTTTACTGACACATTTAAACTCATGAAAAGCAAGATTTCACTTGCCCATGAAATGCGTAATTATAGGATTCTATATAATATTTAATATACCTGAAATATGTGGTAGCATCATACATGAAAATGAGTTTCGTTAGTCATTCAGAAAACTACAAATTTTTTTTATTATGACACATTAAAGGAAGCAACACCTCTATGAGTAAATGTTTATGCAAAAATTGGTTAGAATTGTGGATCAACCACCTCTTATTTTTATTATGCTTTATTACTTTTTTCATGTGTATAACAGTAAGTTTTGGTTGCCATTTCTTTACTTTGATGTTTTATGCTTTATTACCTTTTTTCATGTGTATAACAGTAAGTTTTGGCTGCCATTTCTTTACTTTGATGTTTATTTCAGAGATTTGATTGATGTCATTTTGAATGAAGAATATTTGGAACATGATTCATAGTAAGAAAAATCTATTTATTTGTTGGACATTTGATTTTCATTGAATCTCAAAGAGTTGACTTAAATCTGATATTAATTCTGAAACGAATAGAACATCGAGATACAATGTCCCTAATAGAGATAATTTGTAAATAATTTCTTTCAGAATTTACTTTGGAATTACTTACACTTTTATTTATATATATTACACCTCCTAAGGAAAAAGCTTTTTTGTCACACCAATAATTATGATTCTTATGTACTTACTCCACTGGACATCATCTGGTTAAAACTTAAAATCAGCCCGAATATTTAAAAATCTGAAAAAAAATATTAATTTTTTGGGGGGTTTTCCCATTAAAATTGCAACAAAAATGAAAAGTTATAAGGAATATCCATCAAGCTATGATTATACTTAGTCTCGTTCGTCTTATTGCCATTTTCATGTCGAAATGATGGACACATCTTAAAAATGAGCTTGATTTTATTAAAATTAGGACGAACGCACAATGCAAAGCATCACAAAATCAAATGTAACATAAGAACACAGAGCAAATTATATTTGTACTAAGCTTTGTACATCTGTGACTGTTATGCAGAATTTATTCATGGCATATTTTCATTTCCAAAATGTTGTGTATGGGAAACTTTACTTACAAAAAGTATTTGTGCTCTCATTTTCCTCCAAAAAAGTGGAATCAGCCAGTTTTCTTTGTACATTTATTTATTTTCTGTTTCAGTGACATGTTTTGTAAGTTAATGGAAAGCACTAATGCCTGGTATTCCATTACTGAGAGAGTGAGTAAGGAGAAAATCAAGGATGACGGTATTTCAGAAGATGATAAATCCACTAAATCCGATACTGGTAATCCAATACCTAAAAGACCATTTCAACCCCAGGAAGTTAGTATTACAGAACACGTTAATTATTTATTAATAGTTTGAGCTTGGTCGAGAATAGAATATCATGCATATTGTTTGAATGTTGATGCCAAGGCACCATTACTGCTATCTATATATAATTGATCAATATTGATATAAAGATATACATTGTGCAGCCGAAGTTCTCGACTGATTGTACATAATGATTTGATTAGTAAATCCTGTTCTTTCAACGCTAATATTTTAATGTTATTTGCTATATCTCCTGCTGCAAATACCTGATGCTTTACATCACTTAAACGCGATTAGTGAAACGGGAAGGCGATTGACTAATGACTAATAGACTTGCGAATTTACAAATAAACCGTTTTTGATCATATTGAGTTTTGATCATCCGGCCCAGTAATCCAGTCTATTATCCGCATCCGGCCCACTCAGGAAAGTAATTGCCCACCCCTGGTGTAAGGCATAGCTTTATTTTTAGAGGTCACGAGTGGCAATTGGAATGCCAAGAGCTTCTGAAACATTAGAGAAATATGGTGGAGGGTGACCGTACATTTGAACCCACGTACATTTGAACCCATGCGTATATCCACGGGTTCAATCTATATGCGGGTGCTAAAACTAAATGGGTTAGGGTTAGTATGGGTTTAACTATCCGTGAAACAAAAAAAATTCCATAGATGCAATAGCATACAGTTGCAACTGTCATGGGTTCAAATGTACGTGGGTTCAAATGTAATGGAACCATGGTGGAGCATTAAAAATATTTGTTCATTCGGCAAAAAGTGTCTTACAATGGATCTTTTATCTAAATTGTTCATGTTGGTTTTTCTGTTGTTGATGTTAGTAGGAAAGAATTGCTTTTCTCCGCAACTAATTTATCAATAGATTTCCCTTCATTTCAGATCTTCATTTACCCATAATTTTGTTTGCTTTTTTGTTTCAAATCATGGGAATACTTTTTCATTAAACGTTTTTTTCTATTGTGTCTCTGATGTTTTCAGGAAAAGCTGTGCTCCTATTAAGGCTGTATCAATACCGATGAACGATTTTTGTGTTCATGTATTTGACGAACGCTCTCTAATTGTGATATGCTGATGAGATGGATGAATGCTTTGGTGGCATACTTTATGCAATTTTTTTATTCTTTCAGATTGCCACCAGCGGAGGACCAACATTGGCAATAACAAACAAATTGAACCATATTCATAATACCCTGCTTGTTCAACATGATCTACAGCTTCATACCCATTTAAATAGATTGGAAATTATTCCGCAAGTTTTTGGACTTCGTTGGATAAGACTACTTTTTGGGAGAGAGTTTTCACTCCAGGACCTACTTGTATTATGGGATGCCATGTTCGCTGATAGTTCCACATTAGATCTTGTTGACTATTTATTCGTGGCAATGTTGATTCATATCAGAAATCATTGTGAGTGTTATATTTTTTGCATTTTGATAGGATGTTGATGTGAGCCAATTGCCTTGTTATTGAAGCGTAAGACTTATTAGTCTTACCCAGGGTGTGGTAAATTGGGTATGCGGTGTCAAAACAGGAAAATTCCGGATCATCCAAAACTACAATAGTTTTTGTAACTGGCATTGACTTGTGCAGAACCTTGTTCCGAGAGACATATGAATATGTTGTATAAAAAAGGAATCTGACGATGTGAAATTTTGTGTAAATATCAGATGATTCACGAATAAGCATAATGTATTATTATCGCAGTTATTAAATTATGGCCTAGAATATAATTGATTTTGTATATTTCTATAAAATTGTGACAGTGTGTTGTGTATATCTTTTGATTTGCCTTTTCATCAGTGCTCACTGCAGACTACAGTTCATGTATGCAATTGTTAATGAGATATCCACCAGTTGATGATATAAATGATATAGTGAAAGCTGCTAAAGATATAAGGCAACTGAAGGTACATTTTAACACTGTATATCACCAAAGTTTTTTTTTTGTATCAACGTTTTTACTCACCTGTGACGGTCTAGTATAATATGCCAGCTAAAACCGAAATGTACTTAATTTAAAACGTTTTTGAAATCTAATATATGATTTAGAATTTACCTTTTTGCTTAGTTCACACTGTGGATTTTCTGAAACATAGGAGATTTAAAGTTATAAATCCAGTAACTTTAATTTGACCTGTAACTGTAACTGTCCTGAGCTGGAAATTATTCAAGTCAAAAACACAGAAATATGAACTGCATTTTTGGTACATGATATACATGGTTGCAATGAAAGTTCACCGTAACAATGTCAAGATGTGAACCAACTAAGTGATGAAAACCTGTGATAAAGCATTTTATGTAGAAGCCCATTTTATGTGAATAAGATCTTTAAATACAGTTTATTCTAAATTTATATTCAGACAAGAAGCTTTTCGGACAGTCTTATTGAAGCAAGTGCTGATGCATCAGTCAATAAAATCCAAAGAGGACCCAAGAAAAATGTCACACAACCTCTCACAGCTTCGCAACGTCAGAATTCTAATAAACAAAACAGTCTCAGCAGAATGTTTAAGGATTTCACGAGGTATGGGCTTCCTTGTAGTTGTACTTGGATTTCTCAATTTCATTAGTTGAAATGTAATTCAAAATTCATGGTCTTTGAGATTTTTTAGGTATATAGATTTCTGTTTTTTCAGCAAGCTTTTGGTCATGGGGCTCAACTGTATATTGGCGTTGTAGAATGAAGATATCTGCTAAAAACATAATTTCTTCAACCTAGCATAAAAACTTGGATAAGTTGTTTCGAACATAATGATTCCTATAACAGTGTCAGCTCAAGAAAATCTATGATTGATAGTAAATTTTACACATTCATTTTAGCGAGTACAAAGCTATTTAGATATGTGTTTTAATTAATAAATACCTTCTTAATGCTGATTCTTTGTTTCAGGAAAGTGATTCCTGAAAATAAACCCATCGTTCCAACTCATAGTAGTTTGAATGATCCAACTTATGCAGGTTAGTGTTGTTGCTTGATTGCATTTGCGAAAGTTAAAATTTTAAAATCGATCGAGGTAACGGGGATTGTCATAGTATTTCCAAGTCCTGTGACGATGATCCGTTCTTCATAATTCAGTTTCAACGTGAATTGAAATACCACAGGATCAGAGTCACTAAATTTCAGTGAAGCGTCGCGGGCTGTAGGTTGCTGATTCCTGTCTTGTTCTCATGTAATATGCATGGCTGGTTTACCAGCTGTCACGTCTAGCCAAATCTCAGCATTTGTGGAATTATTCCTGCTCGAAATTATAACCTTTTTAATATTATTTTCATTTTGTTATGTTAAATGATATGGCCGGATTGTCATAAAAATCTTTTTTGCTAGGTGATGTGAGATCTCCAGCTCAGGCAAAGACACGAACTTCACCACAATGGAATATGAATGGGAATCCTCCATTTTTTAAAAACTCTTCAACTATTACTGAGGCTCCCAGGGCAGAGGAAATGCATAGAGAGGTATATCTTTTTTTATTCATCATTCATCGTGAGTGTTCATATTTAAAGTATATATCTCTCTTTGCACAGTTAGATGTGTAATTCCATGTTGAGCCTAATTTCACAGTAAAAGAGGCCTGGCAGATATGGAGAAAGTCTAATTTAAAATATCTTTATTTATAATTCAAAAATACATTTGCATACAATTCCTTTTTAAACTGAATTAGACACCAAAATTATCTATAAAACAATGCGACATTTATCACTGATTAACCTTTATTTGTTATTTATTATTGTCAATCTTCCAACAATTCTTGGACAGAGTATGAGTTTACGATAAACAGCCCAGCACTTGAAGTTACAAATGTCATTTACCAGAAAACTCATTTTATTTCAAACTCTGCTAAAACTTCAATTTCAGCATCCTGCACAATTGGAAGAAGAAGTTATTTATTTACATAAAGAACTTGAAAAAATGAAACAGATGTGCTTGTATTGCTCGGATAAAATTGATGCTAGTGTCACTGTTTTACAGGTAGAAATTTGAAGCCCTAGTTGTTGATTTTAGAAGTAAAAATTGAAGACAACAAAAGTAAAATAACAGTTACTGATGACTGTAAATAATAACTACTCTAGGTATTTGAGTGCTGTTTTGTCTAATTGAATATACCTTTTGATCATTTAGAATCAGTAAAAAAAGCTTTCAACACTTGTAGACCTTTACAATCGGTCATTGATTCTCACAGTCACAGAATACTGTTTTTCATGAAATTTGTTGATATTGTATTTTGGTATCACGGGAAAAGTGGTGATATTGTATAAGCACTGAATACCTGCAAGTTTATTTTTCTTGTCTCACCAGTCAAGTGTGAATTTGACTACGGATGAAGATGACAATAATGAAAATGGACAACAAAATTCTAATGATTCTATGCAAAAAAATTCAACTGCTAGTCAACAACAGAAGTTTGAAAAAGAACAAATTTTAGTCACTGTAGCTAGTTTGAAACAAGTGAGTTAGTATTATATATGGTCAGTCAGTTACTTGTCGATCTCGATCAGTAAGTATGTTGATAGGTATTTGTCTGTTTGTTTGTTACTTATCGATCTCAATGGGTAAGTATGTTGATATGTATTTGTCTGTTTTGTTTGTTACTTATCGATCTCGATCGGTAAGTATGTTGATAGGTATTTGTCTGTTTGTTTGTTTGTCTGTTAGACACTTTCGTATGTTACGCGATATCTCACGCAAGCAAGGTTGAATCATATTTCAAAAGAATATTTATTTGAGAGCATACCCTAACCTTAACTGTATAAACCTAACTGATTTTATCACAAATACTTGTTTTACAGCAAAATGCCCTTGCTGCGAATTTTTCTATGCTGCGAAATTTCCTGCGGCGAATTTTCCTGGCATGCAATTTTTCACTCCCAATTTTGCTGTTTCATTTTAAGCTGTGGGAACACTATATTTCGTCACACTTCCCAGCAATTACTTCACTTAGCTAAGTGCTCACAGATGCCGAAGTACCGATTATGACTCTCATGTTCGTAAACATCACAATACTTTCCTGTAGTCATTCATATGTAGGCTATTCGATGGTTAATTCTAATTTTTCAAAATATACTCCAAACTTTCACCTTTTACGGTTTTATTTTTAGATTCGTGATTTACTTCAAGGATCTTTGACCTTCAACCCCAATTTAAAAGAGTACAAAAATAAGAAGAAAACAAACAATATCAACAACTCTGAACCAAAAATCGAAAATGGAAACGATCCAGGGGTGCAGCAGCCTGTTCCACAGTCAATTGTTAATACAAATGCTGATGCGGGTGACGCTTAAATTTGGTAATTCAGGATCTTGTTCTTTTGATTTCGTTTGCGTCCTTCAATTCTATTTTTGATTGAAAATCAAATATTGGGTCTACTTGATGGTTTTGCTTGATATATATCATATTTTTCCTCCCTAAAGCTAATTATATAATAATAGTGATGCTGTTATGTTAGTCTACAAAGTCCTCGAAGACCTTATTTTACATTGTATATATCCTTTTCATTTGTTATTAGCAATTGATTTAACATTATAACCAGTATTTGATCTACTGTACAATATTTGAACAACTGACTTAAATTATTTTTTAAACTTTGTCCTGGACCAAATCATGTTTTCTGTGCAATATGTTAAATGCATTCAAAATATTTCCGGTAGTATACTTGGTACAACTGAACATAACATCAAATTGCCGTCCGTTTTACTATGGTGCTGTAAAGGACGAAGCAATCTTAGTGTCTTCAGTCTGTATCCATCACCATGAATGTTACCATTCCACAGTTTGACAAATGCATAATCAGTTGTTTTTCTTGCACTTACACTCGTTATCATTTATTTTCTCTATGAAATCGTTATATTTCTGGGTGTGGCCATTTTTAGCTAAAATCAATTCTACAGTGCCATATATAGGTCAAACTCCTTGCATTGCTTAGGTCAGATGACCTAACTAGGTGAATCCTCTGATATTGGTTTGTAGTTTATATATCTACTGTTTATGTTGTTATTCTATAACTAAAGAGGTTTAACTTACAATGAAAACGGAAGAAAGCCTGCTTTTTGTTGGTGAAACTTCTTAATCATTGGTGCTATTGAAGGATGGGGACAAATCTGTCTATATTCAGGAACCGTGCTTTCAATTGGTGAAGAAAAAAGATGCAACTTGGTTCTTAGCTTCAATAGAGCAAATGAGTTTTTGCTGATAGCAAGTCTATTGTCCATTGTATCAGCGTCTGTTTTTTGAGCTTCAGTTATAGGTATAGTTAAGGTTACCATATTTTTTTGACTTTAAAGCGGGACGCCCCCGAAGACACGACCCCTTAGCTGTGATCCTGTAACTTTACAGTTTCCAATTTCACTACATGGGCCGGAATTTAAAGCCATCCCGGCTGTCTTCATTGACCATATTGTCATCGAGAGTTCAGGCGCATATTCTCTGTCTAAATATCGGGTTCAGTTCGAAAAATAGAAAGGAATAGACGCTAACGATACAAATGATCCTAATTTAGTTTTTTTATGTACAGCAAAAGGAATAAAGAATAATGAAATAGTCTGCTGTTTTCAAGCATTGAGAATTTACTTATTCGCCCAAGCATGCTTTTCTGTGGATAACACCTTCAAAAAGACGTTGTTCAATCGTTCATTCAATTCGCGTTAACGTCCGAACAGGACCAATTAGAAATGATTTTACATGTGATACGAAAACAAGGAAAATAGCGCTTTCACCTTTAGTAAGTGAGCTAGCGTTGCGCCACACAGCAACAGTGGTAACGAGAACATGTTCGTGTATTATGCTGGATGACTGAACGCCAAAGCGGGACTTTTGGCTGACAAGTCGGGACAAAACGCTAGAAAGCGGGACTTTTAGCTGACTTGTCGGGACGGCGGGACAAAACACTTAAAAGCGGGACGTATGGTAAGCCTAGGTATAGGTGGTCTTGGAAAACCTTGACAATGCAGATATTGATTGATTTTAAGAGTTAGTGTTGTGCATAGCTGCTAGTAAACGGGATGATAATACATACCCACCCTAACACTTTTTGACTCCGATTTCTTAGGAATATGGAATACTAATCTTTATTTTAGTCATATTTGCTGGAGGTCTTTTAAATTGAATCACGCTGGTTGGTTCACACAAGTTTATTTACATTGGAATAAAAAAAGAAATTAGTTATACATTTTACTAAATACAACAGATGAGTAATATCTTATCCGAGATGTGATATGTACGAGTAAATATGCCCCTTCAATAAAAATATATATCGGTAATAAAATTAAAAAAATTTCATCAGGTTTCAAATAAACTGGACTTTGGCAATTTTATGTTATCAGGTTTTTCAAAAAGAAGAGACCTTTATGTTTTTGATAGGAGCGAAGTCATTCCAGTCTATCAAAGCTCACAAAATTGATTGCGCCTTAGGTGATCCGATTGACGAGGTGGTATATACAGAGGTCTTTAACATGCGATGTAAAAGTAAAATCCATACAAAGTAAAAATAAACTACATGCAATTATACATTAATAAAGAGAAATTTCTATGTTTTCCTCTGTAAACAATTAAACATTTAATAACTTCTGGAATGCGGCAGCCTCGTTTTCTATGTATCATATTGCAATAGCATTGTTAATGAATCAATCCTGAGAAAACTATAATAAACAGCAATGTGTTTCAATACAACAAATGGCATAAAAAGTGCTGTAGGATTGATCAATTGAGACTAAAAATGAAATTGTCCCTAAAGACATATTCTCCGTTTACAATTACTCTAATCAAAAGCCATTGAGAGTATATGCCAGTTTTCTAAAAACAGACAAACCATGCTTATCAATTGTGGATCATTATAATAAACCTTTTCCAGGTTCACTTCATATTTGTAATGATCCCCTGAGTCTATCACTTGATTTAACACATATTGGGTGACGGTTAGGGGCCAAATCATAACAACACTGGTCATGGCAAGAAATCTTACGCAAAAAAATATTTCTTAGTTCATTTCGTCGCAAACGTAGCAGATTTCGTTATTATTACCCTCAATCGAACTGTAAATTAGGATTTTTTGTCGTTGGATAATTAGCTAATAATAATAGATACTTATTTAGAGGAATTCCAGCTTACAAATCACTGTTTTCAGCTTTTTTTCATTATCGTTTAATTTTAATTGTTATTATATAGTTGAATGTAAACCACCGGAACAACAAAAAGCGCCGATTGATTTGATGGGTGTTTTCCCGACTCTTGACTCCCCTTCCTATCTTCCACTTTTTGGAAATTTATTTTGACAGTTTTTTCTTGAATTGACGAAACTGCCTCATTCATAACTAACGATTTTGATCGAAATTTACCTTTTTGTAAGTTTAAAGTCCTGACAACTAAATGTACCCAAGTATATCGCCATTTTTGAAGTCATATTTTTGATTATTGCACCGAACTAAAACTCCAAGGAGGACAAAATGACTATTGAGTTATTTGATTTATGCCTAAATTTGAAAAACAACTTAAAACTGACGGGTAGTTTTGCAAACTTTGAAATCGAGGTCGATTTATACTGAAAAGGCGCACTTTACATTTACATTATTTGAAATAGATGACGGTATTAAATTTAACAAATGCTACAAGCGAATCAGCGTAGACTCCGTTTCTCGGTAGACGTAGACGTGTTCATCAATTAATTACTCACTAAATTCTCCCTGTGCAAACTTACGTACTCTTACTTCAACAATAAAAAGAAACTACTTCGGTCCGTTCCAGCGAAGTGCTGAAATTCCAAGCCTGCGACGCGTTTTTGTGATATTTCGAATGCGGCATTACGATAACAAACCAAGAGCCAATACATTTTCAAGAAATTTCGCAAATAAGGGGTTGCCGTTGTTCTCAACGCAATTGTTGCAGGTGCAAAGTTGTTAAATCAGTAAGCCTACTTTTGACTTTCATTAGTTGTTTTTACAATATACAGGGGGTCTCAAATTTAAATTTGAATTTCTTTTCAGGTAATCATCACAGATCGTTCATTTTTTCAGGAAACATAGTATATATGAATAACTGGTAAAATTTAGGTATTGTTTGCATTTTTCAACAACCCACAGAAAAACAAGGAAATAAACCCCAAAAATGTGGATCAAAATTGTTGTTTGGCAAAAAGCATGTAAATCAGTAAGGCAAACTACAGAGAATTCGAACTTATTTTCAGCTCTGAATGTTTTCCTCCGAGCGTCCGCTCCATGGTCATCCTGATCTTTGTGCATCAACTACAGATCCAGTTTCGATGAATTTTTGAAAATTTCCGTAATTCTTCGTCGTAAAAGTGCGGAATGCCTTACTGTGATATATTCTTTTTGCCAAACAGCAATTTTTCACCTCATTTCTAAGGGTAACCTCCTTGACATTCTGTGGGTTGTTGAAAAATGCAAACAATACCTACATTTTACTACCTATCCATACTATGTTTCATGAAGAAATGAACGCTCTATGATGAGTACCTGAAAATCAAATAAAAATTAAAAGTGTATATATACTTACTTTTGAGACACCCTGTATCTTACAAATTGCAAGACGTAATAGCATTCCTACAAAACCGATCATCAAAGTTTTCAATTAAAGTATTGCGGTTATACAATTTTCGATACACAACTTTGGTTGAAATGGCAAAATTAGATAGGTGAAAGATAAACTGTAGTGCTGCTACACTTGAGGTTATATACTGTCACAAATATCTGGTGGTGGAACCACATGTAATTGTATTTTATATTTGAAAGGCGCAAAAAAGATAATTACGTAGTGTAGTTGGGGAAAGCATTGTTTGCGCGCTATTTGCCAATGGAGATGGGCGCTTGCGAATCGAACGGTTTGAAGTAGCAGAGGCAGGAAGCAAAGTTGAGACGGAGATGCTTGCATGTGATCAGGCGTAAGGGACGATGATAATATCGAGATGCCGATTTGGTTAAGATCGAAGGATACATTTGACGATGAAAAGGCTGGATGGACATTACCGGTTGGCCGGGAATGATGTGTAGAACATTAGTAACGGCTATGCAGCGCACTCAAAGCACAACTTAACTAACTCACTACTCTCTACTAGGGCAAAGCACTCCCACTAAACATTTGCTATGAAACATTAGGAGTAGGAGAAAGGCAATAACTTGACATTACTACACAAACACAAGAGTACATGCAATGGTGATGGGTTTACTGGTTCAGGGTTAATTCGAATTAGAGGCATACACTCATGCTTGAATGTGTGAATGAAGATTCTTCAGTCTCATGTTTGCCCAGAGAATTTTTGTTCATATATATAACAAAAGTTATATATAACAACAAAAGTTATAAAGTTTTGTGGAACATGATTAATTGGGAACAAAAGAAAGTTGTTTTAAATATTATAACGCACACTGAATCTTCATTCGCAACAATCCTGCATTTTTATATGCTAGTGACATCTTGTAATAACATCATTATTATTGTTTGTCAATTTCGAATAAGTGTATATGCACTACTTGAGTGTATATGTATCGAGAATGTTTATTTTAAAATTTTGGTCAAACACTTGCCACGATTTGATGTATATATATCATTATTTCTGTACAAATCTAAAATTTTAATTTTCAGACCAATTTATTTATTTTACTACAATTACTCATCATAGAAAATTTATAACGTTACTTACGACAATAATCAATTACATTTTTGATGTGACTAATACATTTAGTACGTGCTAAATATTATTTATAAAAATTTTGAGAAGGTAAGGTAATTTTAGAATGTTTGATATATATATAAATTTTTAGTGGAATTTAAATTTTACCTATTCATTAATCAATCACTTTTGTCAAGATAGGAAAACCTTTATTTTTTTTAGCGAATTACACATTGCAAAATGCTATACTTTAAAATATGACAAATGTTCAACAAAATTTCAAATGTTGAAACACACGATGTTAAAATGGGTTGTAGCTCTCTATCAGGAAATTGCCTTTCTCCCACCCAGACTATGTCTTAATATCTCGGAACACCAATAAATAAAACAAATCGCACAGATAAGGTGAAGGGATGAGCAGTTTACATACGAAAAATCTATATATATGCTAAAGGTTTTGATTACTAAGAAAATTTTTGATTGTAAAGGTCGTAAAATTAAGTGTTTAATAGAATAACGATTGCCAAAGGTCGTAATGTTTATTTTTTC